AATACTTGGATGTACGCACGAGCGTCCTCCTACGGGAACACGGGTCGGAGGTTCCCCTTGCCCGAGCCATGTTCCCGTGAGCACTGCACCTGAAGGCGCCTGTTGCCACCCCTTCCTCGGAATTGAGTACGATTTTGCTAGAAGCATCGCTGCTTGTGGGCACTGTCGCATGCTCTATGCGTCTCGACTTGTGCTGACATCATCCGGGAGGTTGAAGCTGAAATTTCAAGGCTTAGCTCAAGTTGCCGCCTTGGAGAGGCCACTGTGGGATCACTCCGATTGAGTCCGATGTGATACACTCCGGGGAAACCCTTGCGATTCGAATTGGGTTCTGACTGGTCATGGGTGCCGAAGAGCCCACGCGTCATTAACTGCCTGCTATTAGCCCGGCGCACTGCGTCGGTGACTCCGAGCCTCACTACGTACGCGCTCTCCGCACTGCGTCGGTGACTCCGAGCCTCACTCACTACGCGCTCTCAGCAGCGGACAGGACGTTGAGAGGAGCTGAAGGAGCGAAATGTGCGCAATATCTACTCTTACAAAGCAAAATAAGGCGGCCAAGCTAATACCTGTGGCCGTTAGCCAGTGTGCTTAAAGCATTTCCTCCGACTTGTCCGAAGATTTCTTGGTACTAAAATAATTGTGCTGTTAATGAGATCTATTCAATAATAAGAAAAAGTAGTATTCGGCGTCGCTTGACATCTGGTGGCGCCGGCGGCCGGTGGCAACTTCGGATGTTTCCAATCCGTTGTGAACGTCTAAATTTTGTTTTCAACACACCGAAATCGCTTTGTGACAAAATCTGAACACTTTCATCGACTTTCAACCGGAGTTTGAGTCGCTTTTGAGGAGCTTCAATTTTAGTGGCGTCGCCGCAGTCCCACACCAGCCGGGATCCGCCAAGCTACTCCTTGACAATGCTCAAAAAGTAATGTGAATGCGACAAACCAATTCTCTTTTGGCATGGACAGGCATCCACATGTCAGCCTGCAAGGGCGAAGGAGCGGCGACTGTGAGTTACCCGTCGGAGTCCCGGGCCCACTCACTGGATTCCCGGCAAGGTGGGGCGTAATATTTGTAATAGGCGGCCAATACGAGACGTGCGATTTGCTACATACCGAGCGAAAGCAGCGCCACTTGGATCGGATGCTAGGAACGGCGAGATTCCCTGACAGTGTTCCTCACACTTCAAACCCTAGTAATAATGATTTCAACTTTAGCACGAAGAGTCGCCTGGTACTTTGGAGTTGAGAAGACCGGCTCGCCTTCAGACTGAGTTGATTGGACAGATCAGATGGACCGAAACGTCGGGACCCCCGTGGCAAATACCTGATGCCCACACCGCGTGAAACACACTTTCGGACGAGGCACGACATGCTGGCGGGTTCAACTCGGGGCAAGCACTTGAGCATGGACCGTCATACTCGGTCGCTAGTCGTCATAATGAGAGATCGGATAAGACTTTTTGGGCCGTGCGCCAGTGTAAAATGTTCTCGAAACACCTCGAACACCTCGAATACTCAGTCGCGGAAATCCGGAACTGCGTATGTCAGAGCGCACTTAGAGAATTGCGGATCCAGAGCAGTCTATTTCGGAGGACGCAGAGCATGTTACAATCCGAAATTTTCAGAAAACGGAGCATTTCAGTATTCTTGTTCTGCGGAAGCAGCAGAGGTATCATTACGGCGAACATCATGCAGCATACGCTCGCGGCTTTGGTGCACTACAGACACGATCCTTGGTGTACTAAGTCCAGTAGTCTTCTTGCTTCGTCCAGCGGCATCCACTCGTTGTATCTTTCAATTCAGCCCTACACTTCATGTCCGTCCCAGCGCGCCGGCTCATCTCGGCGTCGAGAGCTGCTGCCCTAAGCTCTAAGAGTGCTCGTCGGAATCGGGGCGGCTCACCGCGCTGCCATCTTGGCCGTTGGCAGGGATAGCTGCACCATCTTCATCTTCTTCATCCGCTAGTACCTCTTCCGTTAGCCTGAATCTCAACTCTCCTGCACGCAGCAGGGGAATGATACGATCCAAGTCGGCCCCCGACATTTTTTGCTTGCCCATGGGGCTGGCGAAGTCCGTCTCCAAGTTGAGGCTCGGGCCACATTCAACTACGATACTGGCCTGTTGCATGAGCGCGGTTGGGTCGTACACCAACCTGGGCGGTTTGCTCTTGTTTTCGTGCCCTTGGTTCTTGGTACGTCGCATCACGGCATCATCTGCACCGAGAAGAAGACTCATCGTTAGCAGTCAACAAGTGAGCAGCAACTGAAATCTCGGTTAGAACATAGTCCACACTGAAAAGTTTTTTCACAATCGTGCTGTACCACGAGGCTTTTGTTTCAAGATTCACTTCCTTCAGTGGCGCCTCCCAAACTGCGTGACAGCGTAACGGACGTCAATCAGCAAGTGACAATAGTCTGTCGGCGCGTGCACCTACTGACCAGCTGTTTCCATTTCGGCCTTTTTGTCCTCCAAGAACGCTCTACCGGTAACGCAATCCGCGAAGTCGGAGAGCAGCTGTCTTGAACCCAAACTATCGCCCCAGTCTTGTCGATAGGCAAAGGCCAAACCACCGGGGCTCGCGACCATGAAACGCTCCTTATTGAGTTCAGGAAGATCAGAAGAGACCACAGCAAACAATTGGAGTCCATATTTTTGCGCATATGAAGTGCTCTGGGTTGGTTTTGAGGGTGTTATGATCCTTTCAGTTACTTTACTGTGAGCAGTATCAAATTGAGCTTGGACTCACCATGGTTTCCAACGCGGTTTGCATGCATCGGCGCGCTTTCTTGATGGCTTCGTGACTCATCGGCTTGTTTCTGGCGATCTTGATGGAGGATGAACCTTCGGTCGCTTGCGTTGCTTGCGTCGCTTCCTCACGCTCCAAGGCAAGCGCCGCGTCAAACCTCGTCATCGCCTCTGCGTCATCCTTTATGTCGTTCCAATATGGCTTTGCGAGCTTAACCCTCTCCACCAAATTGGTCGGCACGAAAGCGGACCAACCCAGCCCGTTAGTTCAACAACAGCGTAGTGCAATGCTATGCTAGAATTTAGCACGAGGTAGTCAGGTAGTCAAGAGCTGTGCCTACCTTCCAATCCATCTTGAACTGCCAGCGATTCGAATTACTTGCTCTGCACAAAGTCATTCCAGGAAGTGGGAGAGCCAAGGCGAGTCACGGGCGCAACAATGCTCCTCAAATAATCGAGTCGAATATTGTGTCGGATACAATACTCGAGCTCTTCGTCGTGTCTTTTCTGGGCCCATTGCTCGTGCATAAGTCGTTCGGATTTGCGACAGTTGCGCTTAGGGATAGCCTTGCTCTGTTCGTGGAGGCTAGGGCCCATCGGCCTCTTCGCTGGCGTCAAAGGCGAAACTCGGATCGGTACGGTGGCGACAGGGACTTCGACGCGGGCGAACTGTTGATCCGCGGCGGAAAGTGGTGATGGATGCACTGTCGGGGTGCTTCCATCTACTGATGAGAAACTCGGCGAGGGCTGCAGGACGCCCGACGATGTATTGGCTTCCTCCATTGGCAATTGAAGGGGGTCAGGCAGCAGGCGATTGGCGGGACAGGAGGGTCGACTTGATGGGTGCCCTGTGCTAGCTGTGCTGCCTAGGACAGGGAGGTCGTCTGGGAAGGCGGACGCGTGGCTACCCGACTCGAGCGAATAGGTTGGATAATCGATGTTTGCGAACGCGGGAGCGTCAAGCGGTCAGCTGGGCGGCGCAGGACTTGGATGGAAGAGAACATCGTGCAGGCAGAGGCTGGAAGGCGAACAGGGGAAGGTAAGGTCAGAACGACACGGTGCTGCATTAAACCAATCAAACAGCGCGTCGACGACCGCGCAGCCGCACTTCCACCACGCACCCAGAGCCTTGTTTGTGAATGGTTATCCAGGAGGGAAGGAGCCCGCAATGTTCCGAGGCGACGCGATGAATCTATAGTCAAGACGTGGATGTCAGCAGGCCCTCAGAAGCTCGTTCTCTGGTAAAAGCCCGGAAAACGATCGCCGGACATACACGTGGGGCTTGTCGAGCGCCGAAGCGTGGAAAGTTGGTATGAGTTGGCGATGTGAAAGGATCACAAGATCAACGGAGATCAACGAGGGACGTGACGTGTGACGTGTGACGTGTATGCGGTTCAGCGATCGAGGACGAGGATATTCGCGGCGAGACCAATGGGTCTTGTGTTGAATGTACGGGCGAAAGCGGGCCTAAGGACAAGAGCTGTCTACGTATCAACAACGCACAACACGCGTCGATTCCGTCAGGTTCGGACCGGTTCGGACGCGCGCCTGCGCGCGCAACCTCGCGCAACCCGCGTCAGATCACGTGTTGCATTGGGCCAGACATACCACGGCTTCAGCAGTGCTGAGGCGTTAATGGATATACTTGGACTTCAACAAGCTTTTCTATAAGCTCTACAAGCTTCTCCCGCCAATGAATTACGTCATAGGGTCAAGGCGGAAAATCATTTCCGGATCAATTGTAATGACTTTAAACCATTGCGAGCTTGTTCCCGCGCCGAGTTGCTACCGTCGGTAGCAGTGTTGCTACCGGGCCCAGGTCGCCTATTTGCATAGGGTTTTCTGGCCGCGCGGCGGCGCTACTAAGACTGGTTACTTTTTAGTCTGCCTGAGGTGCCTTGGCTTAGGCCTTAGGGCCCAACTTCAAGCTGCGCTCACCAGCTTGCCGGTTGAATTCGCTGATTCAGCCGTACGAGTAAAAGGCACAGCCTGACTCACAACGAGCTCACACTAGACCTCTGTACGACAAGTCCAACTCTTCGGGAAGAAAATCGTATCTTAAAACAGAATTATGTAGAAAGAACCCTTTCACGTCTGTCTGGACAGATCAAAGCTAGGTAAAAAAAATCAAGCCCCGCCCCCACACGACGTCAGCGTCCGCTTAGCTTGGAGCCTTCCGCCGCACTCGTTCGCTCCACTCGCGCCCCTTGAACCGTCGACGACGTGTTCCCACCTCACCCGGGCGTCGGGATGGCACCCTCCGGAACGGCCGCCCTCCAAGCAGCAGCCATAGCCTCGGCAACAGCCTCCGCATCAGTTGCTGGGGCGGCTGCACTAGCGCAATCGTCGCCGAACTACCTCTATCGACAGAAGCGCGATTGGGAGAGGCCGACGGTGCTCTCGTCAGTTCTTCAACTAACCTACTTCCGCGTCACGTAGAATACAAGCTGATCATGAAGGGTTTTCCTCGTCGCAGACGTTACTCCATCCTAGGGTTCCTCTCCTCCGGAACCTACGGCCGCGTATACAAAGCCCGCATCCGCAAGCACTCGTCCGACTCGAGTCCCGCCGGATTGATCGGTACACCTTCCGCCAACACGCCCGGTAAAAAGCTCAAGTTGGCCAAGGACGACGGGAATGACGATGAGGGGGAATTGGTCGCGATCAAAAAGTTCAAGCCGGATAAGGAAGGCGAAGCGGTCACCTATACGGGCATCAGTCAGTCCGCTTGTAGGGAGATCATGGTCAGTTCTTCTGGGTCGGATGGTGGGTAGTTGGTGTATGATGTCTAATCTTTGTCGTGCAACTCAACGACGTGCCCTGAATGACGCATCAGATCAACCGAGAAATCTCACACGAGCACGTGACGGCGCTGAGGGAGGTCATGCTCGAGGAGAAGAGCATCTACCTCGTCTTTGAATACGCAGAACATGACTTTCTGGTACGCTTTGCAAACTGATTGTCGATGTTCGTACGCTGATAACCCCCTCATGCTCGACTCTGGTCTCCCCCCACAGCAAATCATCCACCACCACTCCTCGACACGAACGGGGATCCCCACCCTCGTCCTCAAATCGCTCCTATGGCAACTCACCAACGGCGTCTCGTACCTCCACGACAATTGGATCATCCACCGCGATCTCAAACCGGCCAACATCCTCGTCACTTCAAGTGGGCAGGTCAAGATTGGCGATCTAGGACTCGCGAGGTTGTACCAAGAGCCTCTGCAGCCGTTGTATACGAGCGACAAGGTGGGTCGACGAAACACGATGAGATATGATCCGATCGAAAAGACCATCACTAATCGGGTGGCTCGTCGTCCCTCCTTAGATCGTCGTCACGGTATGGTATCGATCACCCGAACTTCTCCTCGGCGCCCGTCACTACACCCCTTCGATCGACCTCTGGTCCCTAGGATGCATATTCGGGGAACTGTTGGCCTTGAGACCCATGTTCAAAGGTGAAGAAGCCAAAGTCGAGATTGGCGCTGGGAAGAAGGGAGGCGTGCCGTTTCAGAAGGATCAGATGACGAGGGTTATTGAGGTGTTGGGGTCGATTGAACGTTAGTATTCGGATGGCTGTTGAGGATATGCGGTACAGGGATGGTTTGCTCACGGTGGATGTTTGTGCTCGAGTTCACAGGTCAACAATGGCCCACCGTGACCCATCTACCAGAATACAGTCAACTCGCCCGACTTGATCGGTAAGCAGCATCGTCTGAACCCCACTTAACAACCCCAGCTCACGCCTCTCTCTTTCACCCCACAGCCACAGCGACACTTTAGAACAATGGCTTTCCGCCCGAATAGTTCGCGGCGGTCCGATACCGGACCAACAAGCCTTCAACCTCCTTCGCAATTTCCTCATCTACGATCCATCGAAACGAATTACCGCTAGACAGGCGCTCGTTCATGCTTGGTGGGGGGTCCAACCTATACCTTGTGCGAAGTGAGTCAAAGCCCTTCCCAAGATCTAATTCGCACCCGTGCTCATCCTTATCTCCCCCTCATCCCTCTCGTAGCGCCTTCATCGGACTCCCTCCTGGTGTTTCTTACCCCATGCGACGCGTCACGCACGACGAATCAGATCCCAAACTATCCTCCCAAGGTGTACAAAAAACGGCTCCTTTCGTAGGTGGAAATAGTACCGGTGTCGGCAGCGCCGCGGCGTTGCAACAACAACAACAGCAGCAACAACAACAGAGGGTGGGGAAGAGGAGTCGGTTGGATGCTTAGGTACGAGGACGAGGGGAGGGGTTTTCGAGGGGGGCTTAGGGATGTGTTTGGACTTGTTTGTGTATTCGTTGGGAGGTGTTTGTTTGTTTGTTTGTTGTATTTTTCTTTCGCAATGCGTGTATGCAAAATATGACGGCTCAAGTTCCCTAATGGGAAACTTTCCTTGAGATTCGACAGTATTCGGCTCCTATGTTTGGACAACCTTCATTCGCGAAGCACGATACTGATTAAGCTCCGAGACGCACTTACTTATGTTGTCGATCACTTGATGCCGATAGACTTTGATGTGGGTCACGGGGCTGATTTTGGGGGAGGGGGGGGGGGGGCTGGCCCAAGTGAAGTGGGAAGTCGATTTTCTCTTTTCCCGCGGTGGAGGCTTTGCTTGCTTTGAGCGCATTTTCGGTGTTGAGCTGGGCCACATGGTGCACACTGTAAATCTTGTTCTGGCACGGTCCGTTCTGAATATCAAATTTGATTGCTCTTGAAGAGCAAGAGGGGAGTCCTCAACCTCCGGACGAGCTCCTCTTCTAAAGTAGTATCGCAACTTTCGGGATGCGCACGTACGATCGACCCCGAGCTCTCAAAAGGTAGCAGAGGAAGTAACGACAAGGGTCCCGTTCTCTTTCGAAACTATGTAACATATAGTATGTAACACATAGTAAACACATAGGGAAACAAATGACAGGGGGTACAGAGGATGAACTGATCAACATGATGAATGATTCCCCATATCCGAATGGCCCGCCATTCGTTATATGTCCGAGTCGCCGGCGATGAAGAGTTGCGATGAGGGTGACAAAGGCTCATGTACCGGCACGATACTGGTTCCACATCGCGATGGCGCGGGTCATTTGACCGCAGGTAATCTTGGCCTTGCAGGCTTCGCCTGAATAGTCCACTGTGGATCAATCAAGCGCGGAGGCGAGGTCAGTTGCAGCAACAGAAGACGTGTGCACGAAGGCGAAGGGGAACTCCTAGACGGGATAAGTTGGTGTCCGATATGGGAGCTTGGGAGACTCCTCCTCGACTAGTGTGATATTTTCGGACTACGATGTTACTTACTGATATTGTCATAGTTATCGAAAGCGTATTGCAGGCTCTGTGGTGCCTCCGATGCGGTCGCCGAACAGGACAGTTGGAATTTCGTTCCAGGGCCCGGGCATTCACCGTTCGCTGAGGCGCTCTGAGGACGAGTATCTGCGACGTAATCGCCGTCCCCTGAGCAATTGTTGCCTTGGAAGGTATGCAAGAGACCGCCAATCCAATGGAGGGCTTCACTATGCGAAGAAAAGGGGGTGGATGGAAGGGAAGCGAGATTAGTCCCCGAGCAAGATCCAGATGGGGAGCGAGCAGAGATGAACTCACTGTGCCAGTGCCTTGCCCTCCGTCGTAGGTCGACCTTGCGCGGTGGCGTCCTGGTCTGGCCCAATGACAGCATTGACGATCGTAACGCCGTCAATCGCTTTAACGTCCTCATTTCCGTTCGCGTAATACCAAGGGTAGGTTCCCCAACCTATCGCAACAGAAAAGATGTTCAAATTAACCCTTGGCGTCTCTCAAAGTAAGGTTTTGCCAAGAGCTCAAACACCCCGAGACTTACCCTTCCAAGACCCCAGATTCATGACCGAATATATATTAAGGTCCTTCCCGGTACCGCGTCGTAGTGGCTTTTTGAAATTGACGTCGGCTTCACCCTCCACAACGTAGTTCTGGCTCGTAGTCGCATCGACAACTACCGCAACGTCTTGAGGATCGAGGTGGAGACGGAAGGGGAAGCTATTGTTGTCAAAGAATTGATTTACGGTATTGATCTGACTATTGAGCCTATCTTGGGATAGGAGACCTCCCTCTGGAGCTGTTAGGGATGTAATTGGCAAGACGATGAGATTGAGCTCGATGACCGAGTCCGGGTCGTGGAAAGACATCGAGCTTACTCTTGTCTACGACGATCTGGTGCCAGTACACTTTGACATAAGTGATGTGCTGACTCTGCGCTGCCGGGCAAAACGTTTGAAATGTCAAGTTCCCGGACCTGGACGTTTTGCTTGCCCCGAGTTCGGCCTTGGCGTTGAGCTTGGCGACTTGGACCGAACTGTGAGAGAAGGAGCGGTGTACGCCGAGTCAGGGTTTTGCTTCAAACCAAAGGAGATTGCCGCAAGTTTATGTACATGAGCTTCTCAACGTTCGGATCAGGGCCACCCGTGGTTCCACATGGGTTTGAGTCGCCCCTACCGGCTGATAAGGCATGTGTGGCGCGATGTGTACGATTAACTTGGAGGTGGACTTTGGTGAAGGAAGCGGAGACGAGCGCTGGCGTTGTCGTCGCGACAGCGCTGAGTGTGCAGACTAGCGAGCTGATACGCATGTTCGAAAAATGGTGTGTCGGTACGGAAGAGGAACAGGAAGGCATGGACAATGTTCGGCCTCAGCTTATGTCGTCTCTTGAACGGCGATCGGGAGTCGATCTCGGGTGGAGGTGAGACACCCGGGGCTCCTACTACTTGTATGCTGCCTCGGGTGCGCTGCACTACTGCAGGGCCCGCAGAGACCGAAAATACGCAACGTGCGTCATCTCGCTTATGTCATTCCTCGGAGAGCTCAACCGTGTTAGCTGTTGGTAACCTTCGGTCTGTCTCACCTACTCGAGATCGACCCGCACGCCGTTAACGATCTGCGTACAGCCGGTTCGAGATCGTTCGCCACTGGGGCACCGACGGCCGGCCCGGAGGCGAGCCCGAATCCGAGTCCGTCAGTCCGAGGGTACACCATTTTCACTCTACCAAAGACGTCATCAATTCCCCGAAAAAAAAAAAGCAAACCGCCCTTGCCAAAATCCTTCATACTGTGACGATTGAGGTGCCGACCGTGGATGGGCCAGGTGAGCCGACTTTGACCTTTGATCGAAGCTCGGGCTTGGAGGGTCCGTGCACCAAACGCGTCGCGTCGCGCCTCCACTCGGCCGGGTTCGGTCCCTTCACGCATCACATCATCCGGCAATACACCCTACGCCAAAGTATGACAACCCGATCCGTATCATTCGTTGCTCCCCGTCCCGAAGGTAGCGCACCGACCTACTCCCTCCTCTCTCTCCCCGCCTCGGTGCTAGCCCTGCTCTCATCAGACGAAGCGACGACCTCGCTCTCCCTCGAATCGTCGACCCTCGAGATCCGAGGACATTCCACGGACGCTGCGGTGTTGGTGACGCCTCACCAAACGTATTCGTTGAGGGGCGTGCAAAATTCCAATTCGTTGTGTTTGTGTACGGCCACTAAGAGGGGGGAGAAGGGTTGGTTCGAGTTGGACGAAGAAGAGGGGAGTGATCAAGAAGGGAATTTACGATCCGATCGAGAGGTGGAAGAGGAAGGACCCAAGAGGAAGAAGAGGAAGGGGAAGGGGGAGATTCTGATCGAGACGGTGTTGCATGAGACGTTGGAATTGGTGCCGGCGGTCGCCAAGACGGAGAGGCTCAAGGAGTTGGTCAAGGGGAGCGAGTACAGAGGCGAGGATGCCGAGCAGGATCGGCAGAGGGAGGGGACCGTCAACAAGGTGTGCACATGAGCGACGATATCGAAGCTGTTGAAAATGCTGACAACTGTTTGGACCCGCGGAACAGAAACTCTACACATTCGGCGAGCTAGGCTCCCTCTTGCCCGCTTCCGACGCCGAGATCAGACTCGCGCTCACACGGCATCGCATCGTCACCCTCGACACACACCTACGGTCCATCCCTACCTCCTATCTATTGTCTCTACTCCCAGCGCTCCTTCAAGTCCTCCCTCTGCCCAAGTACCTCGACCCGACCTCGACCTCGGCAATTACCGTCGAAGCCGAAGACGAAGAATTGCTCGAAGCGTTCGATGCCGCGGGTGACTGTCGAACCGAAGCGGCGAGACAGGTCTTGGACTGGTTCTCTACACCAGCAGAGAAGATTGGATGGTCCGTACTGAGGGTGAAGGAGGTGGTTAGGGAAGTCGGTATTGTGTTATTGGCACAGGGAGGGGTGAGTCGCAGTTCATGGAAAATTGTTCCATCGATTGGCTTTCTTACGCTGAGGAGTTCTCTATTCTTTTTACAGTATGGTGGACAACGACTGGATACGTTCCTTGACAAATGGAAGGGTCTGTGCCATCAATTTGAATCCCTCTGCACGCCTACACTCCTCACCGTAAGTCCTTTCCACCACGATGCCAGGCCGGCTCATCTCAAAGTGGAATCTCATACCAACTCAACCCCTCACCCCGTAGAACACTTCCATCATCGCCCCCAACTCGATCCCGCCTTCCATTACCTACCTTCCCATCTCCCACCTCTCCGCCGATCCCGCAACGCGCTTCTCCGAGCTCTTTACCCTCCGACCGAAATGGTTCGCCGACGATCTGATCCCTTTCATCGATGATTTGGGCGACAAGAAGAAGAGGGATGCGTTGGTGATGAAGTTCGTGAGGAAGGTCAAGGGCGCGGATGGGAAGATGGTGTGGAGTGCGAGGAATTTATGGACCGTGGCGGCTTGATGTGGTAGCGAATTGGCATGAGTGCAGAATTTTACCGTTTCTTGAGCTTTCGCTCTCGCGCTCGGACTCGAAATCAAGAAAGAGGACAGAGACTGCGGTGGTGGTTACAAAACACAAGATTGTACAACCGGAATTACAAAGATAATGAGGCTTGTCACATCACTCCTGCATCTCCTTGGTCCCAGTACCCGCAGCCGTCGCCACCCCAGCGGTCGCAGCGGTCTGAGCAGCCTCTGCTTCTTCTCTCCTCTTGGTGAAAGCTCCCTTATCGACACCGAGCCCAGCCGCTCGTCGTGATTCTTCGATGGTGTAAGGCTCCTCTTGGAGTTTCTTCAGTCGTCTCTTGTGGGGTTTGGACATCTTGTGCGTCGCGAGCGAGACGGCATCGGCGAAATACCTTGCGCACGAAAGGCAGTGATGTTGGGCCATACCTGAAGGTCGAGAAATAATTAGTCAAGGCTCGAACGCTCCGATTCCTCATTGCAGCTCACCGGGGAGATCCTCGAGATCCTTGTGCTGCATCGTATCGATCATCTTGGCCTTGCCGCCGTCCTTCATGTCATCGTGGATTTGGTCCAGGTCGCGCGTGTACCGGCGTGTCTTTTGGCCCGGGGCCTGGTTCTTTTTGCTACAGGGATCCAGTTCGAATTATTGTAGAAGAGGCCGATCGAGGAAGGGATTGTGGATTTGGGATTGTGAAATGTCCGACGGTGGTGCGAAGGGTCCGGGTTCAGCGGTGATGAAGTGGGGCAGAAGGGGTGTCAGTCGGGTATGCAATGCCGGTGATCGAGCAGTATTTGCTCACGGATTGGAATGCGTTCGTGATCTCCTGACTCGACCCATCGTGTAAGAGCGGATGCAGTGTGACCTTGAAAGTGTGAAGCCGAGCCGAGAGCCAACGAGAGCTTGAACGTGATCGAGCTTCGCAGCGCGCCCGTCCACGCTTGCGATTCGATTAGCAATTGTCCCTTTGCGGAGGTGGCCGTTGTGGTAATGCTCAATTCTCGTGCGCCGTCTCCCGCGCGCTACCAGCCGACGACTCCAGTTCGCGCGCCTTCGCTTTCAACACCCCGTTCACGACAACACCGACTACTACACGATGGCCCCCAAGAAAGCCGCCAAGCCCGCTGGAGAGACCGCCACCGTACGTTGTTGCTGAAATACATGGGAGGACGAGGATCTTTCTCCGGGAACCCCGTAACGTGAGCTGCGAGCTGACCCCTCCCCCCTCTCTACCGCCTATGGGCTTTTTTTCCTCGCCTCGTCTCGGCTCGCGGCCGTATGTGTGTACGGTGGTTCGTTCGTCATCCCGTAGACCTCGTTGGGCCCCAACCTCAAGGAGGGTGAACTTTGCTTCGGTGTTGCCCACATCTTTGGTCAGTCAGAGCAATACCACCACGTGCTAGCGTCTACAGAGCTCCAAGCTGACGCTCCCCTGCCCCGCCCTGAATGCGTCCTCTGCCTGTGCTCGCTCGTGCCTACTGTCCCCGTAACCCGTAACCCGTAACCCGTCTCGCCTACGCCCTGCTCGACCCGTGAACCAACAGCCTCGTTCAACGACACTTTCGTCCATGTAACCGATCTTTCGGGCAAGGAAACCATCGCTCGTGTCACTGGTGAGTTGTCGTCATCCATGTTTCCCGTCCCCAGCCAGCCAGCCCGCCAGCCCGTGCAGAGGCCGGCTTGGCCTTACGCGCGTGCCTGCTTGCGGAGGGGAGCAGCCGGACTTTTGAGCCGAGCTGCTTGCTGCATCGCGAAACACGACTGCCCCATCGAAGCCGGCGATCCGATCAAGTCGCGCCAAGATCAGAACACACGACTGACGCAGCACCCCTTGTCTCTCACAGGTGGTATGAAGGTCAAGGCCGATCGTGACGAGTCGTCCCCCTACGCCGCCATGTTGGCCGCGCAGGACGTCGCCGTCCGTTGCCGCGAGATCGGCATCACGGCCTTGCACATCAAGATCCGTGCGACCGGTGGTGTCGGAACCAAGACCCCCGGCCCCGGTGCCCAGTCCGCCCTCCGCGCCTTGGCCCGTGCCGGTATGAGGATCGGTAGGATCGAGGACGTCACCCCCGTCCCCACCGACTCGACCAGGAGAAAGGGTGGTCGTCGCGGTCGTCGTTTGTAAACATCGTGTATCATTGCGATATACCGGTCGTTTTACGAACCCCACCCTCGACTTCTTTTTTCTGCATTCTCCCCCTCCAACCTCTCAACTCCTAACTTGCCGCCTTGACCCCTCATCTACGTCGATCTTTCTACCTCTCCAACCACAACCTAAAAGTGTCGAACTCCCTCGTTTCTTGACGGATCGTCGAAGTACAAACTCGAACGAAGATTCCCTGCCTGCGCCCAGTTCCCCCCCTTCATACGTCCGACATCGTCGATAGTGCGCGGAGGCGATCTCTCATCTTTTTTCGTCCTTCCTCCTTCCACCCAGAAACGAACCCTTTCCCTCCCCCCGGTTCGACGCGGTTCGACATCAACCACATTTTCCACACCATCATCTCTCATCACACACACCCGCCATTTTTTTTCACACCCAAAACAACCTCTTTCCTGCCGGTAAACGGTGGTCGGACGGAGGGGTTCTCTCAAAACTACCAAAGCCAAGTACAATTCAAAAAATTCGATTGTCATTCGAAGGATACGCAAGGAGGATGGGAAGGGTGAAGGAAAGGGACTCGAGGGAGGCTAGGAACGCGAGTTTAGGATGGAGGGACTGAGTCTGTTCTGAATTTTGGGTTCAGCTCACCTTTTCCTTTCTCGTTTCTAGGGTTTCCTTTTTTATGTTCAGGTCTTTACTTCGGCTTTCTGAATTCTTTGCCTTCTGACGATGCAATCGACTTTGGACGTTTAGAAACCCCTCAAAACATTCTTCTCTGCCCCGCGTTCTCTGTGACAACTGCACGCGAGAGGATCCCACCTCTCAGACCAGATCCGAGCTAGGTTCTATTCAATTCACAACAAACACAGGCACTAGCAAAACTAAAGAGGTCTACACTGCACACACACACACAGCTTTCAAGCCGAAGGTCGTATAATACGACTCGACACGGCGCCCGCAAGCGTCTCTGCCCAACCCCTGGCGGCGTCCCTCCTAGGTTTCTCCTCCGGACCACTTCGACTCCTTTTTCGAACCATCGTCGGTCGAGGGGTTGCCAAGCCATCGAAGTAGTAATCTTCTGCACTGGCATGATTCGCACCGGGGGTGGAGATACCAGATCTTGAACGACGTTCTACGGAACCGTCGATACCTAGAGCGAACCCTTTCAACGAAGGTGTCGAATAAGCCGTACGTCGTAAAGTCCTTGCCGATTCCCGCGTCGTACTTTGTAGATGTACGTGGGAAGATTTTTGAGGGGTCAGTTCTTGGTCGGATGAAGAAGAATCGACGAGATCACCCAAGTTGGAGATATCGTCTTCGGAGGTGTAAGTGAATGACGGTTGGGCGTAAGCGGAGGGGGAAGCGGTGCCTGCTCTTTGTTGAGGGTGAGGATGGAAAGTAGGAGAGCAGGGATAGGAGTAAGGAGGTTGATCATGTCCATGGTGGTCCATTGTAGGGAAGGGGTACATTCCCATCGTGCTTGGACCGCCGTAAGGGGATGCGGAGTGATGCATTGGTGAAGGCGCGGGGGCAGGGGTCGTAGAAGGTCCATCTTCGGACTTGGCGAGGGCTGTGGGAAAAGAACATGCGGCATCCTGCTCAGTACTAGGGCTCTTGGAACCTCGTGCTGAGCTCTTCTAACTCACCGATCGTTCCTTTGACAGCCGCCTCCCTGAAAATTGAAGAGAACCGTCAGCTCGAGCGAATTTTCGCCGGTCAAAACGAAAGATGATTCACTCACCAAAGCACACTGATCGCCTCGCCCGAATTTCTGAGGATCCCTACCTCGCGTTCGATCTTGACGAGGTCCTCGAGTACGGCCCATACGACGACCATGATACGCTGACGCAGGTGAAAGGTCATGTCGAGCCATAGGATGATGCCGACGCAGAATTGGAACAGGCGCCAGAGTAATTCGGGGAACTGCGTGATCGGGGTTTCCGATCCGAGACGTCAGCTTCAAAAGTCCATACCATTTTGAAGATAACGGATCGTCCAATATCGCACTCACCCTCGATTCTTTGAACGCCTTCGCCGCTCGTACGGCACCACCGACGACACCGGCTCGCCACTGCTCTCTCCTGTCCTTTTCCGTGAGCTGTCGACCGCCACGATGATCGACCTGTTGCTGGAAATATCGTCCGTCGTCATATTGTTCCATCCCCAATCGGTTGTGGTGCCCGACATTGGCTGCTGCGAGAAGGGCACTGGGTACCTTGAGGACGACCGGGTGCGCGCACGACGGACACTCGGTCGAGAGTTGCAATTGGGCTTCCGGAACACTCGCGCTAACGGCGCTGTATTGCGATGGGTGACGCGAGGCGACGACTTGGTTCGGGTGGTGATAGTATTGTTGTTGTTGTTGATGATGATGATGTTGGCGTTGGTTGTCGAGGAGAGGGAGGTCGGTCGTACTATCGCTGGAATTGGTTCGCGAAGGAACGGGCGGTGCGATCGGCTTGAGGCCACCGCTGGGCGTGGACGATCCATGATGATTGCCACCTTTGAGAGGCGAGGACACGAGACCGTACAGACCACTGAAGCTGACACTGGGGACCAACGTCTTGGACATCTTTTGTGCAGTCGTCGAGTCAAAGTGCGAACGAAAGAGAGGGCGAGCAGCGCGGTGTTTGTACGACTCGGAAACACGTGCGAAATCGTTTCCCCCCCGAGACGAGACGAGACGAGACTGGGGACGCTGCGCGATAGGCAAAGTGCTATCGCCGAAAGGGAGGGGCGGATACTACGTAGACGATAACACTAGACTGGTTGGAGCAAGCTTCGACTCTTTCTGGTGCGTTTTCGAGTTGGGTGAGGTTGGTGATTGGAATGATCTAGTGTCGGACGAGTAGGGAGTCGGAACCCGACGAGATAGAACGTTCGCACGCGTTCAAGAGAGAGCGCGCTCACGCGCCCGGGAGCCTCCAAGTTGCGCATGCTCGAGCACGGCCTCTCTCGGGCTTCGCGTCTCCGAACAGCCGGGGCGCGTCGGCGCTCCGCGGAAATAGGCATGACAGTCGGCGACCAAAAATGGTCCGGCCGATTGGGTGAATGTCGTCGACGTCACTGGCAAATTTGACCGCATAGGTACCCGTGGTGTTGAGGGTCAAAGATCGTCACCATGATTCACTGGTCTTGAGTCACGGATCCAGAGTCTGAAGTGATAGATGACCTTTGTACAAGTCGAGGCAAATGGACGGTCACGTGATCTAGTCGCTGGTCATCGTCATCGGCGAATGTTGACCCTGAAGCCTTGGATGTAGAGCACAGAAGGCCCAGCGGAGAAGGTTTTCAGAACACACTTCTGACCAACTAGATTGAACCCGGGAGGTGATCGCTAGATTGCTACGTAGGTTTTGACCCCTAATTGTGGATTCAACGGATGCATCCGGCGGTGGCGCGAGGAGATGCGGAACGATGCACGACGCGGGATTTTGTGTCTTGGACTCAAAAACCAAAGAGATGACAATTTAAAAGCCTTCCTGGGACGGAAAAAAAACGCTCGATAGAATCTTCCCCGCTCGATCTTTAACCCAACGCACCGTGAGCATCGCACGTGAGCGAGCCCCTGAGCGTGCGACTCCTGAGGAGGCAGCTCGGCTCTTTCCGTGCGGATGAGGAACGATGTCATCGTCACGTCATCACCCTGACTTGATATAAGTCGCGCCTCTCCACCCCAGAGCATTGTCAAAACGACCTTTACAACGAATTCCGACTGGTTCGATAAGTTAGGTCCCGGAAGGAAAACGACCCGGTGAACGTGTTGTAGAAGAGCACGCCGCAGATCTCAACGTCAAGTCGGTCGGCTTCGGCACAACACGCATCCGTTTGGTACATCCCCTCCAAGCTCGACAGCCTCGTATCTATCAACCTCATGAAGCCTAACTTCACCAAAGAGCCGATTATCCTTCTTTCAGCGTGGTCTTAATCCAAAGTTTGCCAAGCTGCATGGGAGGAAGGGCGTGGGGCCCATGCAGACTAACCCTGCCAGGGGGGATCCAACCATGGGCCCCGAGATAGATTGACCTTTTCGCCATGGGTGGATGTAGAATATATCTCTGGTCTCTGGGCATTACTGGACGGATGACCTAAGCTTAAGGAGGTGGGGTGGTAAGGTCCGTCGGTGCAGGACCTCCCCTGCTTGCCGAAGTAGCTCTAACAGATCAAATCGCTTCTTGGCCTGAATGTTAGATTTCCGCACAGTTCTGGTAACTTTCGTCGGTCGGAACGATGAGATTGTGTCGATCCGGTGCGCGGTCGTGAAGTCCGGAAGAGTGAGTTACAAGTGGGCGGAAAGAAGAAGAAAAGCTACGGAAAAGACTCGCGCGTGCGCCAACCGCACTCCCTAATTCCCTAATACCCCACTGATAATAAACCATGCCTAGAATGCCTTAATGCGCCAAACGCCCAAATCCTATACTGAAGACATGTCAAGAGATGCATTCCAGCATGCAGAAGGCATAAGAACCATAATCAGGCTACAAGTGAATGATAGATACGAGGTGACGTGAGAATAGCTCGTCGAAGGCCAGGACCGAGAAGAAGTAAGGATACACGTTGGGTGGAGAAATACCCGATCAAAGTTTACGGTACTGCTGGGAAGCAGCAACCATTCGAAGAGCTTGTCCAGACGTGAATTGCGACATGCATCCATCGTAACTGTAATCCATACTATTCAGAAGAGAAGGAGGTTGGTGGTTTTGGTTAGCAATCTGCGATGAAGTAACTGCGAGGGCACGGAGAAGCTCGGCGATTGCGGAAGTGTCCGCGAGGGCTCGGAACAGCAAGGAAGGTGTGAACTTGCAAATTGCTGATTGGATCTAAACCAGGGGACGAATTACACGAGTCGCGGCCGGTTGGGCAGCCGTACGCCGGGCTAGCTTCGGCTGGAGCTTTTAGAGGAGGAGCGCACGGAGAAAGTCAGGGGCTGAATCCTCGACGACCCAGTAAGCTCGGACAGCGCGCCGAAACAAGAGACTCACTATCGGAGACTCCATCGCCAGCTCCGGTGCAGCCTCCTTGGAACGTATGATAGAGACTTTGAGAGGAAATCATTTTTAGTCAGCGGATCGAACTCAAGCGTTTGTGCACGCAGAGCGACCACCGTCCAAGAGGCACGGCGACGCTCACTTACCCGAGCCAATGACCGGTCTAAAGCAAGCATCAGACACCAGAACACCTTCTTCGTCAGCAGGGACCACGGAAACAGAAATGATTTGGAGCGTTTGGTCCTGTCAGAAGCCGGACCCACCTCGTGCTGTGATCGGAGCAGGGGGAAAGGGTCAAGAAAATGATCAAACGCGTTTCACAGAGTCAGTATCCTGTTGAGGTTCAGGTTCAGCTCGGACTCTAAGCTCACCGTCACTGTTCGGCCGAGGTTGTAGTTGGTGGTGCTTCCGCCCGGGACGGACGAGAACTAAGTTTGGCACAGCCGTCAGGCTTCGCACTTTTGTAGCGAAGGGACGCTCTTTCCCCTGAACGGGAAAGCACCACTCACCAAAAAGACGACGCCATCATCTTTGTTGGCAGTGCGCGAGTTGGGCGAAATCGAGAAAGGCAATGTCGCGTAACCGAGCAGGCCTTTTCCGGCACCCTTGACGAAGCCGACCGAGTAGAGGTTGAGGTCCGAAGGCCCGCCTTTGTACAATCGGTTCTTCATCGCTGTTTGTTGAGTTGATCCGGGTCCGGCGCTCTCAAAGTAGTCGCGGTTCGTCGTAAAATCTGTTCCGGCGAGGCTGCGGCGCAGCGAGAGCGGCGGGAACAAGGTTCTAGAAATTAGGGGTCGAATCCTCGAATGCGGGCCCTGCACGAGGTGTCTAATACGACGTACGTAAAATTGAACCCACTCGCACGGAAATCGGCGTTTAACGCAGCAATCTGGCCCGCGATGGCACGAGGCGACAAGTTGCCTCCGGCGACGGCTATAAATCGGAGGCGATGGAGGTACAAGGCACGGGCCAGGACGGACGAGGGGAATTGGTCAGCGAAATTGCGCTTAAACGATGAAGATATTCAAGGTGGCGACCGATGTATCAGGTCTCGAACTCAGAAACTCACTGTTGTCTTTTCGGACGACGTGGAAGTAGACCTTGATCTGCTTCGGTGCCATGACCGACGTGACGGCCGCCCTATGGTTGCCAGTCAAGTCGGAAGACGAGCTGATCGAAGCTCCGCGCCCCGCGGCAGCGATCGCCGCCGACAACTTGACCGTTGCTTGCTTACTGTAGGTTACAAGAGAGAGATGAAAAGATCAGAAGCGGGGTCGACCTGTTAGTCAACTCGAGTAGACTGACATAACGGCTTCTGACGCAGCATCGGGCTTGCTGCCTTCGTTGCCACATCTTCTCGCGTCTTTGACCTGGGCGATCGCCCCGAAAGCCACAGATGGTCCCAGCGCGACGACGGCCAGCGAAAGCAGACTCAGCTTGCTCAGGAACAGCATTTCTCAAGAGGCGAAGACCTCAGCTGCCAGCGTTTGTCTGAAAGAAATGAAGGAAGATGAGGAGGATGCAGAGAGAAGTTAGAGAATGGGAGAGGATCTGTCCAGAGTCCTATGCCGGGTCTCGAATGGACGGATCCCGATCATTCGATGGGCAAGCGAAAATGGACTTCAGCCGCATTAGGACAGTTTGAGCCGTCGCGCCTGCAGTCGGCGGCGGAAGGGCATCCAGGCCGGCAGCGGGTGCCTTTGTCCCGAACTCGACGATTAATATCTGAGCTCCCTTTGAACCGTGGGTTGGACCAAGTTGATGCTTTCAGAGAGTATCAGGCTGTTCCATCCCCTTTAAATTCACGATTGTGATAAGTGACTAGTTGTAGATGTCTACGACCTCGCCCGCCGCAGCCCGCCGGCGAGCCTCGATCGCGCGCGCCGCTTCCACAGCCACAGCCCTCCCTCGTTTTCTTCCATTAGCTCATCTTCATCTTCGGCTCACAGACTTACGTATATCGTGCCCGGGACCCAGAGTTATGATAGATTATAAGCCCAACGACTTACCAGCGGCGGATGTCACCAACGTGGCCGACGAACAGAGGGTGTCCATGATCCATCCGTCTAGTACCCCTCCTTCGTCACAGCGAGCCATTAGCCCGGACGTCCCAACCCAAGTATCGGGCTCCGACGCGTGACCATGTTGTTGACGGCGTCCACGGCTGGTAGCTCGTTGGGCTCATAACCTTTGCAGAGATGGTGTGATCGCGGAAGGTTTAGGTAGCCTCCGGATAGGAGAGAGGTAGCGACGCCGATAAGTCCGGAGTCCGGAGTCTGGACCACAGTGTAGAGCGAGTGGTAAGAAAGTTACCCGGAGTAAACACTGGTCGCGCGGAAGAGAGCGCGGAAGAAAGCCCCGGTGCGTGCTCTTTTGTCCATTCCATTGGTTTCTATAACAGCATAATTCTATTATTGCCTAAAATCTTCGCGAAGACTTTAGGATGACTAACTTAAGCAGATCACACTCCAATAATAAAGCGACTAATGTCCAAACGCATCGGGTATTTACAGCCTACTCGCTGCGAGTGGTTTGGATCGACCAAGGCCAGGGGCCAACGGTCACAACTCACCCGGCTTGTTCCAAATATGAAGCTGAGTGTCAGCGCGATCTATGGTAATAGTGAGCGGACGATCAGAGAAAGGGGGGGGGGGGGGGGGCGATTGCTATCGAAGCGCAGAGACCGAGATGCCGAAACCGAGAAACACGCAGATAATGAAACCGAGAATGATAGATTCGCAGAAATGTCCTCTTCCAAGCGGTCCTCCCCTCCGAAAGTCGCCTCCCTCCAAAGTCGGTCTGAGTCGTGTCTAGTCTAGTGGTCTATCTCCGAACAAGAAGCGAGTCTTCCCTCCAACGCCAGGACACTCCATTCCCCCCGGGCCAGCTTCCTCCTCTTTTCCGACACTCGGCCTTCTGATCACGCCATACTTCGTCCTGATCACGCCATTCCTTGCTCCTGTCACACGGTCCCTTGCTCTGAACTTTTATCCGCTCATGTGACGCTAGGCCGAGTTAGCCGAATCTGCGCTTCCCGACTAAGCGACTCCAGCCCGATTTCCGAGACCACCGAATTAGCCGACGCCCGCGTGAGTCGACTACCCTAATGCAGCCGACAAGATCGGGAGTCCCATCTCATTTCCGACAACAGGAGCCTCATTTCCGACTTTGCTGCACACGACGGGATCCCGAGTACCACAGATCCCAACCACCTGGTACCTGGCTCTCACTCTCACCCTTCTCCCAATCCGTATCGAGCCCCTGACGGGCACACCACCATCATTCTGGGCTCGCAGCCTTCGCGCATGACATGAGCTGCTCGCTACACGTATCGATGACCGGTCCATGCGACAGCTCGCTTCCAGGTGAGGACACCCGACGCTGTCTCCTTTCCAACCACCGATGTCCCTCAAAACGCCTGGGTTGATCGAGGGGCTAGTGGTTCACGGTGGGGCTGGGAAATCACCCATGTAAAAAAGCTTCCTAGTCCGAGATGTCATTGAGTCATGTTCCCAATGAGCATCCTGGGCGACTAAAAGGGATCCAACTGCTCGTGGCGAAATGACTCGGAGTCGGAGAACCAAACCTGTATCCACAGAGAGTAGGATGAAAGGTCAGCGCACTCGTTGCCCATGGTGCACAGTGGTGCTGACTTTCTGAGACAAAGTTTCGAGAAACAGTCCCCAGGGAACAGTGACTATGATCGATGATCGCGAATTCTGACTCGAAGCCACGCATGTTCATGTATTGCAGCGCAGCCAAGTGCTTTGCTGGAGGAAGTTCCTTGATTCAATGAGAGCAGCATATGCGTGAAAACGTGAGCGACTGATTGCCGATGCATGGATAAAGAGGATCGAAGTGAATTGACAGCGGCGGTGAATCGCCTCAAACAGCTGGCGATCCGAAACGGCTCAATTGGCAAATGCTTTGTTCAGTTTTGATCCTACACGTGTGTACTTTGCTATTTCCTTCTCAAACCTTCTTTGTACGATATACGACCACAACATCCATGTACTAAACTGGACTCCAGTGACTCTGCTCACACTCCGAAACCGTTCGCCCCGTCTCACTCGTCTCAACGATCAGAGGCCACGGTAAGTCTCGAGCTGCGAGATGAGACGTGTAGCTTGACCGGACGTGAAGTTGTCCATGCAGCTATCGTAAGAGTAGTCCATCTTTTTGTATTTGATTTATGAAGCGCAGGAGGTGAAGATATCGCAAGAATGGGGGCCAAAATGCCGGAGGTCAGCTTTGGGCGATCGATAGCGAGTAACGTGCGCGCAGAGCAACGATACAGGGAACGCCAACGTACGTAGTTGGTCACAGGGTCCAGTCCAGGAGAACTGCATGTGTCACGACCCGAGGGGCATCCACTTGCAGGAGATGCTTCGGCGGGAGCTGCGAAGAAGGATAGGGGGGGCTGGCGGCGTAAGTGGCAAGCATGGTGGCCAGAAGAGCGTCCGACAACTGAGTGATGCACTCACTGTCAGAAACATAGTCACCACTTCCAGTGCAGCCGCCCTGGAAGGTGTGGTAGAGGCTAGAAGAAGGAGGAAGTGTCAGCTGCTTCGTTGGAGATGGCTGCGCAGCTCCTACCCCCCGTCCATGACGATAGCTTCGGAGGATTAGGAAAGTCGTAAAGCAGTACTCACCCAACCCAGTGACCAACCTGTGAAAAGAACAAGCAGAAGGTTGGCATACTCTTCGTGCATTCGAGTTGACCAAAGCAAGGTGAGTGTCAACTCACTTCGTGGGTCACGGTCTTGCCTTGGTTGCTGGCAACAGTAAGGGGGTGCGGTGTTCAGTAATTGAGGACGGTTGCACAATTCTTGATCCACTCAAGCTCACTAGTTCTGCGTAGCGCCTCCCGGGACCGAAGAGTACTGTGTGCGGAAAGGCGCGTGATTAGCAGTGCTTGGGTTACCGAGGCGACAAAGCTTTGAACTGGCTCACCAAGAAAACGACACCGTCGTCTTTGGGGGCCCCACTGTACGACTCGGGGAAAGTGGCATATCCCAAGAGTCCTAAACGCCAGGTGTCTCCAGTTAGCAAAGGCCGAATGGGCGACAGGAGCAAGGCGAGCGGCACGCCGAAAGGGGACCGCTCTTGCCACACGCAGACGTACCTTGTCCGGAACCGGCGATGAAGCCAACACTGTGTTGCAAAGATCACCAAGGTCGAGAGAATGGCACCGAGTCAGAACAAAATGGCGATTTGTAGTTGTGCTGCACAGCGAAAACCCAAATTCACCTGTACAGGTTCAGAGTGGCAACCGTGCCCTTGCGGAGGGCGTTCTTCATGGCGGTTTGTTGCCTCGTAGAGGGTCCAACGTTGGTGAACCAGTCTTTGTTGACGGTGTAGTCGGAGCCAGCGAGAGTGAACGACACGCCAGAGTTGGCGAAACCTTGGTTCAAGACCGAGATTTGCGAGTTGATGGTGGCGGCCGAGATGTAGCCGTTGCGCGTCGAAGTTCCTGTTTACGTTACAAACATCGGAACCATGATCAGGTCAATATGAACAGATGATATACGAGAGTTGAATGAGTAAGTTGGCGGCACGTACCAGTAGCGTTCTGGATCACGTGAAAGTACACAGGAACGTTCTTGGTGGCGACGACAGCGGCGATGGCGGCTTGGCGACTAGTCGCAGAACCACTACCACGAGCAGAGGCGATGCGAGCCTCGAGAGCAGCAACCTTGGCAGCGATGACCTTTTCAGCCGCGGCATCGGGGGTCTTGGTCGTACCGCAGACGCGAGGGTCCGAGACGGGCTTGAGCTGGCTCGAGCTGCCCGTGTTAGGGGCTGCGGCGACGGAGACGACGAGAGCGGCCGCAGCGAGGAAGGAGAAGGAGCGCATGGTGGGAGATGAAAGAATTGAAGCAAGGGCTGTGATGATTAGGAAAGAAAGAAGGAAGCGAACCGGTAGATCCAACTTCGAATGCATCAGGATGTACACTACATGCTCATCGATTGCGACCGCGAGGTTCGGGGGAAAAAATCGGAAGAAGCTTTCGCGCCTGGCGGCCGAGTTTTGCCGGCGTTCCTCAGATGAGGCTGGGTCAGACTTCTAGTCCTACTGCAAGCGTGCCCCGACTATTCCTCGCGTTCACCATGCGGTTTGCTTGATCGCCTTGGGTCCAGGGGACGAGAGCAGCTGTTTGACCCGTTCCTAAACATCGTGATTCGGAACCCGAGGACGGAAGCGCCTTCGCTCGAATTTGCGCTAGCGCCGGATTCCGAGTGACCCTGCCCCCTTGATCGACGCTAGATTGATTGCGCGCATCATTCCGGCGTGTCCGCGCTTGCATGCCGCCCGCCTGGCACTGCATGCAGACGTGCACTTGTAGTGGTCTGTGCCGTTGGCAAGCTCATGGGTAGCAAGATTCGCAAACGCTGCAGCAAGCACAAGGGTCGCTCGGGCAGTCGCCTTTTCACCGGCTTCAGCTGCCCCTCCGTTTCCGTTGTGGGGCACCTCGCGCTCTGGGCAAGACCGGCCCAGCTGAGTACTCCCTGTCTCCCACATTTTTTTGCGATAGCCGAGCGCTCGAATGTGGCACCCCACACTTCGCCCTTCCAGAGTGTGATTGATAACTGGGCAGGGCTCCACACGAATAATTGTGGCGATCAGCTGCGTTAGAGGTAACGTCACAGACGAAATGAACTGCGCTGCAGGTTTCGGCCGCCTCGAACGTCCTGCTTTTTTTGAGAGATCTTCAATTGTTACCATGTGGGCTTGCATTTTGCATGTGATTTGTAGCCAAACGTGTGGTGATAGGTATTTGAATAAAGTTCTTTGGACCACTGCCTATAAATTCGCTCCTTCGCTCGGTCAAAGCCCAGATTGGCGTTGCGCTAGTCGCTACCGCGGCGTGTGACTTTGAGAGAAAAAAAGGCTTGGAAGGTACGACCCGGTAGCCTGGCCAGGCGTTATTGCCACGCGTTGCATCGGATCCCGCCCGCCTTCGGGGTTTTTTAGCTCCTGTTTCACCAGAAGGTTGATGACCCTCACCGCGCGACCAGGTGGAGGCTGCCCTTGAAGAAGCGCAAGTTTATCGCTCGGCAACCCGGCAATCATCGCTGCCGTCCCGTTTCACGCTTCATGGCCAACCACGACGCGAGGTTGTACGCGGCCCGCATGTTTTGGCAAAAAGGCAACCGCGATGTCACTTTGCCACTTCCGACCCTCGTCTCTCAGATAAGCGGTTCGGTGACGTATTGGATCAGACGCTTCAGGGGCCCGATTGCCCACTGCATGCTTTCGTGGGACCGTTGAACAAGCGGGAATCGACGTTGATGATGTTCAGCGTTCTCGTTTCGGTAAGGCCAGCCGGGCTGTTTTTGGATGAGAAAAACAAGTACAGTAGAGTACGTACGTATCACTTCGGCCAAGTTGCAAATGATTTATCGACCCTCTGACAAGCGAGTTGGAAATGGAGGCGAAGTAATTCCAACTTGCGCGAATCCGATCGACAGCGCAGTCGCGTGCCAGAGAGTGCCAGAGCCCTTCTTGGCAGGCGCGCGTGAGCGATCCGATCGCGCAACGCCACTTGCACAGACCTGCACTGCCAGTCTGCCACTGCATGTGAAGAGGACAGCGCTACGTGGAGGAAAGGGGATTGTAGGCGACCAAGCCCTGATGACGTGGCGTGTTGCTGACTCCTTCGCTCTTTGTGAATATCTCTGCTTGTCGATATGTTTGTGCTCCAAATGTTCTCGTACTTGTCTACTCAGGTCCTGGGAATTGGGCAAATCTCGGAACTACGATCATTCGAGCAGGCTCAGACGGTCAGGGGAAAGTCTGGCCGATCGTAACTGATCGTGTCCGTTCGGTGTTCGAGATACGATGCAATGCTTCATTTCTTACAACATACATAATGGATCCGATGGAAACCTCGCGCGCCAGTCGAGCCTCGTGCCGAACGCCAACATCATTCATCCCCTCCCGTACTGACAGCCGGAACAAAATACGTCAACACCCCACCCTGCGATTCCCCCTTTGACGCGAGGTAGAGATAAAAGATCGCGCAATGCCCTTCACACAAGGAAGCGATCGTCGAGGACGAGATCGGGTACGCGGCGAGGAACTTGAGCAGGTTCTTTGAATCCACCGTCACGGAGAAGAACTGGCTTGGATCGGGTTCGGCGGTCGGCGCTGGGTCTTTGAACGGACAAAGATGAGGTGAGTGGGATGAATAAATCAGTGGGAACAGTGCGTACTTCCTGACGAACCTTCTTCACCGGGACGAGGGTGTAATAACCCGCGCCATTCGGTCGTCACGTTCGCATCTTCACTTTCGGCACGAAGTCTGGAGGACCGAAGGTCGATGAGTCAGTTCTAGACACGTTCACCTGTACGAATCATCCAAAAACACACTTGAGTTCACCCTGATGGTTCGCACTGATCGTGACCAAAGGTGAGATGGTTTTAAGGCGCTCGCAGATCGTCTTCAGCGTCGCCAACGGCGGCAACATGATATTGATCTGTCCACGTCCCGAACTCAGTATCAGTAACGACGGACTCGACTCGACCAGAGGAATGAGAAACCTACGTCGGGTGTTGGACAAAGTGGTTCTTTGAGAAGGTCCATCTCGGCGGCTTTTCTGACGCGCACGCCGACGTCCTGACTGATGTCGGTCGGGTTCATCCCTTTGCTCTGCGTGAGCGAGGAGGCGTGTCAGGATTCTGTTTTCGAGGCGGCGATGGCGGACTAGATCACAACGCACGATGGTCTTGATGTTGAGTGTCAGAACGGGTCGTGCGCCTTTGCCCGAGCCATCGGGACCTTGACCACCCTTTTTGGCCAACTTGATCGTCACTTCGGTCGCTCCCTGATGGATGATGGAGCGTCGGTCAGTACATGTCACGAAGGTTAAAGTATGATTCGAGTGCATACATGAGCCGATCTCAATGCCTTGGCCAGAGCCTCTGTCGATACCTCGAGGTAGATCTCGTTGTTGCTATTGGACTCGAGGCGGAAATCCTGGTCAATCCTGAAAATGGACGACTGCACGAGCGACGAGATGTCAAATCGTCAGCGAGCAACCCTCGGCGGGGAAGGATGACGGGATGCGATGCGGTAAGATCGAGGCTACAGCACTCACCACTGCTATTTGACTGTTTGAACGAATTCACATCCATTCGACACGTGGTCAGTACTAGCAAAATTGAGTCCGAGTCCCCAGATCGATCGAGGTCGAGTGAGTTATGAAAGGACGTACCTCCACACCTGCACGCCATTGGCGGTCGTATCGCTCAGACAGACGAGATGCACCGAGTCGGGTTTGAGTTTGATGGTCGCCTGCTTGGACAGGGGTGAGAGGGACGTGGCCAGGCGACCGAACTGCACCGGACTGGCCAACGTCGCTCGGAAGCGCATGCCGGCGACGAGGACGACGCGTCAGAAAAGGGCTGTCCAGCGGTTTCTGGGGAGGAGACGATTGATCAGGGCAGAATGTGGCGAAGAGGTGGGAACGTAACCGAGCGCGACAGACCCGAGACAAACGCGGCAAACAGGCCACACACAGGTGGTCCGTGCGCGTGGGGGTGAGTTTCTCAGCGTCAAAGTGTGGCCGCCGATCGCGCTTGCTTCGCTCTCCTCAATCACTCTCGACACCCTCAACCCCACCCGGTACCTGTGTGAAGCGATTCCTGACGGGAGCCATGGACGACGTCTATCTCGCGTTCTGCGATCAGTTGCAGCAGGCGCAGTTGGGCCAGGTCGCGCTGCTCGACGAGGACGATGGACTGCTGATGCGCTGGGCACAGATATGCGATGTCATGTAAGTGCCACGGTGCACGGATCAATGTTTCAACACATGTACTCAACATCCGGTCTGTTTTCCCCAGGCTGCAACAACTCGAATCACAGCAAGAAGCGTCGGGGACAGAGCAGGTCGACTCGTGGATGCTCGAGCGCAACACATGGCAGCTCGTACAGGCGCTCTATGCGTGAGGCTCACCGTGCAGACTATACATTCCCAAGTACATGCATTGATCTCGCCCGCACTTCTTATCATCAGTGAACGACTCGCGGAAACACCGGCTTCGTCAAGCGACGCCGCGTCGACCTCGGCCAACCCGTACACACCACCTTTGTCCGTCGCACAACACCTGATAGAGCATGACAAGCAACTCGTCGAACTCTCCGTACGTCTGACCGCAACAGGACGCCTCGCGAGCTCCAAAGCCGCTCCCGTTGCCGGGGCTCGCGATGCCGTTGAACCACAGCTCATTCCTCTCCCGCTAAACAGGCAATCCGAGATTGGTTACATTCGATTCCGACGACACTGAACCCAGCCGAGATACGACGGGGTTACCTCCCCTGGACCAAGAACAAGATCAAGCAGGCCAAACGATCCGGTCAACCTCTGCCTCGCGGGATCGTCCAACACCTCGACCCCGACGCCGTGCTGCGAGAGGCCAAGAATGCACAGGGTGGTGCAGGGGGGAGACTGGAGTCGGACGATGCGGTGAGTCCACGAGGTAGGACAAGAACAATGAAACGTCCCGAAGCTGATCTTTGTTCAACCGCGCGGTTGGCGAAATCACAGGCTTACGAGAAGGCGCTTCTCCGATCCTTGTTCGAGTACGTCCGAGCGGGTCAACTCGACTTGGCCATTGACATGTGTCAACAGTCGGACCAATCGTGGCGAGCCGCATCGCTTTCGGGTGGTAAGCTCGCGTCCGATCGAGCACTCGCTTCGGGTGATTCTGGCTTTGGCGAGGATGAGGATGCTATGGACGATGAGCTGCTGCAGGGCGGGAGCAAGATCAGCGGTAACGTCAATAGGAAGCTGTGGAAGATGATGTGTCGCAAGCTAGCCAGTTCGGTTAGTCGACCGAGGAGTCTCCCACAAGTGACTTGCCGAAACCTAAACCTTGCCACCCTTTGCGACGCAGCCTAATCTCGACCCTTACGAACGCGCCCTGTACGGCGCTATCTCGGGCGACACGGCCTCGGTTTTACCCGTCTGCAGCTCGTGGGAGGACATCGTCTGGGTCCACGTCAATTCACTCTTCGAAGCCCACGTAGAATCCGGCCTGTGGCAGTCAAGCTCGGGACGGTACTGGTCCCACGGCAGCGTTCAACCGATAGACAACTCAACGAACCGCGGTGCCAAATCGACCATCGACCCCGAAGACGTCTTGATCGCTCCCGCCGCAAGGGGGATACGGAGCGAGTTGGAATCGATCTTTGATCGGTTGCTCAAACTAGAGCGTGGGGACGTCGCGCAGGCAAGCAAGAACCCTTATCGCGTTTCGCAGACATATTTGATCGTCGGCAAGATTGGGGACCTGTTGACAACCTTTGTCGAGCGACTGGAAGTTGCGGCGCAGGACACGGAGCCAGAGTGAGCTTGGAGCAGTGGTTGCGAACGCGGCGCACCTCGTCCAATTTATGACTGACCATCGCATCCGTCGTTCACAGAGCACTGGCGCACCTGCTGCGATTCTTTACGCATCTCATCCTCGTCTTGCGACTTCTGAAGCAACCCCTACCCACTCACGCTGCGAATCGCATCCTTGAGGCCTACATCTCCGTCCTTGAAGCGAACGATCAATCCGAATCCCTCATTGCGTTCTACGCGTCCCAACTTGACTCGACGTCGGCGATCGAGTCCTACGCCCACTTCCTTCTCACCTTTGGGCCCGACTCGGATCGTCAATCGCGCAAGCTCGCCTTGCTCAAAGCGAGCGAACACGGTCTCGACCTTGCCGCGATCGCCTGCCGCACCGTCGAATTGGTCCTCCAAGACGTCAGGGACGACATATTGCCCGAACTGAACGAGGATCGTCGACTTGGGTCCTCGGAAGCGTTCGACGCATACGCACGCATCGACGCTCGTCAACTTGAGCTGATTCGCAGTCTCGAATGGTTGACCTTTGACCGTCGCACCTATTCCGAAGCTTTGACGCAAGCGAACGCCTTGACGCGCTACTTCCTCTCAACGGACCTCCCCCACGCTGCTAGGGAACTGATCTTCCAACTCCCCGCCGATTTGTTACCTGTCGAGGCGGCTCAAGTGGTCGAGAAGGAGGGTGAAGATCACGATGCGCAAATCAGGGAGTTTTTGGATTACACGAGCTTGTTTGCTTGTTTGGAGAAGCATACAAGGTGGGCCGAGGTGTGGAGTAGGAAGCCGAGAACAAAGTGAGTACTCCCGAGGTGTGCTCCGGTCGAACAAGCGGCAGCTGACTCGAGGGTCGACGATCCCCTCACAGCGTACCGAAACTCGAGCAGAATGCTTTCAAAGATGGGATCTCAGTAAGTGGACCTTTGTTTTTGATGCAGTATCCGTTGCTCGATCTGACGCCCTCCTTCCACCCGTGCAGGCACTCATCGATGACTTTTACGACTCGACGGTTCTGCTGCTAAACTCGGACTGGCTCAAGCTCGACCTACCGCTCAACGATGGGAACTTGGACAGTACGTCTCATGAACACTCGATTGATGTTGTCTGTGAAAAAATGCTGATGTCCGATTCACCGCGTACAGCCCCGAGACGACTCGCCGAACTCGCCCGGATCCGACAACTCGTGATCCCTCACCTCGTCTTGCGTCTGCACTTCACCCTCTACGACTCTCGAGAAATCCTCCCATCGTACGTCCTTGATTCTTTGATACTCTTCAGCGCCCCCTCACTAACCTTCTTTCATCCTCGTCTCAAACGCAGCTCGCTGCAACGCTGCTTCGAGCTCGCCAACCTCGTAGCGGACGAACGAACGCAACTCTACCTCGAATTCGTGGGCGAGCGAACGAACCTGATTGGCGATTACCTTGATCAAGTCAGGTTGGCCAGCCTGGCGGCTTTGGAAGTGGGAAAGGATAGGAGTGCGTTTTCGGTAGCATAGAGAGACTGTTTTTGCGTTGCATTGAAGAGACGCTTCGGAGGGAAGGGAGATATATCTCCGGCCGATGTCTGCTTGGAAACACGCGGTATCCCCGAAGAGGTGGTACTGACCAACGTGGGCCCCCTTGAGGAAACTGGTATACGTTTTTACTCTGGTTGGACTTGCATCGCTAGGTGTGATGATCCAATAAGATTCTTGTAAAATCAAGCGGCGACCGACCCCGGACTGCCCGATCGTTCTCGCTCTCCCTCTCGACGCGCCTGCCCCACATCGAACTCGGATCGATCGACACGAGTTTGTCCCTAGAAAGAGTAAGCGTCTCGTCTCAGAAGACCGTGATGAATTGAAAGAATGCTTGTTGTGCTCGTGACTGACGTCCGACGTGTTTCGCAGTGCCGAACCCGATCACTGTAGCGACTTGTTCGCTGAACCAGTGGGCGCTCGACTTTGACGGTCAGTCATCGCTCAGCTCCAGTCGGCACTAGGCACTACGGCGCGATCTTTGCGTTCTCGCATCAATTGCTGACGCGGATCAATACAGGCAACCTCGAACGCATCCTGGAGAGTATCCGGATCGCCAAGCAACGCGGTGCCAAGCTCCGGATTGGCCCTGAACTCGAGATCACGTGCGTCTCAAGTCATCGCGTGCCCCGCACGTCGCCGACCATGACTCACTTACACACATGTGCCCTTTTGACGTAGTGGGTATGGATGCCAGGATCACTTTTTGGAAGGTCAGTGTGGTGAGACGGGCGCCCGCGCTCGTTCAACCAGCTCACCGATGTTTTGAATCTGGTCTACTTTACAGGCGATACGGGCTGGCATGCTTGGGAGGTTCTGCACAAGATTCTTGAAGCCGATGACTGTCAAGACATGATCATCGATGTTGGCATGTGCGTCGTCCCCTGTTCGGACCGCTCCTGGACCTCGAACCTCAGCCCGCGTCGATTGACACCTCTGGACGATTTTTGCAGGCCCGTCTCACACAACAACGTCCTCTACAATTGCCGGATCATCTTCTACAACCGAAATATCTTGCTCATCCGACCCAAGATGTGGCTCGCCAACGACGGCAACTACCGCGAGCCGAGGTGGTTCGCACCGTGGATGAAGCCGAAGACGACCGAGGACTTTTGGCTGCCGTGGATGATAGCAAAGATCACGGGTCAGGTGCGTGGTCCTTGACGTTCTGGACTCGTTCAAGAATCAACACCGACTCAGACCCCCTGTCCTCGACTCACAGACGACCGCTCCGTTCGGAGACGCAGTCGTGGCGCTTCAAGATACTTGCATCGGAGTCGAAATGTGCGAGGAGTTGTTCACACCGAATGCGTAAGTTGGATGGCCACACGATCATCGCCCGTCCGAGCTCATTCATCATAATTGAGCTCGTCTTGTTCGCGGGGCAGACCCCACATCGGCATGGGACTCGCTGGAGTTGAAATTTTCACCAACTCGAGCGCCAGTCACCACGAACTGCGCAAGCTTTCGACCCGTATCGACTTGATCAAAGAAGCGACCCTCAAAGTAAGCCATCCTCGCAACTCATGCAACATCAACACCACTGACGCTCAGAAATCCCATGAACAAGTCGGGAGGGCTGTACCTCTACGCGAATCAACAAGGCTGCGACGGCGATCGCCTCTACTACGACGGCTGTTCTTTCATCGCCCTCAATGGCAAAGTCGTTGCCCAAGGTTCGCAATTCTCTCTCAATGACGTCGAGGTCGTTACAGCAACCGTCGATATCCAAGAAGTGAGGCACCATCGAAGCGGGAGTTCGAGGAGCGTGCAAGCTGCCGCGAGCGAATCTTTCCCACTTATCAGGTGTATGATGAGGCTCGCCTGTGATGATCTGAATGAGGAGTTGACCGATACCGAATTGATGGGTAAAGGCGAGTTCAAGTACCATACGCCCGAGGAGGAGATTGCGTGAGTCCAGCTTCCGCGACCGTGGTTAAAGTCACGCTCCAGCTGATCCGTTCGCTGTCTCACCCCCCCCCCCCCCCCCCCCCCATCCAACTAGTCTCGGCCCCGCATGTTGGTTATGGGACTACCTCCGTCGATCGGGCACCCAGGGTTACTTTGTCCCTCTAAGCGGTGGCATCGATTCATGCGCCACCGCCACCATCGTCTACTCGATGTGTCTTCTCGTGATCAAAGAATCCGCCCTCGGCAACGAACTCGTCATCCAAGACGCGAGGAGGATCGTCGGTGAGAAACCCGACTCGGATTACGTCCCCGTCGACGCGAGGGAATTTTGTGGTAGGATCTTTCATACGTGTTATATGGGGACGGAGAACTCGAGCATCGAGACGAGGAAGAGGGCCAAGGATCTGGCGGAGGCGATTGGGAGGTGCGTGTCGAGAACGAGATAGTCGATTAGGAAGTGCAGGAAGTGAGAAGACTGATTTCAAAAGAGGCTCAACATGCACAGCTACCACGTCGATCTCAACATGGACACCGTCATTACCTCTATCCGGTCGTTGTTCCTCCTCGTGACGAACAAAAAACCCGAGTTCCGAGCTCACGGAGGCACGAACGGAGAGAATCTGGCGTTGCAAAACATCCAAGCGAGGTTGCGCATGTTGTTGGCTTATCTTTTTGCGCAACTGTTGCCGTGGGTTAGGGGTTCAACTGGTGGGTTACTTGTCTTGGGAAGCGCCAACGTTGATGAGAGGTGAGTTAGGACCTTGCTGCTAAAAGGGTGTTTCAAAGCTGAGGAGAGAGTGCATCGGCAAATTTACAGCCTTCGAGGGTACTTGACCAAGTACGATTGCTCGAGCGCGGACGTGAACCCGATCGGCGCCATCTCGAAAACGGACCTCAAGAAATTCATCGCTTACGCCGAAACGGCATTCGATCTGCCCATTTTGGCCGAGTAAGTCACAGAGTCCACAGCCCAACGACGGAGGCTCCGTTTGCTACAACACACACACACACACACACACACACACACTGACACAATGATTTGGCCCGTTCACAGATTCTTAAACGCGACGCCGACGGCCGAACTAGAACCCATCACCGCGGACTACGTTCAAGCCGACGAAGCGGACATGGGTATGACTTACGACGAACTCTCCATTTACGGTCGTCTGCGCAAGATCGAGAAACTCGGTCCTTACGCCATGTTCACCAAACTCATTTCCCTCTGGGGTTACAAACTCAGTCCGCTCGAGATCGCGGAGAAGGTCAAGTTGTTCTTCTTCGAGTACGCGCGCAATCGTCACAAGATGACGACGATCACGCCGAGTTATCATGCCGAGGCGTATACGTGCGATGATAACAGGGCCGATTTGAGACCGTTCTTGTACCCTGCTCGATGGCCTTGGCAGTTTAGGAAGATTGACGAGACGGCGCAGATCTTGCCGGATAAGAGTCAGAGGAAGGCCAAGGTCGAGTGATGGGATTAATCCTGTTTAGAAATGCAGGTGAAACGGCATTATCCGTAGACACAAAATAAAATGACAACATGGGGTCAAGACGTAATCAATGCTGCTCGTGAGACAGGGAAAGAGTCGCAGAAGATCACTTGGCGGGCAAGCGAGAAAATATGGAAGGTTGATCGGGGTCACCACCCGTGTCTTGGGCGGCTGTGCGCATGACAATGAGGGCCCGTGCGTCAGTAAGGATAATCAGCACGACGGCCCGGGCTGGTCGGCGATGCGCACCTTTTCGCTTGACGCTTTCCATGATGTCGTTCGTTGAGGAGCGATCGAGATCGTCGCGAGCCTTGAGGAGGCCTTCGACGAACGCGACGTTGGCTCCGTACCGCTTCTTGAACGCAGAGTACTATGCGGTGAAAACAGCTACGATCAGCCCACCGAACCCAACAGCAAGCGCTAAGACGGTTCCAAACTCACATCAAGGATAACCATCATCTTACTCGCACTCATCAACGTCAAGATGCTCTCCAAGACATCAAAGTATTCATCCAACTCCTTCTTGCTCTTGTACGCGCCAAAGAATTCCCTCGACTTTGTGATGTCCCCCCGAATACGATCCAACGCCGCCGGGATGCGTAGCTTGGAGCACTTCTTGATCGCGACGATGTAGGTGATGAGGTACGTGTCGATGATGTCTTCGATCAGTAGCTCAAAGAGGTTATGGTTCAGGTGGGTTTGGTAGTCTTCGGCGATGTAGTCCCGAAGGGTCTCGACGATCAAGGTTACGGGATCGGCGGGGCTATCGGCAGAGGGTTTGTCGTACCATGATTGAGTCAGCAACGCCTTCGTCGCCGGCTTGAGATCGTTGAACACGACATCAATCAGGACCTGTACGCAACGCTTTGCGACATCGAGGTAGCCGTCCATCGCGTCATTGAGCTTGTCCGCGATCGCGGTCTTGTACTTTTTCGACACGAGCGGCTCAAGGCGATTGTTGAGCACCTCGGTGAAATCGGCCGAACGGATCTGGTCGTTCGCCAAGGCCATGACGTATTCGACCAAACCGCCGGGCACTTCGTCCGGGTTCTTGGCTTCGACTTGACGTTTGTACTCTTGGTCGAGCAAGGTCAACCATTGCCTTTGTACGCCACGCATGACTCGGCTTGCTTCTTGTACGATGCGCAAGAGGATCGAACCCTGATTCGAATCGAGCGAGAGGTCGATCTGTTGATTTAGCATCTGGAAAAGGATGACGGCACCTTGCATCCCGTATTGACCGTCGGGGTCGATTTCAGGAGGTTGTTCACGCTTGACGAATTCGTCGACCTCGGTCTTCATCAGGTTCGCGGTCCATTCGTCCATTTTCTTGACGACGAGCAACGCATAGTCCTCGATGAGTTGCGCCTCGCGGCCATCGAGTAAAGGTGGGGTGATCCATTCGACGTGGACATCGAGCTCGGTGACCATCGTCTTTTGGTACTCTTTGACGAACTGCGAGAGTCGTAGCAGCGAGCCGGCATCGGGTCCGGCCTTGACGTACGTTTGCAAAAAGTCGTACAAGGCCTTGTGGTACCCTTTGACGCTGCAGTCGGGGTTGGGAAAGGAAAACACATCAGCTCTGGTCCAAGAGCCGCTGCTACAGGGCCCCCAAGACGCATGTCCTTACTAGACCGAAAATATCTGCAAGCTTGGCAATGGCTGAACATCAGTGCCCGTGCGAGGGGTTCAGATGAAGCCTCCTATCGTGAAGCTCACCTTCCAATCCGGTGGGAATCCTGGCACCAAATCCTTCTCCACGGTCAACAGACTGTCATAGATCCAATCCAGGCCATCGATCCAGGCCATCCCATTATCGTTATGCCTCGCATAACTGCGTTCAATTTCAGTCCGACACGCATCCTTGATCGCATCCATGACCTTGGCCCGATAATGCTTGATGATGCGCGCATCGGCTTGAAGACTCTTGAACCTCGAAGCGACATCGAGCGTGCCCGCTTTCTTGACCATCCTGATGGCGATCGCTTTCTGGTCCCTTGCACCTTCGACCTCAGCAATCTTGGCGACCTTGACCGCGACCGAGGCGTGGCCGCGTCGGGAAAGTTCGAGCAGTTCCCGTGCGATACGAAAGTAGTGCGCTTCGAAGGCTTCGATCGTTTCTGAAAGTCGCTCAAAGTAGGCTTCGAGGGTACGCATCGTCTCGGGTTGACACCGCGATCGTTTGGCTTGGGTCAGGGTCTCGTTGCGGAAGGTCTCGAGCTCGGTCAAGTGGTAGTGGACGGGGAGCAGGTTCGGTGCCGGTCCGAGTGGATCGGCTCGGTCGGTCGAGAGTAGGGACGAGATGTAGGATAGGCGCGTGTACATGGACCTCAGTGCGGTCGCGGTTTCCAGCGCTTGAGTGAACCGTCGATGGATGACCGAGAGCTGGAGACCAGGGACAAGTCTCCATCAGCTCGTGGCTCGTCTGGGAACGGAGAACCGGTCTGGGACACCCACCTGAACGAGCTTGCCGAATCCTGGGATTTGACCTCTTGGATCGGACATGTTGTGTTCTACGTCCTTCATTCCTTCCTTGATGGTTTCGATTGTAGCTTTGGCCTGCGCATCCCACATAAACGGTAGACGTGGAGGGGAAGGGGGAAGCTCGAGCCCGGAATGAGCAATGCTCGCTCCCGCATGCCAGCATAAATCACAACAAGATCCGAACCGACCTCTTTCAATCCGTGCAGTCCTTCTCTCATAGCATCGACCTGTTCCTTGCCCCTCGCGGACAGGGACGTCTGCAACGAAGCGCGCTCCTTTTGGATCCGCTGGCGTAGCAACGGCATACGCGTCAATGTTGAGGGTGTTGACAGATGCTATGGGAGTACAAACGCTCAGATTCAGTGGTGATCTGCTTTTGTAAAGAGTGCATGTCGGAGGCACCTCGGCGATCGCGCTCGCGGCGGTTGAATGGCCTCCGGGTGGTGCGGTCGCGGGGGCAGCGTTACTCGTCCCCGCATAGCCGCCCATCAACGATTGCATCATCTTGTCGACAGATTCGTGAGCCTGCAATGCCTGTGTCTGGGTCGTGGATCGTGGGAGGTGACCGCAATGAGCGCGTCGGACAGGAGCAAGCACGCGCCAGAATAGCCACCCGCTGCCACACGACATCGCCCAGACAATACGACAGGTCGGGTAATCCAGTGAAAATTACGCATTACAAACTGCTGACGCTGCTCATTACGAATTGCGCCCCCGCCCCCACCTGCCCCCACGCGCCGCCCACAGCCTCCCACGCGCTCCCACGCGCGCCGCCCACGGGCCGTTCGTCTCGGCGCAGCGTGGCTTGGCTCCTTTTGCTCTACCCGCTCGAGTGTTCAACGGCCGACCGTAACTCTCTCCTGACCTGGACTGCGCAAGTGACGGGGCGCTTTTTATGCTCGTGCTCTCGACTCGTCAGGCCATCACCTCTGCGTTCCTCCCCAAGACGACGACGTCCACGAGTGCGGCCGCCCTGCTGCTTCTGATTCAACGCCGGCTCGCTTGCGCCTCTTCCTCTGCCTTTGGCTCTGCGCGATCAATCCACCTCTGCGCCCACGCCCGGGCCCGCGGTAGCATCGGCCTCGGTAACGGACACGTCAACGACCTCGCTAGGTCCCCCTCGCACTTGCAGACATCTGCGCCCATCCTCGTCGTCTTTTTGGGTCAAACACGTCACCTGTCGTCAACCGGACCCACCACCGAATTGCACATCATGTCACCCCAACTAAGGAAACGCCCCTCTCGCAACCTCAGTACCAACGCCTCCGGGGCTCCCTCCTCAGCAACTCCACCTTCCTCCACCTCAGCTGCCGGTCAGCAGGGATCCACGTCGAGTGGCAAACCCCCCTTGTCGCATTCACACTCGCACTCGCACTCGCACGGCGACCACGCCGAAGAAGCCGCCGCTCTCCTATCAGCTCTACGCGGCTCTTCCGACCCGGGCTCACGCATCACCCTCATCGGTCTCGGCGCCAACGTCGGCCTCACCGCCGTCAAAGGTGTCGCAGGGTGGATCCTCGGTTCGGCGGCTTTGCTCGCCGATGCGGCTCATAGTGGGAGTGATTTGTTGGCGGATGTCGTGACGTTGACGACGTATCGCATGAGTCGAAAACCCGTTAGCGTCAAGTACCCCTATGGTTACGGAAGTGAGTGTGAATGATCTGGCAGCTCCGGAAGGGATGAAGAACTCATCGTTGTCACAACTGTCGGTAGAGTACGAATCGGTGGGATCCTTGGTCGTCTCGATTCTCTTGATTGGGACCGCGCTAGGAATCGGCAAGTTCGGCTCTGGCGAAGAGTGTTTGACCAGTGCCAAAGCACTAAACCTACCAAATCCTGTCTTTTAGGTCTTCACTCGTACCACCTTCTCTTGACGACCCTAGCCACGATGCCCAACATGAACCCGGAGCTCCTCGCCTCACTCGACCTTTTCCCGCACGGCCATTCTCACGGCGGTGTCTCGGACCATTCCCACGACCACCACGGCTCCTCCGGTGAAGCCGAGATCGTCGATCCTCGTGCCATGTGGTTCGCAGCAGGTTCGATCGCCGTCAAGGAATACCTTTACCGCGCGACGCTCAAAGTTGCCAAATCTGAACATTCCAACGTCCTTCTCGCTAACGCGTTGCACCATCGTTCGGACGCGTTCGGGTCCCTCGTTGCTGTTGGAGCTATTGCGGGAGCGTACTTTGGGTTCCCTGTTTTGGATCCTTTGGGTGGTCTATTGGTTTCGGGCATGGTTTTGAAGCAAGGTGCTGGAGTTGGAGTGACGGCGCTCAAAGAGCTAGTCGGTGAGTGCGCCATCTCAGAACTTTTCCCAAGTAGGAACAAAGTCGGCACCTGACTAAGCTCATCTATGTTCCTATCCACTCACAATAGACCAAGTCACGGACCCTTCCCTCCCACCTCGAATCCATTCCGCCATTCTCAAATTACGCGACCCTTCCCTCCCTTCTCTCCCACCTTACACCCAACTTTCCTCCTCCTCCCTCTCCTCCCCCTCAACAAGCGGCAACCCTTCCAACTTTTCCTCCGCGGATCATTCTCTCCACGCAACCGAAGCGTCCGAAGCTGAACTCGAAGGAACCTTTCCCATCTTGAGTATCCTTTCCATTCGAGTGATGGCGTCCGGACCGAGTTTATTGGTCGATGTGGTCTTGGGTTTACCGGATGGGTTAACGTTGAAGGAATGTGCGGAGGTGGAGAAGAGGGTCAGTGAGGTTTGTAGGAGTGAATTGGGGGGCAAAGATAGGGTTAGGGAAGTGGTTGTTAGGATGGTTGGGGAAAGAGCGGAGGAGATGGAGGAGTGAGTGAGGGGTTGGATGGGACGAGAGGGGGGGGGGAAGGTGGTTGAATGTAGCGTCTTGGGGGAATTCGATAAGTGCATGAGAGACCTTTTCTTATGAATGAAGCGATGAGTCCAGCATCAGCACAAAGATATTCGGTCGTATTAAAGGGTAGGAGGTGAACTAATAGGTATACAGCGGTGAGAGAGGGGTCCAGGGAGTCACGGCCGCACATTCCGCCCGTAAACAAAGCGAAAACTGCCGAGGGTTCCTCTGCTAACCGTTCTGAATCACAGCCTTTCAAATGAAGTCTCGTGTGGACACCGATACGAAATTGAAGTCCCGGGTATGTCGCTAGTGCACGCTCTCGAACAGGAAACCTCAGCTGCGCGGACCTCGGAAAACCTGCGACAAGGCAAAGCAGCCGGAAAAGTTGAGGGTCACCTCGGGGTTCTAGCGAAAATCTACTGCTTCTGGGTTCAAAGCTTCAGTGATACGATGAAAACTCTTCAAGATGCGACCTGGTGCCAGCTTATTCAATGTAAGCTTGGTCATCGCGCGGCCGTCCGGTCGCCTCAACTTTTGATCGAAATGTTCATCGAAATGTTCTGCGCGCGGTAGCGGTGCCAGTTATCAAGTCCAGCAGCTACTTGACCTGGAGTGAGACCTCCTCGGCACGATTCATTCGAGTAATCCATCAAATTGAACCACAATTTCGCTTCAGGATCGTCGCCTCGAGCCACATAAGGTACGCCTGCTTGACACTGGGCGGCCGCATTGTACGTGCACCCTTGCGTTTGGTAACCTTGCGGCGGCGTGTCGGCGATTCCGTCGTTTATGAGTGAACAGCCGCCTTCGAAGGTGTGTGGGAGTCCGAGGAGGTGATGTCCGAGCTCACTGATGGAACAGGCGAATGCGCCACAAGGTCAATGTGGCATCGAAGACGTGAAAGGATGCGGATCGGAAGGTCTGAGAGCTTACTGCGCTAAAGCCTTTCCTTGTAAAACTTCACCCCCTTCAGAGCTGAATCCCGGCAACGTATCGCAAGCGAGGAAGATGGCGTCCAGCAAAGGGGCATCCTGGACTTCTTGCGGCATTGTTCCGTATCCTGCCCAATGATGAGTCATTTCTTGGGTCAGTGAACAGGATTCTTTCCTAAAGGACGTCCGGGGGAGCGGCGTGTGCGTGACAGAAGAGAGAGCTCAACACCGTTGCTGTTGGAACAGCGGTATTACACTGACCCATGATGAGAGCCTGACCATCGCGAGGCCTGCGCACGGTGAAGACGTTGATATCCGCAGCGCCTCCGACCCGTAAATTTTTGATGACCTCGCGTTCGGTCTCACTATCGAAATCGCCGCCGTATTCGAACCAAGTCGGGTTGTTGGTGTACGTGATTTGAGCAAGGTTGATGTTCATAGGCAGTTCACTGGCGGCGAAGATGGAGTTGACGACCTCGATTTGCTGGTGGATCATCTCGGTGCTGAGGTAGCCGTCCTGGGCAGCTGAGCCGGCGAACGTTGCATCGGGCACAGCACGCGTCAGAACCTGATTGCGAATTCCCCGGAAAGTTGAAGCTCGACTTCACTTACTCGAACCGCTGTGAATGACATGCCAGTGAAGTTGAACCTGGATTTTGTCTGTCAGAGTGCGGGATGCGACGGCGGTGGGCAGGTCGATCACGGCGGCTCGATGTCGCAGCTTCTCCGAAAGCCTATGCCTGTCACCGCGGCTCAGTCTTGAACACAACGGTCAGTCTTCAATACAACAGTGGGACGAGCTCTACATTACGCGGCTCACGATCCCTTGGTAGGTCTATGGCTAGACTTGTGGTGCTTGAGTCCACAGGGGTTCGACCTGGCAGGCCGCTCGGTGCCACGGTTCGTTGTCGAGGACCCTCCAGGAGATAGGGCGGCGTGACGATGACCGTGCACACCCGAGCCGGAAGCAATTACGCCGCCACCTGAAAGGACCCCACTAAGGACCGAGAGGATAGTGAAAAGCCGCATTGTGGTCGTCGATCTGGTTGTGCAATCAGGAACGAGAGCAGTAGATCATGGGAGGAGGATAGAAGCGACAGAGTGGTGTGTGACCTAGTGGTTGTTTACACGTCGATTACATGAATCTCACGGGCCGTCTCCAGAGGTGCGGCCAAAACTTGCCCCAGAGTCAACGCTAGATTCACAATAGTGCACCGGGCTCGCGCTTGCGGAAAGGGGCTGCGCAATACGCATATACGGTACTTCCGCTTCTTCCCCTCCGGGCACCTGCCGTTTTAAGCACCAATCATCAACCTAAACTTAGCGTTTCTAGCATTCAAGATACGTTCCACTGGTCACGACATTGTTGTAGGAAGGGGACAGAGTAAAACTTTTCCAGGGGAAGCGCGAGTGGTCCATAGAGTTGAGCTTGGATTATCTGAGCTCGTTGTCACCATGGGCCTAAATGAGTGCCCTTGGACTAGCTCTGACAGGAGCACTCGGACTAAAATACCAAAATGCGTGGTAATGTTCGAGTCCGAGCGGGATTTAGCCAATTGCACAGCATTGACAACTGCATCAGTGCAGACCAAGACTAAAAACGCTTTCGAGCCACCTACCTATACATCTCTCTGAGTGCGCCTACTCGGTCAGCTTCGCTGCGCATGCTATTCGACAACTTGAAGCTCGGCATCGGGATACCGACGTCGTTCCGTCGACGTTCACCCAAAAACAGCTGACCATGGGGCTCTCTCTTTTGCAAGAGCGTGGGAGAACGACCTCGAAGTGGATGTGGGCTCGGTTGGCCTGTGCGATCGATTACCGGCGGTTGTACCTGCTCCGCTGGCGCGCTTATCAGCGGCTCCAGAAAAACGACGTTGTGCCCCCCCCCCCCGAGAGTCCGAATGCACTCGGAGTTTAAGCGAGAGTTTCTCTCCCGGGCGGGCTTTATTTCCGAAGCTCGAGATGGGGATCTGTGAAGGCCGAGTTGAGTCCTTTCCTTTCCTTCCATTACTTTCCCTGTGTTTCTTCGAAAGTTCGACCCGTCTCGAAACCCGTTGCGTAGTCACGTAGAAGGCTGCCCAACCCTCCTCTTCTTTTCCTTTCCCCCCTTTTCGGGTTTACCCCCCCCTCTCTCTCACACACACACACACTTCTTTTCTGGTGTTGTGGCTCAATATAACACACCGCGACCCGTATTTGCTCCCACCTCCCGCGATCGTTAGAAGGGTGCGACTTGGAGCCCTACCGAAGGGCTTCGTTTTACACAAGCCGCATCAGGAGGTATTTCGGCCGCCCATGGGGTTTTTTGTGTTTACTAGAGAAACGAAACTAGACAAAGAGAGAAAAAGAATTGACGAGGGGCTCTGCAGTAGTGGGGTGCTTGTGTTGCCACTTGAAAATCTAAACGAAGATGAACAGAGAGGCATGTACGAAAAGAGAAAATTGTCTATGTCCAAGAACGAATTCGTTTCGCGTCTACTTGCTGATATAAATTTGCGCCTCGTAAGCGCCCAACACGCCCCTCTTGCCCTCGCCAAACTTGAGCGACTCGACGAGTTCAAACTCCCCCTTGACGTCCGAAGGGAACTCGAACTTTTGTTGCTCGGCCGTAAAGTTCAGCGCCACCAACGCGACCTTTCCATCGTCCGCACGCTTGAGGTACACGATCGTTTTCTCATTCTCCTTATCGAGCATCTCGAAATGACCATAAGGGAACAAGTTCTTGTTCTCCTTCCTGAACGCAATCAACTTGCGATAATACTCGAGCGTCGATTTCGGATCACCTTGTTGATCGGCGACGTTGATCTCCTTGTAGGAATCCATCACCCTCATCCAAGTTTCGTCCGCGGTGGAGAACCCAGCTTGTTCCTCCGCACTCCATTGCATCGGCGTTCGAGCGTGGTCGCGGGAGGTCATTTGGATACCGAATTGGCCTTCTTCGAGCAGCTTGGGGTCGTGAGTGTCCGCGGCGACTTGTTGCATCTCGGCCCATTGGTTGATCGTTTGCACGTCCTTGTATTCGGACATGGGCCATGACTTGGGGCAGTTGATCATCCCAATCTCCTCTGCGAGCTCCGACAAAAACAATAAAAGAGTTGCCGTCAGTGACCAAGATCCGTCTGTACTTCTTATCGCTCGCCCTGAACTCACGTCCTTGGTAAATGATCGGCGTTCCCGAAACGGTAAGCAAATACGTTGCCAACATCTTTGCCGAGGCAACACGATGCTCCGGCTTGTCGGACGCATACCTCGGTACACTCCTCGCCTGATCATGGTTCTCAAGGTAGGTGACGGCCCAGGCGTCGTATTTCGCTTCGGTCAATTGTTGATAATTGGCCGTGATCTTTTTAAAGTTGGTCAAGGGCCATTCTTGGTGCATGAGGTGGAATTTACCCTTGCGACGATCGAGATCGGCCAGATCGAATTGGATGACCATGTGGAACTCTTTGGCTTCGGCCGCGACGAACTTGAGCACTTCTTTGATGTCCGGGGTGTTGGGCATTTCGCCGATTTGGGTGCAGCTGGCAAATGGCAGCGCGCAAAGAGTCAGCTTCCAAGCTGATCAAGTGCTGCAAGGTAAGTTCTCAACTCACTCGTAGTGGACAAAGACCTGGGAGTGAATTTCCTTGAGAAACTCGTGCAGTCGAGGACCGTTGCACATGAATTGACCAGCAGGTTGCCAGGGCGTAGAAGCGTCGGTAATGGGCGCGTCGGGGAAATCGATGAATTTGGAATACTGCGCAAAGTTCCCATAAAACCAAAGTTAGTGAGATTATCACTTGGTGTCATGCTTCCGTTGACTCGTACCATGTTGGCGACGTCGATGCGAAAACCGTCGCAGCCCTTGTCGAGCCAGAACTTGATGGCGTTGTTGTAGAGCTCCTTGCGCATGACGGGGTTCTCCCAGTTGAGGTCGGGTTGCTCGGGCACAAAGTAGTGGAGGTAGTACTGCGACCCAGCAAGAAGCCCATATCAGCACAGGTGGTCAAAGTGGACTGTTGAGCCGATCCGACCCACCTCCTGAGTCAGTTCATCCCATTCCCACACCGACCCGCCAAAGCATCCCCTCCAATTGCAAGGCGGATGACGCACGCCGTTCTCGTCATATGTTGGCGGACGCCAGATGTACCAGTCGCGCTTGGGGTTGTCCTTGCTCGAACGGGACTCCTTGAACCATTCGTGCCAGCTCGAAGTGTGGTTGATGACCAGATCGAACAGACTGGGGAGATGAACGTCAGTTCCAACTTGCGAAGAATGGGACAAAACTCTGAGCGGATGCGACCGACACTTTCATGCCTCGCTTGTGGCAGCCCGCAATGAGGTCTTCGACATCAGACACCTTTCCATACGGCTCGTGTACATTTTGATAGTCCTGTTAGCGTGGGAATAGTGCGATAGGAGTACGAGTCAGTAATGGGAAAGGAGGATGCTTTGACGTCATTCGCGATCTCGTGCGATCGTCCGACCCGGCAGAATCAAAGAGGGGTCACTCACTTGGATGTCGTAGCCGTTGTCGAATTGGGGTCTAAGAAAATGACGCGTTCAGCGCTGAGGTACATCTTTCCGGACCCTATTCCGTCATCGACGCGCGTGAGAGGAGGGATGATGACGAGGTGACAGCCCTCCAGCGCGACGAGGTGACGAGGTGGGGGGACAGTGCACGACCGGTGCGGACTCACGACTTGAAGAAGGGACTGATCCACACGACGTCGACGCCGAGTTGTTTGAGGTAGTCGAGTTTGGAGATGATACCGGGGATGTCGCCCTCGCCTTGACCTTTGGAATCCGCGTACGAGCGCGGGTAGATCTGCGCGTGGGCGCAGGCGAGAGAACAGCCGCGCAGGGGAGGTTGTCAGCTGTCAGTGCAAATGGTCGTCTGGTATCTCGGACAACGAGCTCGTGGCGGTCTCCTTCCCTCCAGAGGACCCTGATAGCCCATCCGTCGCAGCGTCGTGGGCGCAAGGTGCGGACGAGCGAACAAAGCGGGCGACCCTCGCGCCGAAGTGGGGGCGACGTTCCACGACTCGGCCTCAACGGAGCCGGGAATGAGGGAGAGACTTCCGACTTGCCTGGTAAACAACACCCTCCTTCCACCATTGCTGAGTGTGGGACATGTTCGTGCGAGATGTGTGCGTTGTGCTTGCGGCGAGCAGGGGAGGAAAGCCAAGAGCTGCAACGGTCGGGCGAGTTCGAGGGGGAACAAAACGGACGCCGCGAGACGCCGCGTCGAGCGAGCCGAGCTCAGAAACGGCTTGACCGAGCGCATATCATTTGTCGCAGTAGTCACACAGCCACACCGAGGACGAAGCTCTTCTTTACCCCTTCTTTTTTTTAGACCAGAAAAATCGACCCCAAAAAGCCAAGCCCGCTCTCAGGCCCTCTGGATAGCATGCGCGATGACGTTGGTCGGCTATCGTTGAAAAAGGATCGTCGGGTGAATCTCGCACGTCGGATAAATGAAATGCGGGGGCGCGCGGAGGCACCGGCGCAAATCGTTCATCGATCAAGCAGAAGCTGTACCAACAAATTGCCGCAGTTGGGGTTCCCCGAGTCGGCATGCAGTCGGAGTCGGGTCGTTTGACCGATCCGATCCGACTGCAGTCGGGCGGGAGTCGGCTCTAGTCAGCTGGGAATTGCCTCCGTGTCGGGCGCTAGTCGGCTGAAAGGAGGGGATCATTAGCCGCGGTTCCTTGGAGAATCGAGATCCATCAAGTCAGGATCAAATGGGGAGGAGCTGGGGAAGGATAAAGCTGGGGTATGTCAGGGCTTGATCCTTCAAGGCTCGCGAGAATTGCTATAAAAGGCTACTAACTGTTGATGTGTTCGGGTTCCTTGCGAATTGTCCAAATCGTCCTAAGTGTGTAAAGGAAAGAGGGATAAGAGCAACTATCAAAAGGCACTCCCTTCCAAGGAGAGGAGAGCATTTCTCAGTTGCAGGCAAGGCCCGTGGGAGGCGCGCGCCCCTCTCATCGAGGTTCGTTCGCCGCGATTTCCGAAGTTTGCAATCGAGTCGCAAGATTTAGGCTCGTATGGAAGGAGAGCATCGCTGCACGACGACGCTTCATCAGGTAATGACACCGTGCGCAGATGGCACTACGTTCGCCAACCCGTCTCGGACGGATCTCACGACCTCCAATCACAGTCGTACCGGCGCATAAATTCTCCCGCATACGCGTAGATCGAGGGTAAACACAAGCTACAATTGCCATAACTGTCCGAACTGGACGAACGTCAAGGCCGAGCAGAAAAAAATTGGAAACGTCAAAGAGCAGGAACGGACAATGGACAGGAACTATGCGAAAACGAAGGCGATAGAAGCAGAACACAGAGAATTGAAACAGAAAGGGCAAAAAAAAAGAGAGTCTGAACTGAAAGAAGAAATGCGGGAGATGTGTATAGAAAGCAAAGCGAACGAAATGTATCCCGATCCCTCTGTGCTCTCACGAGAGGTGGAACCCTCCCCCACCCTCTCGAATGGCGGTCATGATCCTCTCCTTGACGATCTGGCGCGAGGTGTAGTCGGGCAACTTGAAGTAGTTGACGCAGGTCATGACACTGGGTAAGGAGGGGTCACCGCCGTCTTTGCGGACAATTGTCAAGGTTGGGGACAAGGCGGCGAAGCCTCCAATGGGTAGACGAGGTCTGTGAAGTAGGATGGCAGGGGTCAGTCCATTATCGCGTGAGCCAAAACAAAGGCGACTAGAGAAGACTCACGACCCAGTAATGAACGACAAAAACACCCTCCTATCCTCCAACGACAACTCCGACATGACCGATAACAAATCCCTCACAGGTCGACTGTCCATCGTGAACCCATGATCGGCCTTGGTCGCGCTCGTCAAGCCCTCGATCGACCAATCCTCTTGCAAGGCGCTGGTCATCATCACCAGTTCGCTAGGTGTGAAAGATTGCATATCTCGGACGGGGAAGACGGCGGAGAAACCGGTTTGAAATTCCGAGACTTGGGAGGCAACTCCGCGGCGGAGCGTCCATTCCAGTACGAGAGAGATGTACTCCTCGACGTTGTCGGCCGTAACCGAGATCGAGTCCCCTTCGGGCTTGAGAGCAATGTCGTAGCCAGGCAACGTAAAGTCGAGTGCGAGATCGACGATCGAGCTACCATGTACGGTAATCGCTTCGATCGCGGATTGTTGCTCAACCTCGGACTTGGTGTCGTCGTCGAGGATCGCTCGTCTCGCGTCGACAAAGTCTTGCAGGATCGAGAGTGATTTGGCGAGACCCCGGTCGATGGACTGCAAAACCCGAGCGAATGGGAAGTGAAATACATCAGCACACTGCACAATGAAGGCTTTTTCGAGGCCCCAATCACTCACCCTGACACTCGCAATCGCCAGCGGCAACTCCTGATCGAGCACCAGCTTCATGAACGACCGACTGAAATGCACGTCGATGATACGCGAATCCATCATGGCCTTGGCAACGAATTGACCCAACACGCGGAAATGCTTCAACACCTTGGCGTTCGAATCCGAAATGGTGTCCTTAATCGGACGAGGGAACAGACCCGTCGGGCTGTGGACGTAGGTCGAGCTCGCATCGTCATGACCGTCATTGTCGCGCCAGAGACGCAGATTCTTGCGCGCGAACTCCTTTGAAGCAAGGGCGTAAAATTCGAGTGTCGGACCTAAACCGCTACCGACTTCATCAAAGAACTCGACTTCAAGAGCGGCGCGCGAGGAGCCGTATAGCTCAAAGACCTTGTGCGTCGATTCCAAGACACGATCACGCGCGATGCGTACTTTTTGTCGATTGACGCGAGCGAGTAAACCGAGATTCTCGTCCCTTCTCGATGATTCGGAACGAGCTTGGACGACCCATTTCTGTACCAGTCGAGCATAGCCGAACGCCGTCGATTGGAGAAAGACGAAGCGTGTGTCGAAAGGGAACAAGAACGGGAACGCCTGCGGCAGATCCGTTGCCCAGGCCGGAAGACAAGCCGAAGCGACGATCATTGGTTCCTCAAGTTGTCGATTGAGCTTGGCCGTGAGCTTGTTGTTGACGAAAGCCACTTCGGGTAACGCCGACCGACCGTCCTCGACCGTCTCGAAGCAGTCCGAGTTGAGCTGGTGCAAGACCCAGAGCAACTGCAGGATCTTGGCCTGTCGACTCTGCCTCGGGACTGACGCGGGCATGTCCGTCATGATCGAATCGTGGGTGAAGGATTGCTGAGCCAGCGACTGCAGCGCCGCTTCGGGGCGAGGTGGGCCAGCAACGCGGCGGAAGCGCACCTCATGGATCGCGTGCCACAGGTTGCGGGGCACTTCGGACGATGCTGTACCCGAGTTGGCAACCTCGATCGCATGGATCGCACCAAAGATGGTCGTATCGTGGCCAACATCGCGACCACCGACGGAGAAGGCGAGGTGGAAATCGGTCGGTTCGGACTTGACGGCGGCGGCGTACGAGGCACGGGGCTTGGGAGCCTGCGATGTCGTCGGGGTCGCCCGGGGTGTGCTAGCCGAGTTGCCCAGCGTCGGGGTGGCCACCCGCGTACCGTCTGGCGTCTTGGCAATTACCTTGGACCCATCGTCGGCGACTTCTAGATTGACCGGTCGTTCGTCGCGTGGGGCAGCAACGGGGTCGAGCTCGTCGGGGAAGGCTCCTTGCTCATCCTCGTTATCATCTTCATCGTCCTCCTCATTCTCATCATCATCGTGGTCAGTCTCTTTCTCCTCTTCCGTATGTTCCTCTGCACCCTCCGCAGACGGGTTGTCGATGCACAACTCATCGTCCTTGGACGCATCGCGCATCTCTTGATCAGCCGCTTCGCCAGCCGCAGCCTCGCTCGTGTCGACACCCTTACCGCTCAACCTTCGACTTCGACGATGTCCGATCGGCGGTGCCGTAGCCTTGGACTTGGGCGTAGAGACGGCGTTCGCCGACCCCGCGAGAGGATTGTTCGTCGAAGTCGAAGCTGAAGCGTTGTTGCCAAGACTGGATGAGAGCCGGTTCGCTGACCCGCTGGCCATCGCACTGGTGGACTGCGACGTCGAAGCAGCCGGGACAGGAGAAGAAGGCGGAGAGATTCCATTTGCAGCAGCGAAAGCCGCAAGGAAGCCACTGAGCCTATTCGCGCCATTCCCCGTACCCGCTCCAGAAGCTGGTGCACTGGTGCTGGCGTTAGCGAGACCAAGTCGATCCGAGAGTGTCGTTGCAGCGACGATGCGAGGCCGCAAGTAGTCGTTGAAGGCTTGGAAGGTCGCGATCGCGTGAATCGAGACGACGATGTTGCTGCATGATCTTGGCACGTCCGAGCCATCTTCGGCGACGAGGCGGAGCTTGAGTTGCCGCGCCAGCATAGCAGGACCGTTGCGACGCGATTCGGCTGTGCGTAGGTCACCCAAGATCAGCACGAGAGCACGATGCGACAGTTCCCACGAAACGGTATGCTCACACTCACCATCTGTCGCATTCGAACTCGCCAAAAGGACCTCAAACTCTTCCATCCGACTCAAAGTCTCTTGCAAGCGCTTAACAAGCAACGCAAAAGCCGGTGTCTCGACATCGGACCTGACGAACGCATCGACGAACAAGTCGTGTCGACGACGCTTGTCCACGAGACCTGTTTCAGCGGTGGCAAAGCGGAGTAAACCTTCGACGAGGCCGCTTTCTTGTAGTTCGAAACTCGATAGCGCCGTGAGTTCATCGACGAAATGACTTGCGACGCGGGACAAGACGCGAGTGATTTCCGCCTCATGCTTCGACACCGACCTGGGCGACGCGCGTGGTGGCGATCCCGAAGACGAGGAGGCGGTGAATGCATCCAGTTCTTTGACGAGCAACCTCAAGTTCTCCAGCGCCTGTTGAGCTCGCACGGCGGATTCAGACTCGGTGCTGCCATACTCATTTCGCAGGTGCCGAGCTCGGTAAGTGATCAGATCTTGTCCTTGCATCTCCGCCGTCGAAAGCAGACTGGTAGGTGTCGTTCCAGCCGTGGTCGTCGACGCAGCGCTGGACGAGGAAGCGTGCTGGGCCAACGCGCGCCATAGACCCGAAGGAGCATTACTCGATGAACTGACACCAGGTTCCTCCTTGGGGGTACGTGCCGGTGAGGCATGTTTCGACTTTGGCGGTACAAGGATGGGCGAAGCGGCGATCTGTTCGAGCTCGTGCATGACACCTTCGCGCCGGAAAAAGTACTGGTACGCGTCTGGCATCTTGACGAGCAACAAGTCGACGAGCTGCAGGGCCAGTAAGCGCAAAGGTGTCTGATCGCGCGACGAGAGGATCGCAGCGAGGAACGAGGCCATCGAGACGGTCTGTAGACACAAATTCAAGGTCATGCTCAGCATCAGATCGCAACACCTGGCCAGCCCCTTCGAGAATGCCCACCACTCACATGCAGGATCTCCGCCAGGTTCTCCGTATCACAGAAATGAATAATCTTGCACAACCCCAGTACAGCCTTGGTCCGAACCTGAGGATTGACGCTAGCAGCGCAAACATCGACGAGGATCGGCAGGAGCAAAGCGTAGAAGCGCCGAAGGACGACTTGGCGGGTCGGGTCTTCGATGCTCTCGAGGCGTTGTACGGTGTTGGCGTCCTTGGGGACGGCGTGTTTGCCCGACGACGACATAGACGTACTTGCTGACAAGCGCGACGAAGACGGTGCGGAAGTAGAGGAACCAGCCGCGAAGGCCATCGTCGTATCATCATCCATCGCCTCCATCTTGACATCGACCAAACTCGACGACGAAGCCGCACGTTCCACCACATTCCTCTGCTTCGCCTTGGACCTCGACGAGTTCTTTTGCGTGTACGCCTTGGGATCAAAGATACCGTCCTTGGGCAACGGGGGCAATAGCTCGCAAACGAGAGTGAGCGTTTCTTGGATCTGTTCCTTCGGTCGCTGTACAAGGTTCTGCATCACGAGCATATCGTCCTCTCCCGCTTTGGTCTTGGAGAGGACTTGGACGCCTTCATCGTTGGTGAATTCGGGGGCGGCAACGCCGGTCAAAAGATGGTAGATCGTTTGACCGAGGTTGAGGTCAACGAGCGTAGCTGCGACACCGGGGCTAGCCTTGGCGGCCGTAGCGAGCATCTTGAGCGTTTGCGTGTACGTCCCTGCACCGACAGTTGTGCAATCCGGGTTGAGTAAGACGCGCACGGCGGACAAGAGATCGGCCGAAAGCAAGTCCTCAAGTTTCTCGGGGTAGTAGCGATACGACTCGACGATCCTCACGACGGCGAGGCACGATTGTTCGACGAGACGTTGGTCAGGGTACCCGAGCGTCTGCTTGAAGATGGGCATCACATCTTTGACCATCGAGAACGACTCCAGCGACACCGAACGGCAACAGTTTGCTGCGGCGGTGACGGCCGTGCGCTGGACGTGAAACGAGAAGAAGTCAAGGAAATTGAGCAGCGCCGCCAGACCCCCCTCGCGAACGATCGACGATGGCATCTCTTCCGAGATCTTCTCGAGCGTGCTCAACGTTTGCTCGGCCAACTCGATGTACTGGATCTCTTGCAGTTTTGAGCAGAGCACGGGGACCGCACCGGCGTAGACGACCGAATGTGAGCTCCCTGGCAACGCCTCCATCAAGTTGGCGAGACAGCGGCAAGCGAGAAGCATCATTTGCACGTCGTTCTCGGTCGTATCGCCACCACCGCCACCAGCTCCCATCGATTCGCTCGGCTCGATTCCGAACGCGATCATCTCTTCCATCGTCATACCACCCGCACCGAGACCGCTCGAGCTCGATCGACCGCCGTTCGAGTCCCCACGCAAGATGCTAACGAGCTCCTTAACAAATTGCTCCGTCTGGAAATAACCACCCGCCAACGTATCCTCGGTCGAGATGCTGAGCAGCTCCGCGAGTTCTTGCAGCGCCATGATCTTGGCGTCGGCGTCGCCTTTCTTGGACTTGAGACTGCCCAAGAGGCGCTTCATCCGTGCACTCGCTTCAGCCATTTGCGCCCGGAACGCACCGCCTATACCGCCGAAAAAGACCGCATCGGCCGTCGCAGCCGCCGCTTCGGCAGCAGCACGGTCGACCGCCGATCCAGCTTCGTCGAGGGGAGACCCATCGGCATCGAACGTCTGCGGTGGGTCGTGGAGTTCCGATTCCCCGCCTCCCGAACTGTAGCCTTCCTCGTCAAAGACCCTACCGTCGGCACCGAGCGTGGTCTCGTAGTCATCGATCTCTTCCTCATCGAGGTCGTCGTCGTCGTATTGGTCGTCATCGTCCTCTTCTGCATCATCATCTTCAGAATCCTCCTCGCCATCATCATCGTCGTCGTCATCGTCTTCCTCATCAACCTCCTGTCCATGGGGATCATCCTCGAGCGGATCGACAGGATCAACGGTGATCGTAGGCTCTTGCGCGCCCATCGAGCCCTTTCCCAGACCCTTGACCGATGTCTTGGGCGAGAGCTCGGCCTTTGACGTGGTCGCCTTGCCCGTCCCGCTCGCCTGTTTACCCATCTGCGGCCCACCCCATCGTTTACCCGACGACGATCCTACGGACGTACTCGCCTTCATGGCCTCCTTCTTCCTCCGACTCGAAGATGAAGGCGACGTCGAGGTTCCCGCAACACTTTCATCCCTTTCCTCTTCATCATGATCGATCGCCATGTCGACGTCGTCCCTGCCGAGTAAATCTTCGTCGTCGTTCTCGGCGGCACGGGCTTTGGCTTTGGCGGCTCGACGGGTGCGCGATCCCTTGCGTGGCATCTCCTCGTTGTCACCCGCTTCGGCTCCGGCTTTAGTCGCGGGGTTCGTCAACGAGCGTCGAGAGCGACGAAGGGCCTTCTTTTCGGACTTGGTCGAAGAAATCTTGGCGGCCCTACCTTTCGTAGAGTCCTTCGAGGCGGGACTGCGGCTACGGTTCACCTTGCGCCTCTTTGAGCTACGAGCGCGAGTCTTGACAGTGGCGGCCGAATCGGCTTCGACGGCAAGAGGGGGTGATACGGCTCGACGTTTTCCAAGAGCTTTGGCGGAGGGGCCGTCGACGGTCGAAGCCTGGGACGTGGTCGTTGCTGTGGTCGTACTGCGGGTCTCCTCGGTCGTGGGTGCGGACGAGGACGAGGTCGAGCTGTTGTGGGAAGCGACAGATGACGCCAAAGCTGACGACTGGGTATGTACAGACCGTTTAGACCTGTGGGGTCTATCAATGTCAGTCGCATGTACCTTGAGGAGCAAACTGGGTTGTGTCAAGTGCAATGAGGCATGCGATGGGTGAGGTTTGAGTAGGACCCTTCGATGATGACACGCGTAGGGGGTGTGCGCCTCGGCTGGAACACCATCCACGGTCATATCCACTTTGGCCAGTGAAAAAGCGCTGGAAGCTCACAGCAGGCCTCGAGCCCCGGCCATGCCCGTACGCTTCCGTTGCGGCGCCACACAGGAGCTTGGACAGACCGAAGCCGAACCGGTGACGGCTGACCGCTTGACGCCGACGGTGACGAGGGGGGGTGTGCGCTGGGCGGCTGGTGCTGACGATAATGCTAGGACGGGAAGGGCTCACCTTGTCGATCGAGTAGCCGTCGTCGTCGTAGTGGGGTCCGTCAAAGCTACTTCTCCTTGGTCGCGAGGAGCGTCGAAGAACGATGTAGCGGCTGTGGCCGAGGGTGAGGAATGGGAATCGGGTTCGGAATCGGGGTGCTGGTGGCGCCTGGTGGACCTGCGCAAGGACATCCAAAAGCCACACAACGACGACACAGGCGAGTCTGATGCGCGCGTCTTTCACAACGCTGAAGAGAGAGGGTGTGCGCTGTTATCGTGGGGGTACACAGTCTCACTGAGAACCCATGTAGAGCGGTGAGAGTGGGTGTACTGTTTGCGGGGTGCGGTTCGATGCTCGAGTCAGCAATCGAGCGTCGGTGCGTGTGCAGACGAGAGAGAAGCAAGGCACCAGCGTCTCGATACGGCGGCGTCAGCACACCGAATTCGCTTACTGCCGAAGGCACACGTCGAATTTGGCAAGTCTTGGTCCGGCCACAGATGCTCGATGTATCGACCGCTGAAAAGCCGCAAGGACGACAACAAACTTCCTTTCGCCTCTTCAAATTGCACAACACGGTATGCTGAACTGACAGGGGTCAACTCGACTCGCTCCGATGGCTGTGACGGTGGCGCCCCTCCCACCGCCGGCCTTGCCCACATCTGAGACGAGCTCTCCTATCCTGATTTGGATGGGTTTGTCACAGTACCTTTCGATAATCACTCGTTTTCCTCGTTCCTTTCGACAACTTGGGTCAATTTAGACAATTTGCAAGGGACCCGAACACGCCTCCCCGTACCGTCTGTTTGTCTCAGGCTTTCAGCACTGGTCGTCGCGACCTTTGTGAGACCAGTCACCAAATGGCAAACCCTTACACTGCAATCGCCCAACTCAAAGCCTACAAAGATGGGGAACATCTTCAGCCCTTGACTCCTGAGCTCCTTTCACACCGCACTAGAAGCTTGTGGACGATTCGCGCTGTGCCACTACTGCACAAGTGACTTTGGTCGTGTTCTAACGGGGGTTGCTCGGATCATCGCTTTAGGCTCCAAAACAATTCGGCGCTTGGGCCTGCACAGCTTGACTAGACCGAACATACGATGAAGTTTCCATCCAGTGCAGAAACTCTACAATCTTGCGTCCCACCACGCCAACCTCGAGAAGCAGGCTCAGAGTCTGCTCACGGCTCACTGCAGGATCAATCTCCCCCCGGCCCCCCCACCCGAACCGTCCTCTGCGCTCCTCTCCGGGCTTTACGTCGCGTGGGGGCGGTGCGTGGGGGCGAGCCGAACCAGGCCGAACCCTGAGGCTGCCGAACCAGCGATAGTCGCGACTCGCGATCGCCGCTCGGCGCCGCTCGGCGCATCACCCGCCCAAGAAGCGGGGCGCGTGTCAGCGTGTCAGTCAGTGTCAGCGTCGTGCACTAGAAACGGGACCGACGATCGCATGAAACAGCCTGAGGGCGCCGTTCGAGTGTGTGCGTTCCCACAACATGTCGACGACGACGACGGATACACCTCGGTCTCCAACACGGGCGATGAAGGACCTCGTCCTACCGATTGTCACTGCACCGGAGCAGGACGAAACTAGGCCGGCGTCATCGTCGTCGTCGCTGCGTACGAGCTCGCGTCGACGTCAGCCCGACAGCGGAGCTGCCAGTACTGCGATCATCTCGGTCGACTCTGACGATGCACGAGCAGCTACAACAGCCTCGACGTCGAGAACCCCAATAGTCACTTCACCCCTTGCTCCATCGCCCCGCGACCGCTCCTTACCATCCACCTCAACACCGGCACCGGCCTCGGCATTCTCGAGTCGCCCCTTATCCTCGGCCTCGGCCTCGCGTTCGCCCACTCTCGCCCTCGGTTCGTCGTCACCACTCTTACGCGTCTCATTCGACGACCTCCACACTCGAACCAGGCACAGCGCACCTTCGACCGGTCAAGTCGACCGGACGCAGATCGAAGGACTTCGATCGAGGGGCAATCCATCGAATGAACATCTGGTGCATTGGGGCGACTCGCACAAACCACCCTTGGCTCCCCCACTACTAGCAGCAAGCGATCATGGATCCTCGACTCGCAAATCCGGAGGAGGTGGAGCAAGAGCCCTGCTGAGGAAAGCAAGGAGTTTCACCAGCTCGCCGACGCTTTCATCAAGTGCCACGTTTGGCTCCGTCGCACCGCGCGACAAGTCCCCATATCGAGAACCCAAGCTTCCGGCCGTTCCGATTGTGCCGACGCGGAAGGGGAAGGAGAAGGCCGTAGAGCAGCAGCCACCACCACCTCCTCCACCGAGTTCGACTTCACATTGGTTGTTCTCGCCGCTGGTCTCACCACCGGTGCATGCCGATGCAGCAAGGCCGCAGGTTTCGTCCGTCCCGACACAGACCGCTTCATCTGTCGACGCTCTATCCGCGCGCGACACATCGTCCAGCGAAAGGGAAGCGAATCGGAAGAAAGGCTCAGCAACTTCCAGGCGGAGTACGTTCTCCATCTTTCGACGGAACGCAAGCCAGAACGATACGCATACCCTACCCGTACAGGCGACTTCGACGCCAGATTCGACGACCTTCGACTCTCCTTTCCCTTCACCGTCGACGCCGCTGACGGCCGAATCATACTCGTTGCCGTCTTTACCTGCGCTACAACTTTCGACGAACCCATATCGGATGTCGTGGGGCTTTGGAACTGGCTCGGCCAATACTTCAGATCCCAGAAACTCGCCTCAGCGAGCGGGCCCACCTTCGACGACCCTTCAGGCAGGCAGTTCTGCTCTACCGAGCCCTTCAGTACCCCAGTCGGCTTCCAAGATGACTCTAGCCAAACCGATCAGCTCAAGCTTGCGACGCAACGGCTCATGGGCCGGTTTGACCAGCTCTTCGAGCTCGGGTAAAGGGGCGCTCAATGGGGATGTGACGATGACGGGTGGCAATGGTGGGCTCGGGGTTGTAAATCCTCCTCTCACGAATCCAGCTACGAGGAGGGTCTTGACGAGGGCTTCGAGGAGTTATTCGGATGGGTCGCAGAGGCCGATCTCAATTGTCGTGCAGTCGGATGATAAACCTGGTGAGCATCGCACGCCCCCATCATCGCTAGCAGGATTACTGATGCTTGCCCCGATTCGTATGTAGCAGTTACTCCGGTCCCGGTCCCGGTGCCGGCAGCGCCCTCGCAACTTCGAAGACCCAAAACATCCGGCAGCATCAGTTCAGACCGCGAGCGACCCGTCGGCGTTTTCGGTGCCGTCTCCAACTTTTTTAGTGGCTCGGCCTCGTCTTCATCATCGTCAAACCTAGCAGCCACCGTGAGCAGTGCCAGCATGTCCCGCGCCAGTTCCAACAATTCGCTCAAGTCAAAAGCGACAACCATTTCACCCACCTTGGCGAACGAGACGAACGAATTCGGCGCATTGTTCAGTGCGGCATCGTCGCCTACAAAGGGACGGATGCGAGGTTTGAGTGTCGGAGCGGGAATCTTCGGCGGTTCCAGCGACGGAAGGAAACGCGCGGGTAGCTCTTCGAGTCTATCCAATAGCTGGATACCACCTACTGCGACTGCAGTCGCTGCACCAACAGTGGGTGGGATGTTAGCGCCTACCGAAGGTCCTTCGACCCCGACTTCGGGACGATTACGAGCGAGTACGGATCCGAAACGATTGTCGACCGGCGCGTCCGGAGGAGCCCCGGACGGTTCTTCGTCAACTTCGATTCCTTCGTCCCCTAATTTAGGGATGTTTGCTTCACCCCCAGCTTCACCAACGATGATGCGTCGATCGAGTTTCGCCTTTTCTCGCCAATCCACCGGCACATCACCCAACTCCCGCAAGGCTTCGTTCGCAGCTACGACACCTTCGGGCCCAGGGTCCATGTCATCAACACAAATGGCGCGCGGTCGTTCCTCGACAATGCTTCTCGCCCCTTCGGTACCCAAGATCGATCCGGAGGAGGGGGAAACACCATCAGCATTTGTCGATCGACTCGTCTCGCTCTTGACTCGACCCGACGTTTCACGATGTCTAGCCCAATCCGCCGATGCGTTCCATACGGAGGCTTTGGCGACCTACTTCGCGCGCTTCGATTTTACCCTTGATGCACTGGACATCGCATTGAGGAGACTCTTGATGGAAGTCAGTCTCCCCACCGAAACGCAACAAATCGATCGAGTGATGGAGGCGTTTGCGAAAAGGTACATCCAGTGTAATGATGGCTTGTTCGAATCGAGCGATACACCGTATGTTCTGGCATTCTCGTTGGTGATGCTTTCGACGGATCAATTCAATCCGAGTAATAAAAACAAGATGTCAAAGGCGGATTATGTGAGGAATACCAAAATCGAGGGGGTGGGGATGGAGGTGCTCGAGGTGAGTTGTTGGCTTCGAATTTGCAGGGGTTTGATTGACCTCGTACCTTGCTGACGCGGATCGCAACAACGTTCACCAGTACTTTTACGACCAAATCTCCGTCGCCCCTTTCGTCTTTGTCGAAGACCTGCCTCAAAATGGTCCAGGACTGTCCCGACCCGAAGCGGCTTCCTCCAACTCCATCTTTTCCTCCTCGGCCGGCAAAACCCGACCTGACCCTTACTACCTTATCACCACCGGCCTTATCCGCGACCTCCGCATCGACATCTCTCTCGCGATACCTTCGCGTTCACCCTTTTCCTTCACGGGTACGACATCTTTTTTCAACGCGACGACCCTGCATCGGCTATTCGCACAAGCACCTGTCTTGCAAACGCATAGTCATTCCTCCACTTCCCTCTCGGCATCCAACGGTCGATCCCGCTCCAAATCCGTCGAAGCCCTCCTCGAAGGAGCTCCCCTAACACTCATGAACAGCACGACTTCTTACGTACCCCCTTCGACACCGAAACCGAAACAGGATGTAGTTTCAAACATCAAGGTCACCAAGGTCGGGACGTTGAGTCGGAAGGAGGATTTGGCGGAGGGAGGGAAGAAGGCTGCTTCGAGGAAGTGGAAGGCTTGGAGTGTGGTGTTGACGGGCAGTCAGTTGTTATTCTATGTACGTCTCTTTCTGCTCTCACGGAAGTAGCTAACTCGCGACAAAGACTTATCTTGGATTTCTTGATCTCCCACAGAAGGACGCGAGTTTCGCAAGCGCTCTCGAGGCGGCGATCCTACAGCAGCCTCTCAAAGGCTCGCAGCGGTCAGACACTTCTTACACTACCCTCGGCGCGATCTCTGCCGCTTTCAGACCCGATGCCGTCTTATCATTGGCTCATACGGCCGCCATTTACGATAGTGTACGTTCTCACACATTTGGGTGCGTGCGACCGTCGCTGAAACGGCTAGATCGTTCTTCCCCACAGTCCTACCGCAAATACAGTAACGTCTTCCGCCTCATCGCCCCCGGAGGGCGTCAATACCTTTTTCAAGCCGCATCCAGTGACAACCTTAACGCGTGGATGCACGCCATCAACTATGCTGCAGCTTTCAAATCGGCTGGTGTGAGGATGCGCACTTCGGAGCCGACGGCTTCTCCTTCGATGAGTGGCAAGCCGACGCCGCCTGCGAATGGACTACCGGAGGTACCAATGTCTGCTGAGGACGGATTAGCAAAAATGTCGGCGAATGGCTCGTCGGTTGTCATTCCTTCGCCCAAGCTGCCTTTGATGAATGGTGATCGCGGAGCATTCGGAGACGAGCAACTTATGCGCAGGGCTTCACTTTCCTCTCGTGCCGTGGTGCTCAAAGTGAGTCGCAAGAGCAATGAGTATGACTGCATTAGCATATTATGCTTACTTCCGTCTGGCCACTTCACAGAAAAAGCTCGCCGAACTCGAAAAGGAGATTTGCGAAGCCAAGGACGACCTTCAAGTCGATTTGAGGCTGGCCAGGAATTTGGGCGTGTTGACGCCTTTCAAGTCGTCGACGAGGGAGAGGATTTACCTCGCTTTGCCAGCGATCGATAAGAGGATTAGGCATGCGAGGATCAAGTACGTTCAAGGTTGACGTTCGATCTTGTGGATGTGAGGGCTCGATTGCTGATGTTTTGTTGGTGGTTACTTAGTTTGACCAAGCTTCTGTGTCATCGCGAGATCTTATCGCGCGATCTGCTCGTCGAAGATCGACTCCCCTCTCGTCAAGCGTCCCACCGTCGTCGTGTATCGGAGCAAACCCGAGCCGAACGAACACCCAAGGCACCGAGAGAGCCCTTCGACCCGTCAACAACACCCGCAACGCCTCTCGCGCCACCTCGGCCTTCATTCGCCATGAGCGGTGATCGCACACCGAGCACAACGAGCCGAGACTCGTTCGATTCCGCTCTGGACGACTTTGGAGTTCCTGCGCCTCAGTCGTGGACGGATGATGATCTTGATCGATTGAGGACGCCTTCTTTGGAAGGGTCTTTTCCACCGAGGATGAAGAGGAGTACGACGGAGACGTTCGGATCTGCGAGTTTCCACTTCGATGCTGGGGCTCGGACCTCAGGTGGGATTGATGCTTCGCGTAGCACGGACGACCTCGAGGCCAGGATGACGACCTTACCTTCCTCACTTATCGACTCGCCCGTACGATCGGCCGGGATTCATGGGCAGGAACTGCACCCGGATCCAGATATGTTGCGTTCGGCACAGAGGAGTTCGAGCTCCTTGGAACTGCCGACGTCAAGGAGTAGCTTGGTTGTGTCGGGGACGGCGTCCCCTGCTTCATCGGCTCATGGCTCGTTGGAGGATCTGACGCTTGGAGCGGAGATCAAGTCTCCGACGTCTTGAGCAACCGAGCGGTGTTCGACTTACTCTGCTCACTTCTCGTGTGGGATCCAAAGCTTCGCGGAGAAGCCCTCGCGCTCTCAACCCCTTTTTTGGTCCCTTTTCGTACTCCCCAAAAGTGTAGACTCCGAGGCCACGGCCAGACTAGCGGCGGCAGATCCCGCAGGAACATCTCCGGCAGATCCTGTGACGCATTCGCACCCTATCGTCGACACTGTACTGACACTTAGACCACGATCGTAATTTGTCAGTTCTAGGATGTGATTTTCTCTCTAACGACTCTGCGTGCCTTCATGTTGTGCAATCGACCATGTTCTTCTCTCCGAGGAAAGTGATGCCATGTTGGCTTCGGCGAGCTTTGCTCGGAAGATTTCATTTTGGCGCGCAGCGGTCTCGGGCTGCTTCTTGTGTTTCTTGGGTCACTCGGAACGTTTTCGGTGAAGGCCCGCGGACAAGAAATGCCTAGCAATCGAGTCGCATGACTCGGCAGCACACTCGAGATCTTCAGGCAAATGCAGAGGAGTCGACATGGATCGAGAGCACACCTACCTCTCACACTGCCGATAGTGGCAGGATTGACAGAACCGAGCTGCGAGGATAGGGAGTCGTCGCAGGAACGCCTCGAAGCTTTGAAGCATGCGCGTCGAGCAGAGTGTCCCTCTGCGCGCATGCACGAGCCTCCGCGCGCGCCACTGCAGAGACCTCGAAAAGCGGGGCACCGCTTCTCTGGGTTGTAATTGAAATTCGAAATCTCTAGCGAAGGATTGAACAAGATCTCGTGATTCGTCCCCTCACCCTCTTCGGCTGCTCCTTCTTCTTGGTCCCGCAACGCACCTTCCTCTCATACCAACACCCCCCTTCCTACAACACCATGTTCCCCATTCCAGCTCTCATCGACATACCCGGCTACGGTCCCGTATCCCTGACGGTGTTCGTCTACGGCGCCGTAGCCGCCTGGGTCGCCGTCTGGATCTTCAGTTACCGCGATGGCACCGCGCTCGGCAATGACCGCAACAGGTATCGCAAGGACCTTTACTCGCCGCACACGACGTGGTTCCTCGGAAGTCTCCCCTTCGTCCTGGCAACGAGACACAAGTTACTCGAGGTTAGTGTTCGGAGTTGCGCCGTTGCGGGAGGCGCTTGAGCGGGGGTGGCGGTTTGAGATTGACCCGATGGGAGGGGAGCTGCCCGAATGGCCGAAGCAGGCCTCGGGTCTCACCTCGGATCCCGGGGTCTGCGTGAGAGCTTGGTCGCCCCCCTGCGCACCTAAGAATGCTCGCCATGCGACAACGTCTGCGACGGGAATGACGTCCAGTCTGCAGCTCTACCCAGCTATACTTAGGGTTCATACAGTCACTGATCACACATACCCACTTCTTCGCATATGCGATACTTTTCTCCGTCGTGCTGCGCAGACATGGGGAGAGGAACGCGCCAAGATGGAGCGCAACCCTGAGCACCACGGCAAGTGGCTCAGTTGGTCTGCACCCTATGGTCGGCGCGTGATCGACATCAGTAGACCAGATCTCATCGAATATGTCCAGAAGGTGAGTCGACCAGCTTCGACGATCCTCTGACAACTTTATGTGTCCAGCTCACAATTTTCTTCGACTTATCGGCATTCCGATCGACGTCAACAGACGAACTTCCAGAATTATGTCAAGGGCAAGCAGTTTTACCTCAACATGGAGGCCGTGCTCGGAGATGGTATCTTCAACGTTGGTATGTCAACGTCTCCGACGTACGATGTCTTTCCTTTTCTTTCGGATGCTGAACATTCTTCTGTGGCCTGCGCATCGTGTGTTAAGACGGACACGCCTGGACCTTGCAGCGCAAGGCTACCTCCAAGATTTTCAACGGTAAATATCCGCTCGCTCGATCACACCACCGCTTATGACTGATCAAAAACTTGGCCTGCTTTGGATTTCACTAGGCAACGCCTTCCGAGGCATCATCGCCCAGTCGATCGACAAGAACATCGAGCGCCTTGTGACCATCATCAAGCGTCACGCCGACAAGGGCGAAGTCTTTGACCTCTCTCAGCTCTTCTTCCGGTTCACTCTAGAGTCGTTCGGTGGGATGGCTTTCGGGTGCGACATCGGTGCCTTGTCGACCGAGACGGACGAGCCGGTCCCTTTCACAGCCGCTTTCGACTATGCCCAGGTCGTCCTGAATAGGCGGTTCCAAGATCCCTTCTGGCCGATCAACGAGTTCCTCGACGGAAGTCGAGGCAAGATGCGCGACACTGTGCGCATCCTCGACGATTTCTGTTACAACCTCATCGACGAACGCACGCGAGCCGGACGCAACACTTTCACGTCGGAGAAGGAGCACGATAGTCAGACCGACTTGCTCTCGCTGTATATGAACATCCGGGATGAGCAGGGCAAACCGATGAGCCGAAAGCAGCTGCGCGACGCCGTACTCAACCTTATCATTGCTGGACGCGATACGACGGCTCAAGCCATGTCTTGGACCATGATTCGTTTGCTACGCGACCCGAAATGGATCGAATCAATCCGCAAGGAGGCCGACGAGATGGGTCACCTTGAGTACGATACGTTCAAGCATCTCCACATGACGAACGCGGTGTTCATGGAAGGTTTGCGCCTTTCACCGTCGGTGCCGAAGAACGGATGGCAGGCCGTGAAGGACGATCAGCTCCCCAACGGCGGCCCGTTCGTTCGCGCCGGAGAGTATGTGCACTGGGGAGACTACTCGATGGCACGAGAGGAGAGTATTTGGGGACCCGACGCCAAGCAATTCAACCCTGCACGCTGGATCGATGCTGACGGCACGGTTAAGAAGGTGTCCAACTACAAGGCCCACATGTTCAATGCCGGCTACCGGCTTTGCCTCGGAGTGAGTGCTATTGGGAGCTGATCTACCGACCCTTTGTAGACGCTGACCGAAGCGGTATGTCGAAAGATGGAGTTGGCCAAGTTTGAAGGTTGCCATCTACTCACTACGATCCTCAAGAACTTTGATCTCGAGTTCGCCGAAGGCTACTGGGAGAACACCCCCAAGTTGGACACCGAAGACATGCCCAAGTACCTCCCATCCATCACCCTTCATCTGGTCAGTCACTTCGTTTCCTTGCTCGCGATAAATCCTGAACCGGTATCTGAGGACATTTTCTACATGCAGGCGAATCCTTTGATGGTCCGAGCAACGGTCCGCAAATCCGCCTGAACGGCCACAGAGTAGTGGAAGGACCGGGCTGGAGTTTTCGATTTGCATGTAGTATGAGTGTGTTCGCAGCCGCCTGTTATAGCATCGTGTTAGCACGTCAGTTCGTTTTGACGTTCAAGTCGCGTTGCATTTGGTTGCCACTTTTGTCCCAGGCGTGTCGAATTTGATCGCCGACTACCGTTAATGGTGTCAGCCCCCGCTAGGATCGCATATGGCGTTGACGAGGTGAGAACTGCGTCAATAGAACGACAACAGATCACCGCAATGGTGACCGTTCCTGAACTTCTCCAGCCACGCCGCTGTAGAGACGTACCTGGTGAAACTCATTCGGACCCAAGATTTGAGCGGCGGACGGCGACCGGTGGAGATGCTTCGGTTAGCGGATTTTCGCTGGCTGCGACCGGCGTTTGCTTTACTCGAGTACGACGTTTGCTATTCTTGCCGGAGTGAGACTTACAGACACGACGAAATAAGACACAAGCACTGCCCGCGTGTTCCATTCTGCAGTGGTGTGCGCGGATAGGAGCAGACGAGTCCGTGCGGCTCGAGGGGTGAATGATGTGTTTGCACATCGCCACCTCGAGCGGTTGCTTGGCGCATTCTTCACAGTCGGTGGATATATCGAGGCATTAGGATTATTCTCTTACGTTAACCCACAGGCGCAAAGTCATGCAGGCTTAGCGCACACCCCTGTTCGTGGCCGGGGTACTAGCGTGCGCGCGTCTCTGTGCGCCCGGCGGACCGGCGTCGGTTCCCGCCTAGCGCGATCGCGTGCAGTGTGGAGAGTCCGTGCAGGGACCCCGAGGTACCGGTGCCGCGATGACGCTCGTTGCCGTCTGAACATCATCTCTTGACCTTGCTCCATACCCACTTCGTACCATCAACACCCGGCCTTTCTGCCGGCCGTCACTCATCCCTGCACTGTACGCCGAGGGACACTGAGCACGCCGAAACAACTTGCGCGGACTTAGTTTCGCCCGTACCTCCTGTGCAACGACTCATTTCCAAACGTACGCGGCGGTTCACCACCCGGCGCACAGAATGCCCTCGATTCGTTTGGAGGAAGGGAACTCTCTGATAGACTATGTGACAAGTGGGTGTGATGCTTTGCCCGAGATTCCAAGCTGCTGTTCGTGTATTGACGACTCCCTAACGTTATGCCGTCACAGCCGTCGAGGAGGCCTCCTGGCACGATTTGGTGCACATTGAGGTTCTCGTCCTGCGTGAATCTATACTGTGAGTGCAGTCGCAAGTCTCAAATCTCATCAAAATGCTGATCCTTCAAGTTCTGTATCATTCCCCAAGTGCATCACTCTGGAACTTCGGCTGCTTACTCTACGTCTTACAGCGCCTCTCCCCAGAGTCGTCGACGTGGGGTTCGATGCTCCGCACCGTGTGGGAACTCCTATCGCCCGCTAATCGGGATCTCCGGTTGCCGCGCGAATCTCGCGTCCTTCTTGCTCTTATATGGTTGCCCCTGATGTTGGGCGTGTCGGCTGGTGCGAGGGTGTTGGGTCTGCTCGGTCAGCATCGGTCCGAATGGCCCCAGACGAGCAGCGGAATGGGCAAAGTCAAGATCTGTGTCGTCGCTTTGGCAACAACTCGTGAGCTGCCTCCAACTATAGCATCTTTGAGCCTTGCGTTGTTCGACGGGAGAGGGAAGAAACTTACCGAGCGGTTGCTTAACACATAGTGTGCGGTGTCGCAGCAGATTTGACCGTGTACTTGGCGAGCCTCGGGGATCCAGTAGCGGCTCGCATGACCATGCTTTTCGTCACCTGTAAGTTCGAGCGACCGCCTTCTGCGAGCGGCGGTTCCTTTTCCAACCTCACATGTGCTCTCTTTCTACCCGCAGTCGGCCTGCAAATCCTCTTCCTCGCCGCCAGCTCCATCCCCTTTGACTGCATCGGCACCATCTACCTCTCGGGTTCGCAAGCTCCTCTTCTACCCACTTCGATGACAACGCGTGATTCATTGGACGAAAAGGAATTTGATATCTCGCCCCATCTACTCGTGATCGATGTCGACCCGATGGAGGAACGTCTGAGTGGGGATACCTATTAGTACCTCAGCAATTCTTTCTCTGACGTTGGCCACGTAGAGCTTCGACTGTTATCCTTGTATTCTTGTAATTCCTATGATTATCGGATCTTCTTGCGACTTTGAGATTATGGCGACTTGTAAGCGGGATATACTTCTCTCAGGGCGAGATCGTCCACGTCGAGCTTAGAGGCCAGGCTATAGGTATGTTGCGACCAGAGAAAGGGTGTTCAATGCCACGGACTGGGTATGATGAAAGATAACAAACGACATCTACGAAGAAGAGAGAGAAAGAGGAAGAGCAATGAAACTATTCACACGCGGGGAGCATACAATACGAGGGCCGTTACAAAGCGCGATGGGCCGCATCAAGCGTCCGTGTCTGCGAACGCCACATCAAGAATCAGTGCCCGGGGACCAAAAGACCCGGGGACATACTACGCAGGTCGCGGGCACTCACCGACGAAGATTTCGACATAATGCTGAAGAATCGTTTCGACGCATTTGCATTGCCAACTCATGTCGGCCAACGCGGAGCCGCCTCCTTCGTTGGGTGGCGCGCCAAGCAAGTTGGGTCCGAACACGATGGCGATGTTACTGCATCCCATCTGGTTGGATGATTCGTGTTGGCGAACTCTGTGGAACTCATGTCTCGTCAGTCTCGGACGTACCGTGGAAGTGAGCAGGGACACACGAGAGAGCCAAGGAGACTCACTTGTCCAAATGTCCCATGAGGAACTTGAGAGTTGCGTAATTAGGATCGGGCAACTCGTTGACGCGTTCATGCAACCGGATATGTCGTAATCGATCATTCTCGATCTTGGCCGCTTCGATGAAACCATGGTACAGCTCCCAGGTGAGCAAAGGCTCGGGTAGCTCGCGGAACCATAGCTTCATGACGGCGGCGATGTCGTTGATGTCTTGGAGGTGCTCGTCCGAGAGGAGGTCTGTTCCCTCGATGTCTGCGTGCAAACACCGGCTAAGCATTAAAGCGAGGTCTAGAACTGAGTCTTAGTACTTATTCCGACGCACCTCGATCCAAGGCCAGTTTTAACCTCTGCACGCGTGACGTCGTCCCGCTCAGTCGATACAGTCCCATTGAGTCGAGACCATGCAATTCGATCGCTTCGCAGCACTTCTCAAGCACGCGTGGTATTTCAACCCCATCGCGGGCCATTTGCTCCCCGAGATCGATGCCGAACGTTGGTAGTATGGGGCCGGCATAATTTTGCGACATCGCGAGTGCCGACGATCGAGGCGTCAACACGGGCCTGGAGGAAGTCATCTGCGCGCGCGACATGGAAAGGGTTGGGGTCAAAACAAGTATGTTCGGGCCGTGAAAAGCCTTCGTCCCGATGACTTACAAACCCGTCCTCTGTTGGCCCATCGCGCTTGGGACCTCGTTGGCCAGACATTTGCCAGCTGACAGAGTATTGCTGCATGTATTGCTTGAAGTCCTCGCGGGTATCAATGAGGTCGGCCATCGTCTTGAGACCGGGTCCTGCAGCGTAATGGAGTGTAAGTTGCGAACGAATGCAAAGGCGGCCGAGCGGTGGGATTGCGTACCATCATCCGGATTGATAGGAGATACTGTCAAGCCGTCGGTGACGAGCGTCGACTCGAAGATATAGGCATACCGCGTAAGGTGGTACTGTACCCCTAGGTCGACCTCGTCCGTGCTCTCTTTGAGCGACTGCGAGAGTGGCGTACAACGAGATGGTAGGAAGTGTCAGCGGAATTGGTCCGACGTGACTTGACCCCTCCAACTGTGCTTACCCTCAGGATCCTCGGAAGCTGCAGATTAAAGTACTCCTGCCGAACGGCCTGTGCGCCAATGACCTGACTCCGGTACGCGTCCGAGCTCTGCCCCATCCTCATCCTGACGTCCTCCTCCTGCTTTGCGACCTGGGCGGCGTTTTTGGGCCCCTTCAGCTTGCTCATCGCTTTGCCGAACGTCCTTTTATTCGAAGACGTCGACGAAGGTGCCGTCGACGCATGAGGTACGACATTGTCCTTGAGCGATTCGCCTTGCTTGAGTAATAACAACCGTTCCAATTCTTCGGCGGCCGAATCGAAGCGCGTCCGCGCCTTGTCAACGAGCGATTCCTGTTCGGCCAAACCGCGTTCCAGCCGCGTGCCCAGTTCCTTCGACGATTTACGGTTCTTGTCGACCTCTTTCCCGAGAAGGGCGAGCTCGTCCGACATTTCGGCGAGTTGAGCCGCAAACTTGAGATGGTTGTCACCGACGAGTTCGTGCGTCCGCAGCATCGAGATCCACGAGTTCACGTAGGTTCTATTCATGATGAATAGATCTAAGCGCCAAGTCATACATCCATGTGTGTAACGATGGACTCACCCAGCTTTGCCCTCAGACACGCCGTACGCCTGACTGCTGCTCCTGGCCAGCTTGATCATCGCCTTGGCGTACTCTTCCTCGATCTGCGCCCTCTTCTTGAAGAATATTGAGGCTTCGTGCGAAGAAGCAATCGATTGCTTCATCCGATCGAGGACCAAAGGCATGCCACAGTCCATTTCGCACAGCGCCTTCAGAACGCCTTCGTCGAAGCCGCCGGTGGCGGCCAAGTCATCTTGTCCCAATGCGCCGGTATCGCTAATGCCAGGACCAAGGGTATTCATTTTCCCCGATTGGGATTTGGGATAGGTCGACCTTGGTCTCCTATCTGACTCTGACGCGTTGGCTTGGTACGAATTTTCAGTGATGGACCCGAGACCCAGACCTTCTCCCATGCCCGAAAGCCCCTGGCTCGACGCCGAATGCGACCGCGTCCGAGCTAGATCATCGCTCGTCCGTGAATCGGCTTTTAGGTAGTCTCTATTCTGTTCGCTCGACGCGGGCGAGGTCGAATAGGCTCGAAGTGGCGGTTGCTGGGAAGGGTAGCTGTGCGAGTGTTGGGAAGAGGACGAATGCGCACCGGGGCTCGCGTCGTCGCCGTACTGGATGGGTGCAGGGCTCGCTTGCAATGGGTCGATCTGATCACTAGGAGGAGCCTCTCCTGAGGGTTGTCGTGGCCGGTACGCGGTCGTGACCGGGGACGTCAAGGCCTCGAGCTCCTCGGGGCGCATCGAGACGGACTGGTGAGAGGGGCCGGATTGGGCCGTCGCGGTGTACGAGTGGGTCGGGGATGACATGGACCCGTTGTAGAGGTTTTGCTGCTGCTGTTGTGATGGTGGTGGTTGTGACTGTGGCTGAGCTGATCCCGGGGCAGGGGAATACGGTTGGGAATGCGGCGAGGCCGATGTCGAAGTGGAAGTGTAGCCTCGCGGTGACGTGTACTCGAAACGCGTGGCCGACGACGCGGGCTCGATCGCATTCGTGCGCAAGGAAGGCGTGTTCAACCCTCGTCTATGCGCGTTTTCGTACGAATGAAGTCCATACGGGTTGCGTTGCGAATCGGCCGAGAACGGCGGCAGCGGCGGCAGGTCGGACGAGTCCAGCGGCGCTGAGGAGACGTTCTGCATCCCTGGGCCTCTAGGTCCAGCAGCGTCGAGGCAAAATCTGTCCATCCGATCAGAAAGTCAGCTGAGGCAACTTTGGCAGGAGGTGTCACGTCCGCGGACGGCGATCTCTCTTTGAGGAAAGCGGTCGAGTTCCCCACATTCGGCATCGTCTGGGGCCAAACGAGGTGTCGTCACTCGACCGTACCCCACAAGTCCGGTCTGCAAGATCCATAGGACACATTTATGGCCTCTGTATCGCTCTAAACATGCGCTGCCCTATAGACAGGGGCTGTGCGCACGTCCGAAGCGTCCGAAACGGACGCTGTCTCACTCCGAGTCGCCAGTCGCTCCAACTCACCGCGGGTCTGTCGCACGACCTTCCAGCGATCGGGCTCGTGGATCCGTCACAGCACGCTCCGTCGCCTAGGAATTCGAACTCGACCCGAGTGCAAGGTGGGGCCAGCGAGCCGGAACGGAGAGACGAGGTCGGTCGCACCACTTGGCGAGACGGACGCACGCCAGCCAACCCCGGCCCCGCCAGACCAAGCCCGCGCAGCGCCACGCGGGGCCGGCAGCGGCGCCACAACGCATGTATGCAGGCTCGCGATCGGCTCGGACAAGCAGATCAAAGTTGGCCCCTCTGCCTTCACATGCTCCAGCACCCCTAGTATGAAGTCACTGAATTCAGCTGTGATGCGATGATAAATCTCTTTCAAATTCCTAAACTTCAGACTCTTGAGATTTCCCCCATCTGCGAACTGACTCGAGAAGACGTGGAAACGGTCCGAAAGGAGAGAACGGCCGAGAGAGGAGTGAAGCTCGCGTGGCACGTCCTGGAGGGGTCAATGACCCAGTGTGAGGGCGCATGAACTTGGACAGAGTGATTCTGACGGACACGAGAAAGTCAATGTATTCAATCCGAGATGTCCTCTATGTCAGGGTAATTTTGAATAAAACTCACCATCGAAAGCTGCTTGGGCCCTGAAAGCCGGGCCCAGCCAGCGCTCTGGATCAGGCGCTCGGGCGCCGGGCCCCAAGATGGCGCGCGGGTCGTCACGAACCCACCGCGCACCGCAGTCGCAAGCTTCGATCCGGACTCATGTGAGTACTCGGACACAAGGGTTCACCGCACCGTGTTCTTGGTTTCATAGCACTGGTTTGATGCACCGAGTGAAAGCATGCCCTGGCTCAGGCTGAGCGCAGCCACATACAGCACGTAGAAGAAAGCAGAGGGAGGACGCAAGTGGCGATTGCAAGAAACAAGACGGAAACCCCTTGTATAGGGGCCCCCGGAGCTGTACCCAGAGATTAAAGAGAGAGAGAGAGAGAAAAAGACATCGTATGCATACAAGTACTTGCGAACAATTCAAAAGAGGGATGGCGCTGCGCTACGCGGAACGCCCCGAGATGTTTAATGCACGCCACCCATGGGCTCGTAGTGCTTCTCGTCCGATCGGGCATGGGCTCGTATATCCACAGCAGTCGTCTTGAAGTGTCGTGCGCTGATCCGGTCTTCAAACATGATGTCGAGCTCCAAATACGACTACGAGAAGGGACAAAGATACAATGTATCGATCAGTACAGCGCAGCGAAGACGTGAGGAAGAGACGCTGGGCTCCAGACAGTGGGTGGAAACTCACGCGACCCTTAGGCTCTGGGAGACGGAAGAAGCACCAGATTGTGCACAGGAAGCACGAAGCACCCCAGAAGAAACCGGCCTGTAAGGATGTGACACAATATAAAGAGGACGGTCAGCAACACGATCGACCGAAGGGCCAAGCTCACGGTACGAGAGGGAAAGAGAAAGGTCTCACCTTGGCGTTCCAGTTCCACGAGAGGGGCGAAAGCATGCGCGGGAAGATGATGTTGTTGATGATGCCAATGATGTTGTACGAGGTGCGGGCGAGCACGACCGACTTGGCACGAAGACGCGTCGACGAGATCTCGGCGACGAGGCAGTAGCACACAGGGCCGACGGTGAATTGGTACAGGAACGAGTAGATGACGATGAGAGCACCCGAAGCCCACGACGCGCCCGAAGATTTGCCGAAACCGGAGCCACCGACACCGAAGAGAACAATGCCCATTGCGAAGAGACCCCACATGTAGAGGTCGCGGCGGCCAAACCACTGCATGGTCCACCACGACGAGATCGTGCCAACGGCACCAAGACCGTAGTTGCCGAGCGAGAGCGAGAATGAGTTCGAGTTGGACAAGCCAGCGCGTTCGAAGAAGGTTGTCGAGTAGCCAATGAAACCGGAGCCGGCCAGGGTTTGGATCATCCAGACCATGCAGACAATCTCAGTACGGCGCAGGTTGGTGCCCTTGAAGCAGTCAAAGTAGGTCGTGCCGGCGTCGACTTCCTTCTCGATCTCGTTGGTGAAGATCATCTGGTTGATCTTGGCGTCGACATCGACAAAGCCCTCAGCAGAGAGCGAACCGAGACGGGTCAACGAGCTGGCGGCGTCGGCGAGGCGACCTTGGCGAACCAACCACCACGGCGACTCGGGAGCGAAAATGGCACCGGCGAGGATAGGCAGGGGCCAGATCTGAAATGAAGAGGCGGATCAGGACCGAAAGTTGAAAAGCTCTGTCGAGGCAGGCGCGCCACTCACCCATTGCAAAGCGAAGGGGATGCGGTAAGCCCATTGGTTGTCCTCGTTCATGCCTGAAACGCCCTTCAAGACGCCGGAGGAGATAAACTGCCCTATGACCCAGCAGAGATTGACGTAGGTCGTGAGGTAAGGACGGAGCGGGGCGGGGCAGACCTCGGCGGCGTAGGCAGTGGTCAAAGTCTGGAAAACACCCCCTGTAAGACGGTCATGGCAGAAAGCGCAAGTGAGTCAGTCAAAGTATTGGAGAAGAGCATCCGCGTCGACTCAAAAGGGCTTACATGGGATACCGCAGAGTATTTCGCCGGCAAGAAGCATGGGAAGGCTGACCGAGAAGAAGGTGATGAAGATGAAGCAGGTGATGAGGACGAGCGAAGTGCAGATGGTTTTCTTGTATCCGAAGCGATCGCAAGCCCAACCGTTGACCATGAGACCGAGAATGGAGCCGACCTGGGCACCGTTCGAGAGACCGGTTTGCCATGCGGGGGTAATCACATATTTGCCGCCACCGATGGGGACACCGTACTTCTTTTGGAAGGCGGGGAGAGCGTAGAAGGAGAAGATCATGGTGAAGTCGAAGCCTTCCATGATGATCGCGGTCGAAAACAACATGGACCAAGCGCAGGCGTAAGGGTACGCCTTGATGGCCTGGAACATGGTCATTTGGCGCTCCTTGATCGCGGTCTCAGCGGCATCGTTAACGGTCGTTTCGCCGAGATTAGTAGAAACCTTTTCCAGCATTTGAGGACTGAAGTAATGCGATCAACATTAATCGAAGTAGTCAGCAAGAAGATCCATGGCCCAGGTATGTTCTCGGGAGGAGGCAAGTACCGGCGAGCGCCTCCTGTGCTCGCGTGGCACAAGCGCCCCACAGCCGGAGCAATGCCCGATGTAGGGGTCACGTGGCCCCCGAACTTAAAAGGCCGTCGAACAGGACTCACTCAGGAACGACTGTCTTGTGGACCTGGCTGGCGTTAACCATGCCGGTGCTGACCGACTCGTCAAAGTCGTGGTTGGTGGTCGAGGAGATGGGCATCGTGGGCAGATCCTTGGGGTCACGGGGTGTGTGGAGTGTGCTCAGGCGTGCGGCAGGCGGTATGGACAAGCTCGGTCAGAGAGGGACCAAGTCGAAAAGGCACCACGACAAGAGAGTTTTGTGAGGGAAGGTTGACGAGGAAGGAAAGAGGCGGAGTGGGGCCACAAGCCAGAGAGGAGATGAGGTTGAGAGAAGGGAGAAAGGAAGGGGGAAGGGAAAGCGGACGTCAAAGATGTGCGAAGGGGGCATTCACGGGGCTATTCAGGCCCAGTCCCAGACTCGCTGGCTACCGCCCCGTAGATCTCCTGAAGTAGCGGCGTTTTCCTGTCTCGATCGCAGTCGTGGGCCCGTGGCCCCACCTTTGCCGGTCCAAAACCCGAGCTGGGCCCCTCCTTTATTTGGCGCGCTTGCCCCACAAAACCCCAAAGCCCAAAAAAAGGACCCGGGCTGGCCATTCGCTGGGCGAATTCCGATCACCTTTATATCCCATCGATTTGCCAATTGGTCCGCGAACGAGTTGCCAACGCGCGGTATTCATCCTTGCCCGTTCGCCTTGGCCCCTGGGCCTGCCCGGATCACGGAGAATGGAAGTGGGAAAAATACCCGACCTCGTTGGCGGTGAAGAATGATGTTGGTGGTGTGGCGAAGCACCCAACGGGCAGGCCCGAGCGCAAGCATGCGTGAGCGCCGTTTTTTTGGTGCGGAGATCCGTTTTTGTCCAGCCCCCCAAGGACGAATCAGATTTCTGCCGCTGCTAGCGCTGGTGTCTGCCCTGCCTGGTCAGGTGACGTCGACGTCGATGATAAGCGGCAAAGGGCTGAGCTGCTAGGTGGAGTAGTACAGTTCATTTTCACTGCAGAACAAGTAATATTCTACCACAACTAAGTAAACGTTTGGAAAATTTATATCGTAGCCTCATACTACAAGTGAAAGTGAAGCGGAAAGCCGGGACCAGGTCATTAATTCATCCGCGCCGACGCTCGGACCAGCTAAATTTCACTCGGTCTCGGATGTGAGACCCTTGATCCCCTGATCCTTGTCGAACATACGACGGGCGCAAGCCCCAACTTGGTTTCCCCGGGAAAACCTTTTCGTGAAGACGGGTATGCTCCATCGATAACCTACGACCGACCGCGAGTGTGATGCGTGTGCCACTCACTCCCCAGGCGTTGCGGTCGGCAAGGTTGTCGCGGCAGGAACCGGTTAAATATGGACACAACCCGTCGAGCTGCGTGATGTCGAAGACAGGTAGGTTAGGTAGACGCAATATGTAGGCCTACAGAGCTGAGTGTTTCATAAATTGGGCCAATTATCTAGCAGAAATTTAGTCGTTGCGACTCGATTCTGATGAAACAGACGCAACGCCAAGTTCGCCGACATCTGCGCAGACAACCGACTACCGGTATGAAACACGGAAAATGAATCCTCCTACCTACAACGCTAAGCAAGGGCGTGGTATGAACCTTGAACGCATTTGTGTTGTTGTAGATGCGAAGTTTCGAGTCCAGTAAAAGCGCCGGTAGGCTACTACCACTTAACTACTAGCTTGGTGGCGCTCGAGATTGTCCGAAAATCATCCGCAGAAAACCGAGCACCGCACGCCTATGCCGAAATCCGTCGAAAAAGGGTACGCGTCACGCGGACGAGGCCGGGACGCTTCGAGCCGGCGCACTCTTCAACATGTGACATGGCTACCAGTCGGACTTCTGAGTTGATGAAAGCCAGGGTCTCCAGCGCGCACGGTGTGCCAATTGTAACTCCTAGTTGCGGCGATCGGCCACAGCAAACGTCTGCACGATCCTGTTCACGCATCGCTCAATTTGTCTCTGGTCCCACCGTCATTCCACACATGATCTTGCTCCGCACCAGGTCCTTTTGTACCTAGATATCAGGCCCGCGATCGGCAAATCCTGGGCTACGTCCCACAACAGAAAAATGTGCTATTGCCAGACTCATGAGAACGATATCTTCAAGTCCGACGTGGGCCTTTGAGATCGGGGTCAATAATAATGAGTGCGGGACAGATCTCGTACACGGCCATTCTCGCTGTAAGGGCCGAAATTGATTTGAGATGAGCGAACGGGCCAACAAGGCGCGGCTCAATTTGGTTTTTGGCCTCCGCGCGCCCACGCGATCCTTGCCGGCAGAATCTCGGTGTTTTTCTGGCCATGTGGCAGATCTTTGGCGCTCCAACGGACGCTCCGTCAAGCCCGGCCTGGTTTCAGATCGAATCAGGAGTGCGATCTCCTTTTTTGAGATCGACATGGTCTTGATCCCGGCGAGTGAGAGACTCCATATCTGCCGGTTAGGCTACAAGGATGAATCATCCCTAATTTTCCGACGAAAATCGCGCGCGATTGACAGAACTTGATGACCGAGTCGATTCTGCCGTCGGCTGCCGGCCTGACGCGGCGTTACGCCAGTGTTAACGGGACAGCTGACCTGGCGACCGCCCGTGCTCCGACTGGGGTAGGTTTGAAAGGTCTCGCAAATCGATGTACTATCTAGGTATCGAGCTACATTTGCGTAGACGCACACACCTTTGCATGCATGTGGTTTGACCCGACGTATTGAGACGAACCGTCGTACTTGTAGTTGCGAGACCGTTTTGCTCGGCGGTCCTTTCAGAGCCAATCAGTCCCATTCATGTATTTGCATTCTCCCCTTCACCTGCTTTAAACAATATTCCGCGTTACGATTCTCACTCGCTTGAACGGCAAAGCCACCCTTCTCTGTGCCACCGTGGTGCGGGGGATCGGCCATCGTCGTGCATAACGCCACTCATACAAGGCCGGGCCCGATCGTGCGACGTGCCCCGGAAGATAGCTTCAAACCGGCCTCGGGGCCAATCAACGGCGGTTCCACATCACCGAGGGTGCGTTTTGTTTCCGACGCATCTACTGACTGCCATGATTTGGCATCGTCAACTGTTGACAAGGAATCGGAGGCTGACCGAGACCCGCTCGGGTGAGGGCTGACGTGGTGTCACGCGCTTGCCCCATCTTATCCGAGGAACTCGCCATGACCCTTCAACAGCCGAAGGACCATCTCCGTCGAGCTTCATCTCCTTGCTGTAGCGTATTCTCCTTCCTCCTCGGACTGGACGGCACTACACCACAGAGGGCCAACGCGTAAACCGCCAGGTTGCTTCTTGGCCTAGGCCAGATACCATCGAGTCTCAGTTACGCATCCTTGCTGTTCGCCTAGGGGCTCCTCAGGATTATCTACAACACTGTCACTCGATATGTGACTCCTCGGGATTTTGAGTCCAAACCGTCGGTAGCCTTGTACCATGTCACTGCTTCGTGGCGGCGGACTCGATCCCGTCGACGCGCCTTCGCGCCAAATGGGACACGCTTCCGCGCTCGTACACCATCGCCGGCTAATCAATCCTCAAGCACATCGTCTTTCGGCTCAGGCTTCAAACCTTTTAAGTGAGAACCGTAATGGGCCAAGGTGAGTCCCTCTCCTTTCTCGAACGCGGCCTCGTATTCTTGCACCTTGGGCATCTTTCTCCGCCTCGACGTCTATCCTCCTCTTGGCGTTGCCCTCCTCTCGATGCGCCTTCGGTGGTTGATTTGCTGAGATGCTGTTCTTCATCCCATTTATTAGAATGGGTTCGTCTCGTGTGCTTCGTGTGCATGATCTGGTGGTTTTTCCGCCTGCCGGAAACCACGAGACCCAGTGAGTCTCGACGCCGCCCTGGATTGGCTGCGCATACATGCTTCTACGACCTCCCAGCATACGGCAAACTTGATATCTCGTCTTTGAGGATCTGCAAGCCTACGGCGTTTCGAAGTTGTTGGAGTGGGGAGCAACGTGAGTAGATACGATCTGCCAGATCCCCGGAGGATTGGGCGCTGCTGCTCCGGGGCAGACGCTTCGGCAAACGCAATCAACATCTCCTACTTTCATCATGAGGCTCCAAGATTACTTCATGAGTCATTCGTTATCTAATCACACAACATAAACGCAATAAACACTTCGTATAAACACCCTATCTTCCGGCAATAATTCACCGCTGCTCCAGCACATTCAACTCTTGATCATGATCCACCCATCTCCTTATCTCTTGGCCAGCTCGCGAGATCAGCATTGCACGCCTCTTCGAGATTCGTGGCGCGGCGGAGAGAACTGTGTATAGAAGAAGCGAGCCAATCGGTATTCAAGTGGTATGGATTGAGATGACAAAACGAAGTACTGACTCGTAGAGGATCCCACCGACGAGGAGCGCAGTGAGGCCCCAGGCGGCTACGCCGAACATGATCGTCGGGTGTCGGAGCATCACCAGCAAAGGGAGATGCATGATCCCTACCGCAGCGCCTGAGAGTGGAGTATGAGTAATTCAGCTTCAGCACATAAATGATTATGCCTAATTGGGGTGAGGCCACTAACCTAATGTAGCCATCTGCACCGCCAAACCCTTCCCTCCATCGAGGTTGTCCATCCCACTGACGGGATCGAGAGAGAGTGCGATCCGATGAGCGCCCGTCCTAAAAGCGGCCACAAGACACAGAAACGCCGACGTGGTGAGAAGAGTAGAAGGTTGGGAAGTGGGTGTAGGGATGAAGGCGAGGAAAGGTCTTGAGGGTTGGCGTGCGGAGGGTTCGGCCGCTGGGCCACGGATGATGGGGCCACTCGGGGAAGATGAATTTGAGATCGCGTAGAGGTGGAAATAGAGGAGGATCAGGATGATCGAAGCGCTGTGAACAAATCTCTGTCAGTGCGAGTGGTCAAGAAGGGTACCAGAACATAGACTGACATGATTTCGACCAATAACAAACACTCGACCCTTTGCAGATACGATCGCTCAAGCAACTTCGAGGCTTTGTGGTGCCTCGAATTCCTCCGTGAGGCGAGACTGCCGCGAAAGACACCAGCCGTGGCTCCACCACCCGGACCCAGAAAGCCCATGCCCGGAGTTCCTGGAACGCCGAGGCTAAAGATCGCACCTGGGGGTGCGTACATCGGTGGTGGGCTATTAGGGGTGACTGGGATCGTTGACCATCTTGGTGAACCGTAACCGATCGCTGGGCTGGAGCTGAGTGCGGAGCTGGAGCCTGAGGCGCCGTCACCACCGCTGATGGTGCCATTGCCGACGCTGGGGAAAGGAAAGCCCGTTGTCAGGGGCGATCCCAAGACGGTCGAGATCGAAGGTGAGAGGTCGAGCGACGTCGATCGAGTGTGAGCCATCCACGCTGTATTTCTGGGTGATGGTGAGGACAACATCGCTTCTGAACTGAGTTATGTTTGGTAGGGAGGGAGGGAAGAAACTGAAGGAGAAACGTAGCAGTTACTTCGACGAGGCTCTTGGTGGCTTTAGCAATTTCGACGCGGCTGGCAAGTCGCGGGCGCGTCGCTGCTGCCTTGGTGCCGCCGGCCTTGCGACGCGCGCCACTCTTCGCCCAAAGCGGTGAAATGGCCAACGCGGCCGCGGGATTCCAGGCCCCCGCCTTTACAGGTATTAGGACCAAGTCCGTCTGATGCTGCGGCCAAGGACTGAAGACACCGAAATAGAGGCGGTGCCCAAATACAGGACTTGCTTTCTTGACCAAATCTGGATCTGACCTCATCCTCCCTGGCTTTGGCGCAAGCACTCGTTGATGACAGGGGCTTTCGCGCGCCTGGCCTATGAAGCGTCCAGCCGTGCGCGAGAGGCGGCTGGCCCCCTTTCTTTTCTGGCACCGCTTCAAAAGCAGCTAGCAGCATCCCGTCAAGGCGGTGCACGAATCTTAAAAAGGATGCGAACGTCACTTCATTTATTTACAACAAGATCTAGCAAATCTAGAGAACTCAAAAACTGCAAAGCCCTTACATTGCCCCCCCCCCCCGGGTACTCTATTCGACTTTGGGTAGTGCGACCGCCGTAGCCGCAGCGCGAGCGGACGTCGACCCAAATGCTCCACCTCGACCAGCGAGACTCCCTTGAATACGTCCACCCAACTTGCCCCGCAACGTCCCAGCCTTCCTGACGACCGCCGGCGAATTCGTCTGCAACGAAGCGACGTTGGCTTTGGCACTCGAGCCCAAGATCCTCGTCGAGGGAGGGAGCTGCTTCGATGACGAGGCCAAGGTCGGAGCGGACAAGCTCGATGAAAACGGCCGGGTCGTAGCTGGTGATTCGAGCTTGTGGGTTAACGGTTCAGACGCGGATAGTGGGCCGAGTTTGGGGGTGTAGCCTACGGGCTTGCGTTTGAGCGAGGCTTGGAGATCGAATTTGGGTCGGGTCATTCCGATGCTAGGTGCAGCATGTGCCGGTTTGGGGCGGGAGAGGGAACTCGTCGAGGCTCGAAGATCGTTGGTCGTCGTCGAGCGAGCCAGAACGGAAGGAACGACGGGAACGGGAGGTGGTCTGGAAACGCTCGAGGGTACGGGCGGCACCTCATTCGTTGAGGACTTGCTGCCGAACGTTGCGCGAAAGAGGGTCTTTGTCAAGCTCCCGCTCGGCTTTGGAGTGGCTGAGGATACACAACGAAAGATTCGTTAACTTTACTCCTGATCAGAGTACCTGCATGGTGCAACTCACGACCCAACGAGACCCTCTTCTTCCTCATCCGCGATGCCTGTTGCGCCTGACTCTTCCTCCTCTGATGTTTGAGCATCCCCAACCTTCTCTTGACCTCTTCCCTCTCCTCTGAACTCTGTTCCTTCTTTCCGTTCTTCGACAAATTTCCCAAAGACGACGCCCCGGATGTGGTACCCGATCGATTTGCGCCGCTGACGCCCAACCAGCCTTGTTCCCTCAGCGCACTCGCAACTTTCTCCGGACTCTGCTTCATCGGGTTCGAACCGACCGTTGAAGACGCAGTTCCAAACAATCGTTTCGAACCGATCGAATGGCTCAACGCCGAACTCGCCAGTTTGGGCTTCTTGTTACTCCTCGAGACATCGTCCTCGTCATCACCTTTGTGGAAGAGCGATTTCGACGAGGTTGAGCGGAAGATCCCCGTCGAAGTCGACGTCGAAAGGGTGTTGTTGTTCCTCATAGCTTCACGAGGTCTCTTCGCCGCGTAATGGGTATCGATACCTTGCATCCTGTCGAACACTTTGCGATGCGAGGCATCAAACATCCTCTTGTTATTGCCTTTGGCATCGGAGCCTGATGCGAGTTGATGGGTCGAGGTGGAATGGGATAGGGAGGTGATACTTTGGTTCAAGGTTGAAGATTGAGCGAGAGATTCGAGCGCTCGGCGATTCATCTCTTCCATTACGAGCTCGGTCGTGGATTTCGAGCGAACGACGCCTTCAGTTGGAGCCACAATCGGGGAGGGTTCGAGTTTCATAATCGTGGCCGGAGCGAGCAAAGGTTCAATCGAAGGCCCGGGGGAGAGGCTGAAAGTAAAATCCGATTTGGCCTTGGGCACAGGTGAGCCAAAGATGAAGCGAGCGTCGTTCGTTGGTGGCTTGGACAGCTCGGGTGAGACGGGTGCCAGCGTGGTCACATGTGTGGTGCCTTGGGGAATAGACACAAAAGCGTAATCTCGTTCACAGTCAGAGACGATCGACGGCTCTGCGGTCTCTGTGGAAGCTATCGAATTCGCCGCGACCAGAGGGAGAGTCGTACTCGAGGCCGAGGCACCATAGTCCGTTGGTCGAGAAACGAGACGAATACCAGTTCCGTGTTGGAATGAGGAAGCACACGATGACGAGGCCATGGTGCTCAATGTCGAAAAGGAAGAGTCGGGTTGATCACTTTGGGTGTCGGGCGTCACTTCCGACATGGCATGATCTCGCGCTCCTAGGGCGAAAGGCGAGTAGGAAGCGATCGATTGAGGTGTCAGGGAAGGGTAGATCTTGGGTGTCGAAGGTCGGAATGGCGATGTATGGGACGGTGGTTCCACCTCTGTCGTACCCGAGGGCGTTTCGAGTTTTGCCAGTGACGACTGGGAAGACGACTTTTGGAGGTTCGTCGTCGACTTGAGCTTGCGCAGGAGCGACCCGCCAACGGATCGGATCGTCGATGCCAACGAGCTGTTCGAGAAAGAAGTGGGGATCGTCGACTTGTCACCTGCTGAGATGTTCAAAGGCGGGACGTCGAGCAATCAGCCAAAGTAGTCAAGGCAGGATTCACAATCGATGCTTGCTAGCTCACGTTCTGCTTCGACCCCAAACTCCTGCATACCCTTTTCGACGTCCATATCTTGCTTCGAATTCGGGACCTCGGCTTTGGTCTTATTTTCTTCTTCATCAATGACCATCCAGCTCGTCTCCTCCCCTGCCTCTTGATCGGGAGGAGTCGTCGAAGCTCGGGGTTTGCGCGCGAGCTCCTGTCCATGGTGCTTGAGTCGTTCGATCAATTCGACGTTCTGCTCAAGATCGGTTGAGTCATGGGTCAGGGATATACCAAACGTTCTCTGAAATACAGTCGAGATGTGCTCACCTTGCCACTGGCCTTTAAGCCAAACTCCTTGGCGAGCGCGACGAGCTGCGGTCGTTTGAGGGCATTGAGCGCGGGCGAATGGCACAGGATCGCTACTTCGGGGCGAGTCGGGGAGGAAGCCATTCCGATCAGTTGGAGATGAGTGGCGTGATGAGCGTGGAGATGGGAGAGTGAGGGCGTCCGTCGTGTTGGATGATGCGGACTGATGTTCCTCGTGCTTGGAGCCGAGCTCGAGTTGAATGATGGATCGCCGAAGCAGACGCGGCGGAGGTCTGGATCCCTACAGCGAGGGGCCGTGCAGGTGTTGGGTGGGACGAAGTGTATCTCAGGGAGATACCTTTGAGTTTGTGCTTGGTGTGACGACGCCGTGTGTTGCGAGTCAATGGGTGGCAAGACGATGAGCGAAGCGGGAGCTGTGGAGCTGCGCCGAGTGCGCAATTAGTGATCGAAGTGCATTTAGTAATGAATTAGTAGAGATTAGTAGTGCATCGCCAGCTTTCGCCGGCATTTGCCCGCGCGCACGGACCGCCTGTCGCAACCCTCCGCCTCCGCCAGTCCTCCGCCAGTCCTCCGCCTCCGCCTCCGCCTCCGCCTCCGCCAGTCCCACGATCGAGACGATCGCCCGGAGCTCGATCAGCTCAGCGTCGAGCAGCCGCCACAAGCCAGCGGGCAGCGGGAGATCTCCTTTCGCATTGGCACTGCCAAACTGCCCATTTGCTCCGCTACGAGTCAGTTCCTTTTGTTCTCCCTCAGGCCGTCCTCGGTACTGTACTCAACCACAGATCCATCGCTTCCTGCAGCCTCGTCCTCCGCTGCTCCGTGCCCTGCGTCGGCGACGTCGGCGACGTCATCGCGTCTGACCGAGCTCATCGACCTTGACTACGAAGCGATGGCCACAATACCAAGCGGTACAAGCGGGGAGCCCGTCAGCGATCAACTCGTCGTCAGTCTGACCAGGTTCCATCATATCGATAACCCCAACTGACGCTCCTTTTCCTCGCCATTCGATGCAATCAGCGGCAGTTCTGTCCTCCGCTCGATTCGGCGCTCGTCCATGCTTTGCTGCTCGACCTTCCCTCGACACCTTCTCAAGATGAGATCAAGGCCATCAATTCGACCTTGAGCTCGCTGGCCAACGATGCCGAGATACAATTCACACCTGATCACGAGGATGACGGCAGGGACGGGACAGGGGTCTCCACCACGACCACCAATACGACATCAACGCTCGCCGAAGACTTGGACCTAGGCAAGACCTTGGAAGTCTGGTCATTGAATGGGGACGAGTCGTCGACGACGCAAGGCACGACCCCTTCGAACCGAAGTGATTCCGAAAGATCTTCGTACCGACCCGATGATCCCTTGGCGTTCCTATCGTCCGTCTTCCCCAACGAATCGATCGAGCTGCTGCAGCAACATCTCGAGTCGTCTTCGGGGGACGTTGAGATCGTCGTCGATGAGTTACTCTCCAGTGGGTTGCTCAAAGAAGCTCAGAGGGAAGAAACGCCGCTCCCCCCGCCGACATTGGACTCTCCCGTCGTATCGAAACAACAACGCAAGCGGATAAAGGCGGTTCAGAAAGCTTCTTCGACCCTGTCCCTTACTTCTACACCACATCTCGCACCGCATTCGTCCGCACTGTCAGCGGCAAGCTACGATTCCACTCCTTCACCCATCATCGCGGCGCGGCCGATCGAGAACCGGTGGGTCTCCATCTCGTCCCACGCTTCCAAACTGGCTACGTTGCTCCATGTCTCCGAATCAAGGATCGTATCGACCTACCACAAGTCGTCGTCTTCCCTGCCTCTCACGCTCGCGAGGTTACTCCACGCTTTGACGGCCGAACGGCCCTTCGACTCACTTTCGAACGAAGACGAACAGAGTCCGATCGATCTGCGCGATTCATTAGGAGCGGTCTTGCCCCACCTCACAGAGGAGAGATTGGAGATGCTGCTCTCCTCTACGGAAGGTGACGTAGCCGATGCGATGGACCTAGAAGCGACGATTCAGGAGATCGAGAAATCCGAAGGGAGATTGGTCTGGTCCGAGATCTTGCAGTTGGATTCGACCGAACCTCAACTCACGAAGAAGACGGGTCCGACCTTCTCGTCGACGTCATCGACAACAGCGGCCATCCCAATTGCCGTTGTACCGAATCCTAGGATTAAAGCTGTAGTGCAAAGGAAAGAACGCTACACCTTCAGCGAATGTTCGACCCTCGAATCGGAATACCTTCACAAACGAAACCTCGCTCTTAGGTCAGCCGCAACCCACTTCCAAAAAGGTGGGATAGGGGAACGAGGAGCTGCTTCCTACTGGGCTGAAGAATCGAGGAAACTGGATGCCAAGAGGAAGGTTTGGACGGAGAGGAAGGCTGTGGCTTTGGTTAGGGAGAGGGCGTTGAAGGATGGGATGGGGGGTGGGAGGGGAGTAGATTTGCATGGGTTGACGATGAATGAGGCCATGGCGGTGACGAGGGATAGCTTGGATGAGTGGTGGAGGGTGAAGCATGGTGCGTTTGCTCGGTGAAGGTGCCGTGGAGGTGCTTTGCTTGAGCTAACCTCGTCTCTGCTACATCTTTGGTTGCACAGGTGCTCTTTCCCCATCTCCATTACGCATCATCACCGGTGTCGGCAAGCACTCGACGAACCAAGTCGCGATCCTGCTACCCGCGGTGATCAAGCTTCTGGACAGAGAAGGCTGGAGTTGGTCCTACGACAACAGTTTCGGAGGCGCGGGCGCGAGAGGTGCGGTTCTTGTCAAGGGGAGAAAATGAGGAGATGTGAGGGAACAATGGCGAACCTGTTTGGGATTCTGGCCACCGTCGATACGGGAGGCGTAATGTTGTTAGAGAGACGACATGATTGTATTCCTTGCAACTATAGAAACCGCTGGGCCCCACCCAGTAATGGAAGACATGCGGTCGGAGAAGATACCAAAAATTGACACGCCAAGAGGAGAGGAGTGGCAATGGGCCAAACCGATGCATGCAAGAAAATCGAAGGTTAAGACTATAAAAGAGAAAGAGCAGGTATCTCTACATTCGGGAAGTTGTCATTTCCGCTGGTGAACATGATCGATTCGCAGCTGAGTCAGTTCACTGCGCTGCATTCCACCTGAACTTGTGTAGAAGAACTCACCAATAGGAGAATACCTTCCCGGACCCGTATGAGGTTCTCCAGGATGAGCCACGGGCGTCGTAGTAACAGCCACTTTGACCGGCGCCGTTGTGGTAGGGGCAATTTTCTCGGTTGTTTTCGTAGTCTTGGTAGAGGACTTGCCCTTGGAAGTGCTTGTTGGTGTTGTGGGGGGAGGGGAGCGACGAGCGGCGTACGAGGTCGGCTTAGCTGTGGAATTGGTCTTGGTCTTCGAGGTATTAGAGTGAGAGGTGGACCCGGCTTTCGTCGTGGGCTTCGTCGTAGGGTTCGTCGCTTTTGGGTTAGGGATGACGACGGGAGTTGACGAGGTGTGAGGAGTCGTCGCCGTCGCGGAGACAAGTTTGATGTTGTAACTCGTCACCGCACCTGTTTGCAAATTAAAGAGGCGGAAATGAGCTTCGGAAAGATGACTTCTGGAGCTAGGCATTCTGACTCACTATGAACGGCTCGGAGTCTTAGACTCGACCTGGGATGAACAGCCTCTTTCTCGGAAGTCGCTTTGTGATGGTGCTCTGTGGGCCAAACACAACTCAGTGTAAGCCAAACCCAATCTTTCCTTCGAATTTAGACACTTTGCAACGTACTATGTTTATGCGTCGTAGTAGGCTTTTCCATCCTCCTCTTCGTGCTCGACTTCATCGGCTTGGCGCCTTTCCCCTCCGCCGTCGATTGTGGCTGCACGATCGGGAACCTCGAGAGTTGGTGATTGATCGCCGACAACTTGCTCGCTAATACCGAAGCTACGTGATCGAAAGATTTTGGTTGTGATGATGTGGAGGGTGAAGTAGTGTACTTGCGTGGCACGTCGTCGGCCTTGGCGATCTGGCCTGGGTTGCGAGTGGGGAGCGCGTTCGGCGCATGGGAATAGATCGAGGCAGTTTCGCGAGGGAGGGAGGCGATGGGTAGGCCAGACACGACGGAGAGGTGTACTAGGATGATGGCGGCTAAGAGGGTGGAAGGATGCATTGTTCAAACTCTGAGTCGGCCCGACGCGAGGACAAAACGCGTTCTTGCTGGGCGAGGATCTGGTCGGCGCGGGGCGCGCGTTTGACTGAAGGAGAAGGGCGGCGCTGGGACAGGAGCGACGTGACGATGAGGCCGACAGTGAACTTGGCTGTTGTCGAGTAGGGTACAGGCGTTCTCTTCGAATGGACCAGTGTTGGGGTGAGGATGAAGGTCGAATTAGCCCATAGGATGGTTATGACTACACCGCATCATCCTCTTGTATGCCACCTTTCGCTCCCCTCCCATACAAAAACAGGCCGTGGGCCGGCGGGTGTTAATTCGAGGCCGGCTGGAAGAGTCGGGAAGTCTTGACTGCGCCGCCTTGCCTCGTCGGAGGTTAGATGCGTGCCGAGCCCTGGGGTAAGACAATTCGTGAGACGCGACAAAGCAACCAGCCTTCAGAAAACAGCTTAAAACCCCATAGTCTAGAGCCCCCTGCCGTGGTCGACCCGAAGCCTATCGGAGGGCGGCGTCGCGAGCCTTTCGCCCTTTGCTGGCAATTATGTCCAAGTCGGCAAATGGCTTGCTCGCCCGCAGGGGGGCTGGCGCGCCTCGACGGCCGCGCCACGCGCCGGTCGCGAAGAGCGCCCGAGACATACGCATCATCCGTTATGCTCACCCACTACGGCAGTTTTACAGCCCCTGTCCGCCGATTCGAAAGGGACAGAGAGACCGAAGTATAAATAATCATTTTTGCACGAATTTTGGCGACGCTCGCGGACCGACGCGCTTCATTCGCTTTTTACCGAGTTAGTCACCTCTCTTTTTCCGCGGACATTGCATCTGCTCGATCGGGCTCAATCCACTTGCAACAGCGACAACAACCACAACAACATCGACAAGCACCACCACACCATTCCGTCAGATCCGTCACTCAAAGGACCCGCGACGGCTCACTCCTGAGGTCCCTTGTAATGCACATCGACTTTGCCCGCGGGAGCCTACGTCAACCACCAATACAGCGCCGCGAGCAAGAGTAGAACGACGGATATTGGCATCAGCGGCTGCACTGATCAACAACGTCACATCAAGCATCAGAGCAGCAGAAGGGAGGGGATCATGTCGCTGTTGAAGGCGCAAGGAACTGAGAAAACAGGCACTCACCGTTGATGGCTTCCTAGGTTTGGCCCCCGGTCCACCCGGTTGGTCGCACTTGCACTGCTTGCCGTCGGGAATCTTGTCCATCACCGAGGCAATGTGACCTCCGCATCCCCTTTTGATGTTCAATGGCGTTCAAGGAAGCGACATGCATAGGGATGATGGGGCAAGCGTGTCGTATGATCAGCTAACCGCGCCGGGAGCAGGGTACATCGCATGTAGGGCGAGACAATTCACCACCTATGCACGTATCCAGGCCATTGATAAGGGAGATCGAGGCATTCGTAGGTGGTCAGTAAGCTTGCCCGCTTGGTGGAGCACGCCCTTTGTGGGGATGCGCCAGTGCATGAGGAGATGTGGGGCACGAGTCCGAGTCGCGTGACCTACCACGTCAATTGGTTGCAGCTGAGAAAAGAGGTGAGAAGCCTTGGTCAGCTCCGGCAGATCTTGTTGAATTCCTGAGGGGTACTGACTTTTCACAAGTCGCTTCGAGGCACATGGTACTGTTGGCTGTTGTGAGCGGGAGAAAGAAAGCGGAACGCGGTGGGGAGCAGCATGTCAGCTCCGGCCGACGAGTGGCATTAGTAATGGAGCATTAGTAATGGAGCTCGGTACCCTTTGACGGATGCCGAGCACGGCGGGCTGGGCCGAAAATACCCGATGATCGCTGCAGGGTCCAGCAAGTAGATCGTCTGCATCCGACGCCCCACTCACACTCTAATTATTGTGCAGCAGCGATGTACCCTCACACTCGAGAAAGGGACGGCAACTGCCAATGGGTACCAATATTCTACATGGTTTATTACCAGTGGGGTATAGGGAATCAAGGAGTGCGGTCAACGCTGCATTCTCTCCGACTTTGCCAAAGGTTTTTAGGTATCCTAATCCTATCCTATCCTATCCTAAACTACTAAAATCCTATCCTCCTAAACTACTAAAATCCTATCCTCCTAAACTACTAAAAACAACTGTCGCGTCAGACAAAGAACGTCAAAGAACAAAAGACAAACCACGTGGCGTGACGTCATCGGCAGCTCTCGGTCCAGCGCGTCCCGGTTAGCTAGCGCTGTTTCAGCTTGGGTCGGCCAGCGACAGACCGTTTCGTCTACGTTCGCCGAGGTTCCATTGGATAGCACATGACTCTCTGCTTCGGGCTTCACTCGTTCCGCGGCCTTCCGCGACATTCTATGAACCCGGTTTAAACTGAGGCGCAGCCTTCTCCATCTTTCTCCCTCCTGCTCTTCACACCTTACCCATCGCATCTCATCCCATCGCCACTCATCTTATCGCAACTCATGAAAGAAGCCCCAACACAACTCGCGGATGGCGAACGAACAGCTCTGTCAGTCGATGACGTCGATCGACTTGACGCAATACGGTCCTGGCCCAGGACACGGCTCAAGTAGTTGTCACAATGCTTGGGAAGATCGTATCGGTTGATCGATCCCTCCACAGGGATGCCTCCCGTGTAGTAAGTGACGCGAACAGCGAAACGTTCAGGGGAGCAGCCCGTTGATATACCTTCATGATGTCAACCAACCGCCCATTCAGCCTCAGAGATGCGGACAACGAACGAGTGGGCCGATCGGAACTGTGCTCGAGACAAATCGGCCTCGAGCTCGCGACACCCGAAGCGGTCGTCGTGGAAGCTCTGCAACGAATACGGGATCAAGGAATGCCTGCCGCATGCAACATAGCTACGAATTCGAGTAAGTAACTCCATGAACTGTGCTCTTGGTGTGGGATTGTTCAGAAGCTAATGGAAAACTACCAAGCAGAAATTCCCTTCAACACGTCCTCTCTGAATGTCAACCCTCGAGTTGTTTCTTCACCGTCAGCTGGTGACACTGCATGCGGCGTGAGTTATCCCTTGACATGGCTGTGCAGTCTTAGATATGACGGAAAAACTGATACGAAAAACAGACATTGAACGTCAGTGAAACAGCGGAAGCATTGACTTCGTACGGTTGAGAATCCGGGTCATTGGGACACTAAATGTGAGTCTTCACTGCCATTGCTACAGATGGACAACGGCAAGAATACTGAGTTGTAACGAATCACGCCAGAAAACAGCCTCTGGTCGGGTGAATTGCGGCTCACCTGGCAGATCCTCAACGGCTCGGTTCGGTGGAGTGTGGAGTGACCGTCGTGTTGGCAGGTGTGCCCCCAATCTTTCAAAAGCAAAGCGCAGGGCGGTGTGACTAACTGATCGATTGGACTGTAACGTCACAGGGGATCCGAAGCAATGCCTTCCCGTTATTCCCCAAGTCATCGCTAACCCGAATCGTCGACGCTTGCCGTTCCACGCTGCAAGTTACTGAACAGTACCGCAACTGTTGACCCGCTGAAATGTGATGTACTTTGCTGCAACGGTTACGGTGTGAGGTGGCGCGCGGAGCGCGCCGCCGAACCTAGTTGAAATCTATCAAATAAAAATAATCATAAAAAAGCGCGCAGCCCAGGCGGATCCGACTTCCCGACATCTGTTCCTCAGAGGTCGAATTGATGATGTATTTATGCCAACTGGCAGGGACGCAGGTGCGTACATGTTGACGAGTGTGGACCGATAGTCCGCAATAAGGGAGTCGAGTGATTGATTGACGACATCCCATAATTTATCGGCTCGAAGATTGATAAAGGCACGCTGTGACCAGCTCTTGTACCCTTGTGTGTCCTTGAGGTACAAGCGATTGCCGACCCGTTTAATTAAAGGGAAGTCGGATTCGCCTGGGCTGCGCGCCTTTTTATGATTATTTTATCTGATATATTTCAATAACAGTGTAATTATATTAATACCTAAAAACCTTTGGCAAAGTCGGAGAGAATGCAGCGGTTCTCATGGCGTTGGCCCTCGTTCAGCACGACTGCTCTGGCTGGACCTTGCACTCCGGGCGAGGGCGTTCGGCCAATCTTCGCAGAAGGACACTACACCGGCCGCATTGCGCGGGGCGCCGTGCACGACGACGACAGGAACTTCTTATGTAGCACCATTAATCACTGGTAAAGGAGCGAAGAGGTCGACAATATCGTACGATCGGTGATCAATGGTGCTAAGTACCTCTTCGCTCCTTTACCAAGCCCACCACAAGAGAGCGACGAGTTCCTTGAGGGCCTTTTGCAAGGTCGACGATATCGTACGATCGGTGATTAATGGCGCCAAGTAAAAAGTTCCTGTCGTCGTCGTGCACGACGCCCCGGGCAATGCGGCCGGTGTACTGGCCTTCTGCGAAGATTGGCCGAACGCCCTCGCCCGGAGTGCAAGGTCCAGAGCAATCGTGCTGAACGAGGGCCAACGCCATGAGAACCTGCCGGATGGGTGAAGGCCATCAGCGCGTCATAGGCAGCATCGTGGATCGAGTCTTTGTGCTCACCTCAATTGGCATAACCTCAATCTCCTCCGTGCGCTGCATCTTCAAAAACCCGGTGTCGCCCAGTTCCTCTCCCGCCGGCCGCGAAGGCGAGCACCACAAAGCTGAGCCCGAAGGGTGGGATCACTTCGCGCGGTCGGCCGTCCACGGTCCAGAGTTCAAGGATCTGCGCCAGCCGGGGCTGACCGACGGGCATCACTTCTCTCGTCAGCGAGTGACACGGACGCACCACGACCCAATGCATAGCGGGGACGTACCCTTTGATCTTGTGGACCAGCTTGAACGAAGCACCAATCTCGGGACCAACCATAATCCCCATTGCGCAGCGTGACGAAGCGACCTGGACGCAAGCTTGGCGTGGTTCCGAGTGCATCGAAAATACTATGATGAAGGATGAAGTGCGGCACACGCTCGGGTGGCGTCGATCTTCTCCTTGGTCGTCAAAGCAGTCTTCGCGTTGCCCAGAGCCATCCCACTATGCACGTGTCGGTTGTCGACCTTCGAATCTTTCAAATCGTCCAGCCGTAGTTCGCGTCGAAAGTCGCTCCCTTCCTGCGACGCGAAAGAATTGCGAAACAGAGGGGCCGGCGGTGGCCTTGGGTCCGTCAGCGGCTTCCCATCGGCCTCCCGCAGCGATGAAGACCAGACGGTGTGCCTGGCTGTCTTGACAGGCAATGTCACGAGTGGGGGAGTGGCGGTTCGAATGCATGCAGTAGTCGCGAACGGTCTTGTTCGCTGACTCAGCGACGGACGAGTCGAACATCCTCGGCAGACCGAACCGCCGAATCGCCTCCTCGACGTGCAGCAGGTAGTGACATTTGACCTTGCTGACCACGTGGGAGGCGATTCGCTGCAAGGACAGTAGTACGAATCGAGTGGCGAGAACCTTGTACGTGTCGGCATAGGCTGCGAGGTCGTCGGTGTCAGTACGCATCGCATGTCGCGTGAGTTTGCCGAGGGCCATCCAGCACTCTGCTTCGGATTGGGAGAGCCACATGCGTTGCTGAAAAAAGTAGGCGACCAGGGGGAAAATCTGAGCGATGAACCTATAGTCCTTGCCGACACAGGATGCCGAAGCCCGGACGTAAAATTCGCCCTTGATTTGTTCGCCAAGGCCACAGCTCGATTGGGTCGCGAGCCAACTGATCAGCTCCTGCTTCTCGTCCGCACTTCGCTTCGTGGTAGTTGATACCCAAAGGTACTTGACCATTCCAAGGAGCAGTATATGTAGAAGATCAGGTGGTGTTGCGAGGTGAGGATCGTAGTCTGTGGGCGACGAAGTGCGAACGTCCCGACGTATGGGATTAGCGACAGGGCAGGTAAACTCCTACCAAGCCGAGCAGCGCTGTTGGGCGCCAGACGACGCACCCCCTCGAGCAGATCTCGGCAGAGGCCCGGGCTTACCGAGTGATGGCGCCGAAGCAACAAGCCCACGTCCGTCAAGAAAGCGACGAGAGGGGACGTATGGCCGTCGAGGCATTGATCGTACAAATGGAGGAGGCCGACGAACCGATGCATGGCCCGTTTTTCGACATGTCCGGTAAGCCCCGGGCGGCGTTGAACGAGTTTCCCTGCCCTGTCGCTAATCCCATACGTCGGGACGTTCGCACTTCGTCGCCCACAGACTACGATCCTCACCTCGCAACACCACCTGATCTTCTACATATACTGCTCCTTGGAATGGTCAAGTACCTTTGGGTATCAACTACCACGAAGCGAAGTGCGGACGAGAAGCAGGAGCTGATCAGTTGGCTCGCGACCCAATCGAGCTGTGGCCTTGGCGAACAAATCAAGGGCGAATTTTACGTCCGGGCTTCGGCATCCTGTGTCGGCAAGGACTATAGGTTCATCGCTCAGATTTTCCCCCTGGTCGCCTACTTTTTTCAGCAACGCATGTGGCTCTCGTTCAACGCCGTCCGGGGCTTACCGGGCACGTCGAAAAAAGGGCCATGCATCGGTTCGTTGGCCTTCTCCGTTTGTATGATCAATGCCTCGACGGCCATACGTCCCCTCTCCAAAGGTGCTCGTCCGTTGACATTTGAGAGAGGGGCGACCTTCGGCTGAGAACGGTTTGTTCGACGAGGTTAAAAGTCAGCATGCAAGTCGAGTCAAGTCGAGCGGCGAGGAAGGCGAGCGGGAACGTGGGATGGTTAGAACCATTAGTTGAAACGTAGACGGCCTGTGACTTTGGACGGATGACACGACTATTTTGTCTCGCAAGTCGCGAGCGAGGGCTCGGATCGAATGGCTCACTGTAGGCGGTCTGATCGAGTCGTTGGAGGTAGAGCACGTGGTCCGGTCGGAACGGCTCAAGGTCGCAATCAACACGGCCCGGACGCAGCTGTAGGTACCTTCGAGCTCGGTGGCGAATCGCTGAATACCGATCGGCGATGGTGAGGGTCTTGCAGTTGCTGAATGGCGCGTCGTGCGACGTTGCACTACGCTTGCCTCAGCTGGCGCGGGGTGACACGTCGAGTGCCGGCCCGAATAAGGTCGAGCCGTACGTACCGAACAAGTGGCGTTTCATCATGACGGCAAGGTGTTGCGTCGTCGTGTCGTCGTGCAGTGAGAGGAAAAGGCGAGTCGAGTCGAGTGGTGCAAGTGGTGCGAGTGAGTGGGAAGAGGTAAAGGAGCGAGGCCACAACGGCAGGTGGCTTAGGGGGCTTTCTTGACGGACGTGGGCTTGTTGCTTCGGCGCCATGGCTCGGTAAGCCCGGGCCTCTGCCGAGATCTGCTCGGGGGGTGCGTCGTCTGGCGCCCAACAGCGCTGCTCGGCTTGGTAGGAGTTTCCCTGAACAACTCCGGTTCGCGGGCTTACCAGCTGATGCATCGAGCCGCTTGGGTCCATCAACCCAGGCGTCGCCAAAGTCGAAATCGGGCTCGAGGCCGCCCCAGCCTTCCGAAGCGCTGCCGGTCGAAAGGCGACGGGAATCATCATCAAATCCTTGGCTCGTCGAGTGGCGACTGAGGGTCTCGCCATGGTCTTGCTGAGGATCGCCCGAATCGCTGGCTGAATCGTCGAGGATCCGGTCCAGATCTGGGATCAGTGCAGAGGACTAAACGAGGCGAGGCAAAGTTTCAGCACGAGGGACAAGTCGACTAAATAAAGCCCCACCATTCCGACGTCAAGGGCGCCGCTGTTGCATCCGCCCAACCCACACTTACGGATCTGGGATCACTGCAGTGCGCGTCAGCGAGGGTCGCACCGAGGGAGGAATATCAAGCCCGCTCGACCCCCTCGCCGACACAGGCGTAACCATGCGGTACGGAGACGACGGCAGCGTGCTCGGCGAGGCGGCTCGGTCGTCGCTGAATCTTGTAGCGAATTGTAAGTTCTTGTGATGCGCGCCCGAGCTGAGGTGTCGCTGGAACTGCGATTTACTCCAACGCCGCGCCGAGAGCCGCGGGCACACCCTACAGCGATACTGTGGCCATCTATTGCGGCCGTTCTCAAGGACGACTTCGCCACCTGGAAAGGAACATGGTTCAGGTTAGCTTTGGCGCCAGGGGTCGAGTCGTTGAGGGAGTGGTGGTGGTGGTGCGGTCGAATCTCACCAAGCTTGACAAAGTCTGTACTCATTAGTCTCACAGCTTCCTCCGTATACCAAAGCACGGAGGCATCACGTACAAACCTTTTTCAATCCGACATCGACGAACTCCAACGTACATATCAGAACAAGCGTGTGACTCTGGCGTCGATTGGTGCCAATACTTCCATTATTAAACTGCCAGCGGGCCACTTCGGACAAACAGTAATCAGTAGAAACGGAACGCACCCTTTGGTCGTAACATTGTTCGGAAAAGTTGCGATGTTGGACCCCTCATTAGGAAAGTCACCAGTTTAGTGAGGTTTAATAATGGAAGTGTTCGAACCAATCGACGCCAGAGTCACACGCTGGTTTTGATGTTGGTTGGAGTTTATCGATGTCGGATTGAGAGAGGTTTGTACGTGGTGCGTCTGTGCTTTGGTATACGGAGGAAGCTGTGAGGGTAGCCATGGACTAAGCACGGTGGTCTGTGAAGGTTCGAGGCGACGTGATGGTAGGAAGACAAAAGCGCGAGGAGAAGAGGAACCCCCCTTTTGAACAGCCTATGCAGGCATGGAATATCGTAGAAGAATATTCGCGTGTGACGCACGAGTCGACTGGAGACCATGTAACTTCGGCGAACATCCGAATATCTCGTATGAAGTGCTGTTGATATATGATGTTGCCGTGTTTGCGAAAAATCATTTGTTACACAACCCAATTTTCTAACCGTGTAACCGTGTGCCACATCAAGCCTGTTGAAAGTGCAAAGCGCGGCACCGTGGACCATATACTTAGTGTGGGACTACTATCACACTTGTTTCTGGATTTGCCGTTGGGCCAGAGACTTTATGCGAGTTCACCGTCGTACGTGCCTTGAATCGCCGCATCCCGCGGATTGCGCATTGTGGTCACTCAGTTGTCCACATCCATGCATGAAGGACTTCTGCAAAACTGAGTGCCATGGGGAGCCCTCTGCTAACTTATGGTCCCTGCAGGTGCTACTACTATTCATCCCTGAATTGGACTTGCTCATGTCAACAAGTTGGATCGCAACCCTTGCAGAACTCGAGGGGAGGGTTGCTGGATTTGGAGGCGTTGTCGCAACAATGCGTCGGACGACTAAATGAGGAACGCCATTCCGCCCCGCTTCAGATCATAGCAGTGCTGATCATCATCGAAGATCAGGTCCACCCTCGAAACAACCGATCGTCGTGTTCCGTATTATACTCCGCACTACCTCCCCCGCGCCGAACCACTCGTCCACTCCAACTCGATATCGCCAACCCAATTCTCCTTCTCCCATCTTTCTTCCTTCATCCTCACCCAAAGAACCCTCCTTTCATCTTCTTCTGTTATCAATTCCCCCATCGCCCCAATTCTCTCGCCTTCAGCATCCACCTCCGCAGTTCCCTCGAAGCTCGCTCCCAATTCTTTCGCAGCGGCCTTGACCAAATCCGTCAATTCGCCGCGTTTGAAGAGGTGGTAGTACCTCTGGAACGTCTGTTCCTTGATCTTTGCCGGGGTCTCATCCTCAACCACATTTACCGATCCTCCTTCCTCCTTCTCGATCGTCTCCTCATCCTGCCGCCCCTCAGTCCCCTTCTTCCCAGCCTTCTTCCTCCTCGTTCCCTTCGCCTTCGCGATCCCCTCTTCCTTCCTCTGCAACTCCCAAGGCACAAAAACATCCCTCTCATCCTCCCTCCCAACCTTCCCCTCGTTAAACCCATCGCCAACCCCTTCCTCCTTGCTTTCGTGCTCGAGGAATTCATCAACTCTAACGGCCCCACCTTTGACTTTACCCTTTTTCCTCGCTGACCCGAACCCGGACAGGGCAGGATCCTGTTCCAAAGCCCAAACGACGATGAGGAGTTTGTGCGGGGAGGCAGGGGTCGAAGTCGGGGAGGGTGTGATGAGTTTGATGAGTTGCTAGTGGGGGAGAAAGGATGGATGAGGGTGAGTAAAGGGGGTGTGGAGAAGCTTTGAGGTGGACTTGGGGGGTACTCGCTTTGATGGACTCGATTCGTCGAGCTTGGGTAGCGAAGTGGTGGATCGTTGCGATGGAGATGGCGTGGTCCTGGAATAGTCAAGGGCAAGCTCAGTCAATAATCAATCTCAACACCGCCTCTCAACCGCGACCGATAGAGCAACTCCGAGAGCCGAGGAACACAACTCACAAAAGCGCCTATCCTCCAACACCCCAGATCAAAGCAATCCCCTCTAACCACCTCGTGCCCTTTCTCCTTCGATGCAATGGATAATAACCCCAATGACATATCGAGACCGATCGAAAGGATCGCCTTGTTCGATTTCGAGCTCGCGGACGGGGGCGGATCGAGTGAAGGGTCGAGGTCACGTGCTCCCGTCGGTTCGAGCTCCGCAGGTCTAGAGTCCGCTTTTCCCTGCGTAATCGTTCTCGAGGTCGCCATACCATCCTCCTTCGAAACGACCGGCTTTCCTTTCGGTTTAACGCCACTGTTCTTGTGCACGACATGCGGTGGTATCGGTCCCGGTCGATCGCTGGAGGAGAGAACGGAATCGACGCCGAGGTATTTACCGTTCCCACAGCCGGCGTCGAGGATGAGCGAGTTCTATAGGAAGTAACAAGGTAATTTCAATGAGTGGTTTTCATCAACAGAGGTACTACTACCCCTCCACTCGACCCCTCTACGTAACGGCCCCGTCTTTTTAGCCAAAGAACCCCACACCTCGACTGACCTCGTTCAATCGCTGCAACCACTGCTGCACAAAAGGCCAGGTCGAATGCCTCGTCCTTGAAAAGTCGGAGGCGATGTGTTCGTACACGAGGTGCACGTGTTGCGCTTCAAAGGTCGCGGAATGGTCGGCCATATGATGTTTGCTGCTCTCGGTGGGAAGGTGGGCTTATGACGTGCGCTTTCAGTTCGGAATGGTCCCATTCGTAATGCTGGAGAATGTTGGACTATGCTGGATTTACGCGCGGCGGCCGACACGCGAACGCGCACCGCTTCAGCTTCGAAGGAACCTCTAGGAACCTGAGGGAACCGCCACGGCCTGCCAGGGCTTGGCTGCTCAGATCGCTCAGACTCAAGCTCAAGTGAGCTCAAGAGCTCGTTGTGGCTCGTTACCCCGGCTGAGGTTGTCGGCCGAATTCGCTTGTCCAGAGCGTATAGGGAGGCACTTCGTCCGTTGCCAGCTCCTACCCGTCCCTCGGCCTCCCTCTCCCCCTTCCCCTTCACCCTCGGCCTCCCCTCCCCCCTCCCTTCTTGTCGGCCAGGCCTCTCTCGATTCGCTCGTCGTCGTCGTCGCGGGTCGTCGTCGTCGTCGTCGTCGGTCGCACCAGCGCTGCTCGGGTCGTCGCCAGTTGGACCTTCCATCACGGCTTGCACCATCTACACCAGAATAGACCAGGTAAGCGTCCAAAGTACGATATCTCCAGGCATAGTGTTCTCACTGGCACGACCACTCGGTGCCGAGGAGAGGCCCCGCTGCGCCCTACGTGCCTACGCACTACCCCGCCCGTGTTGGGCCGCCGTCGTCGCCACCAGCAGCACCCCACCGCCCGAGTCTTGCATCCGCGTTTGCTGTGTCCCGACCTTTGCCCAGCGCCCCAACTTACCATACTTATCCAAAGGTGCTGATCAACCCTCACTCTTGCTCACAGTCACCTCGACCGACTCCGACACCGCTCGTAGGTGCTTCCATTGCGCTTCCGAGAGCACCGCCTTTTCGTCGAGCCGACCGAGAACTGACCGCGACCCCGTGCGCTCACCAGGAGTTAGATCTACCCTCGCAACACTTGGAGCCTTGCATCCTCGATACGGGAGATATTCAATACGTAGTAGGCAGACTGAGCTCTGTTCTCGAAAGTCTTGCTGGCCTCGGCCCCCTCCCCCCCCCCCATCCTCCCACGATGCCTTCTTCCGGCACGGCCCCGACCGCCTCCACGTCCTCGCTCGCCCCTCCTCCTCCTCCTCAACAACCACCCCCACCGCTCCCTCCAACAGCCTCCACCTCCACCTCCACCTCCACCTCCACCTCGAACATGAACTCGATCCCATCTTCAACACCCCCAACCTCTCCGCCACCCGTCCCCACCAAGCTAGGCCGTGCCCGCTCAGCAAGTCGTACCTTCTCCGAAGCCCAAGCCGACCTGGACCAACAACGCCAACAGGACTCTTTGAGAGCGAGAGCGATGGACCACTTGGACGAGATGCCCGGATTGTTGACACGACCTGGCGTCGGGAAGGGGATCGATGGAGGTGGCGAGGGGATCACCCCGGGCGAGTTCAGGGCCGAGGTGAGTGGTGGGGCCGCTGCTTTGCTTTTGTTTCGGCGGGAAACGTGGTCCGGGCCTGGCTGCAGGCTCGGGACCGGGTTCGGAAAAGCTGTAGCAATGTTCACGGGAAAGCTGACCATGTCATCCAATTTGTAGATGGAGACTCTACTACTGCTTCGAAGGCGGTCACTTTCCCAACCTACGACCGTCGATCCAGATCTGCCCCCACCTACCTCGCCCACGGGTGCGAACCACCCTTATATGCATTCCCCTCCGGGGTCTCCAACATCCCCGACTTTTTCCTCCACCTCGAAACCTTCCCTCTCGATCCAAATCACCAAAGCCAACCAACTCGGGCCATCGGGGAATCCGGTCTCTCCGACAGCCCCTACCGCGGCAGAAACGGGGACGCTCGTGCGACGTCGATCTTCTGCCGCGGGCACACGTCCGATGCTCCCATTACCCAGCGACCATCCTCTACCACCTCCGATATCATCGGCATCGTCTTCCGGCACCCCTTCGATGTTGGCACCCCTCGCCGTCGGCATCCCTTCGTCCTCAGCGCCGGCCTCGTCGTCCCCCCCACCTTCCCCGACGGCGCTCTACGACGGTCGGTCCGCCGCGCACGCCTCGCAAGAACTTTTCTGGCTACCCGCATCCCTTCACCCCGAGCTCGCACCCCAGGAATTCAAAGCGTTCATTCGAGAACAAACGCGACCCGATAACCTCGCGAGACGTACGAGCCTCAGCGCCGCCGCCGGAAGAGGGATCCGCAGCACGGGTGCGAGAACGAGTTCGTTGGGTGCGACGTTGGGTGATTCGGTCGGTCGGTTGGATCGGAGGAAGAGTATGCTTCGAGGTGAATACAAACCTCGTACCGACGACGGCGTAGGCGAGGCATCGAGTGAGGGTCCGACTTCCGAGCCTAAGCGGCTCAGTAGGGGTAAATCCGAAGGCGCGTTCGGTAGTGGTTCCCAAGGATCGAGAAGAACGTCGGGCAGGATCAACTTTGACGAGTTGACCATTAGCGACTTGCAGAGGTTGGAGGAGTTGGCGGCGAGGGCCGAGGCCGAAGCGGCGACCGAAGGGGAGGGAGAGGGAGAACGGCTCGGTAGGGTCTTGAGGAGGAGTTTGAGTCTCAATCCGTCGAACCTCGTCGCGCAGGCGTATGGCTCGGCCGCTCATTCGAGCACGGACGTCGACTTTGATGGGCTCGCTTCGTTGTCGTCTGCGGGTGGTGCGAGTGGAGCAACCGACGAACGATCGGCGAGCCCCGTACCGGCTCTCGACGACGACGCCTCCGCGGCCGACAGCCCTCTCCTCGTCCATTCCCCAGGTCAAATTTTGCGCCGAAGTGCTCGTACCAAGATTCGTAAAGCCGGTCTCATCGGCGATGGCAATGGTCATCGATTCGGACCTTCGCGCCGGCAAAGGGTCACTTCGAACGAGTGGGCGACGAATCCGAGTGACGAGGCGCAGGGGGAATCGAGCTTTGAATCGAGTGAGAGTTTGGACGAGAAGGGAAGTGCGGAGTGGAGTGAGACGGCGAGTGCGGGGACGACGATCGGTGGGCCGTCGTTCGAGGGTAGTTTGGAAGGCGTTTCGTCGTCGTCGGGGCATCAGTCCGTCGTATCGACGGCTTCGATTGCGGAACCGCAGTACATTGAGGATGTTGCTGGTTCTGGTTTGTCTGCCGTGCCAAGGCCGGAAGTCGAAGCAGCGGAACTTTCAGTCGCTTCGGTCACGTCCAAACCTCTCGATGCACCTCTACCACCTACACCTCCCAAATCCGACGTCTCCCTCGCTCCGATAGCCTCGGGTGCACCAGCCGTTGACCCCAGTTCGGCCGACTTCGACTGGGCGACCCATGCTTCGAACCTACAACAAGCTAAACGACCGCCGCTGGTCGCTACCCCTTCGATCCAAGCACCTGGCATCGCTTCAATCATCCGAACGGATACCTCTTCCCCACAACAGCAGAGGTACTCCCAGCCCGCTGCGAAAGCTACACCACCCCCAACTGCGACGAAGGAGAAGAAGAGTGGATGGGCACGACTGGGTCTGAGCGTTCGTTCGGGTGCTGCTACGATGTCGTCTTCTTTGGAGGAGAAGAAGAGGGGCAAAGGAGCTCAGCCGACGAACTCGGCGCCTCAACAACCGCAACGAGAGGCGTTCCATGTTCAAGATGGGGCGAGTTTCGCTTCCCAACAACAGCAACAACAACAAGAGAAGGACTCGGGCTTCTTCGGCGGTCTTTTCGGCAAGAAGAAACACGATCACGAGACGGGCAATGGAGCCAATCCTGGCGTCTCGGGTATGATGTCGAAGCCTTCCGGACCGCCGACCCCGCCTTTGCAGTCCGAGGTGTCGAATCGGATGGCTCCGCCTCCACCTCCACCGACGGCTACGGCGGCGCAATTGCCGACGGGCGAGTATGTCAATTTCTATCGGCTGCCCATTCATGTCGAGAGGGCTGTTTATCGATTGTAAGTGCGAAAGGTGTTTGATGTGTGTGACTTGGGGGCCGGAGGGCTGACCCGGTCGCAGTCTTTCACTATTCTACAGGAGTCATATCAAGCTCGCCAACCCTCGACGACCTCTATACGAACAAGTGTTGATCAGCAACCTCATGTTTTGGTACCTGTCGATCATCAATCGTCCGAGCCCACCGCCCGTTCCCGTCCCTGTGCCCGTACCTTTACCGCCACCGGGTCCGGCACGAGGCCCTTTGGTCAATGGTGTTCATACGCCGGACGAATCGGATGGTTCTTCCACCTCCGGATCGGCGGATTCGTCGCCTTCTGCGTCTCCCGTCGTCCAAGCTTCCCCCGCACAACCTACCCCGAAACGAGGAACGCTGACCAAGAGTGGAGCAGGGAACCGATCGTCTCCAAGGGAGGTGGCGATCAAACCGGCGAGGTACGAGCAACAGAATCGCCAGATCGATCAAGAATACCTTCAACAGCAGCAACAGCAGCAACAGCAGCATCAACAGCATCAGCAGCATCAGCAGCAGCACGCCCCACCTCGTCAATCGCAAGCCCAGCCCGTGAGCTTTGCTCCCATCGTCGTCGATTCTTCCAAGGTCGAGAACTTTGGTTCATCGAACGCCGGTGCACCCCCCTCTCCCCAGCGTTCTCCCGATCGTTCCTCAGCCCCAGCGGACATGTACTCCTTTTCAAATGGTACAGCGGGCGCCGCGGCCCAAACCGTCTCCTGGAGCTCTCACTCGGACGACCACAGTTCACAGGGCAACCCCGCTCGACGATCTTCTCCCCCCGTCTCTCCATCCACGTCGCCCAATCTTTCCTCCTCCTCTTCTTCAACAAGGACGTTTCCCAGTGCTTCGACCTCGCCTAAACCACCCAATTCGGGATTCCAAGTTACTTCGCGAGTGCAGAAGTTGCAGAACCGGTCGAATTCGTCGGAGGAGATCGTCAAATTGTCGTCCGGTTCTCACTTGGGTTTAGGGATGATGAAGACCCACCCTTGCACCCCCTCTAGCGCAGAAGGTAATCGTCGCACGTCCAATATCTCGGACAAGTCTTTTGACGAGGAGAGTTTGATCGATGCGTATGGAGTACCGTCGCCGGTGTTGGAGACGAAGGCGTTGGTGGGGACGGCGGGTTTGTTGGAGGGGGTTGTGGGGGGGTGGGCAGAGGATGGATGTGGAGAGGTCAGAGTTGGCAGTGTTGGGGACGGGGGGGAAGTGAGGGGTACGGGTGTATGAAGGGCGAGTCGTTTCGCGATGCGTCTTGCGATGCGTAGAGAGTGGGTTTTATCCCTCCCTTCCTCGTCTTTCCTCTTTTGGTTTTTTTCACCTTTACCTTTCCCCCCCCAACCCCCCCCCTCTGTCTTCTTGAGCTTGTGTACAGCTGTAGTCACCATTTTATGTTCTGTAACCCCCTGCTTGGCTCTTTCGCAACCATGAGGTTGTGCATGTCGATCGGCTGGGCCGAGTTCAAGTGAGACGGGCGGTATTGCATAAGTGTTGGCATGTCGCGTGAGCCTGATCGATCGATCGCTGACGCGGGTGGTGGCGCCCCGAGCGGGCTTCGCATCTGTTCCCACCTCTTGTCTCCCTCCACCTCGACACACATCCACATTACGATACGACAAGCAATCATGGCAAAAGGTAGGCTTCACTAAAACTGCTCTGGAATGAGATGACCATGCCACTGACTCGAGCATGTACGCTCTCACCTCCTCCTCCTACGACACGAACCACGCTGCACGCTGCACGCTGCACGCTGCTCGCTCCTCCTCATCTCACCCCCCCCAACTTGCACTCAAACCCTTCTGGTCCACTCCTTCTACTAGTCCCCCGTTCGTTCCGTCTCCTTGAAGAACTCGAAAAGGGTGAGAAGGGAATTGGCGACGGGACGTGTTCGTACGGTTTGGCCGATGGGGACGATTTGATGATGGAGAAGTGGAACGGGACCATCATTGGACCTGGGCATGTAAGTTCTTTGGGTGCTGATTGGGATTGGGTTGGGGAGTGGGGCGGGTTAAGGAAGCACGGGGGGTTTGTTGGGGTTGGTGGTGGTGACCGCGGGTGGGGGGAGGGGGGGAGGGGCGCTTTGGGGGAAGGTTGAAGGCATGGAGCTCACATCTCTCGCATATCATTCACATTTCATTCATCTACGATTCCACCCTTCTCATCACATCCACCCACCCCACCCCATCCCATCCTCTCCGCTCCTCCTCAGTCGGTGCACGAGAACCGCATCTACTCGCTCTCGATCGTCTGCGGCGCTTCCTACCCCGACCAACCCCCCGCCATCACCTTCCTCACCCGCATCAACCTCCCTTGTGTTCATCCTACTTCCGGAAAGGTGCGTTCACCCCTCCGTCGGAGGCGATCACTGGGCCAGACCAGGTAGGATGGAGCGATAGCTTTTTGGCGGGTGCTAATCCGGACGAGGTTGGATTTTTGTGCAACGCCAGGTCGACCCTTCGAAATTGAACGTGCTCGCGAGTTGGAAACACAATTACACGTTGGAAACGGTCTTGGTCGAATTGAGGAGGTGCGTTCTCAAAAAAAAAAAGTCGCCTTGGACCAGGCGTTGCTCTACGGGTCGAGTATTGACCTCTCTCTCTCTCTCTCTGATGTTGATGAAAATGGGGAACACCCCTAAACAGAGACATGGCTTCACCGACGAATCGAAAGTTATCGCAACCTGCCGAAGGGACGACGTTTTAAAGTTGGTCGCGATGGGGTGACCTTGTCGATCGATTTCGTTCGTTCGGCTGGCCTGCTGTGATCTTGATCTTGATCTTTTCCTTTTCTCTTTCCCGTTACCGATCCTTTGTCTGTTCCCTTCTATCGAGTAGACCCTTTCACGAGCAATGCAAAAAACGATTATCTCATCAAATAACGGTTACATGTTCGCGCTCCGGGGAGGTAGCAAAACGCATCGGGGTGGGGGGAAAAGTCTTCTCGTATGCCGAGCGGCGCCGCGGGTTCGGATGACGTAATATGTCACCCCCTGACTCGGGCCGGCCAAAGTGGAGAAGAGAACTTCGTGGGAAGATCTGGATCTTTCGCTGGGATAGCGCGGCTACATCGATTCGGATTCGGAACACTGGTTTCCTCTCTCTTGGTAGTTTGACGATCGCCTTGATTCCGAAAGACATCAAACACAAGTCTGGGAACTGATCCGTACCCGCGTCCGCGAGTCATGAATGAGCACTAGGGGGCAACGTTAACCGCCGTCGGCGCTCCAAGACACGACTGACCGTGCGCGCGCGGACGAGCGGCGTTATCCGTCTCGGGTTGGGCCGTGCTACTGCCGTGCTCCGGCCGAGGGCGGGAAGGAAAGCAGCGCGTGCTCGCTGGCCCTCACGTAAGGCTTCTCTTTCCTTCCTTCCTTCCTTCATCTTCATCCCCCCATCTGACGGCTCCACACACCACACACCATGTCCCAACACTTGAAGCAGACGTTCTTGGATCGCGAGGCACAGGTCAGTCTTTCTGCGTGCACACCTTTTAACTTTTTCTCGCTGCCACTCATCACTGACGCCACACACGCCTTGCCGATGCTTTCCCCTCGGACCTCCCAAACCACCTCACCACCATGTCAAAATCCTCCTACAGAACTCGCCCGCTTTCGTCACCTTCGTCACAGCGGGCTACCCATCCATCTCGCAAACGGTGCCGATCATGCTCGCGCTCGAAGCGGGAGGAGCGGACGTGATCGAACTCGGCGTCCCCTTCACCGATCCTTTGGCAGATGGCAAGGCGATTCAGATGGCCAACAATGCGAGATCAGATGTAGCTCGTTCGATCGAGGGACAGTGAAACTGATTGATTCGATTCGTGCTCTTCTGGCTAACAGCGAGCGATCGAGCAAGGCGTCGATTTCAAAATGTGCCTTTCGTTCGTCGAGCAGGCGCGTCAACAGGGGCTCAAGGCGCCTGTCATCCTCATGGGTGAGTGGTGCACAAATCAGACACCGGTCACACGTTGGGCTCTCCATGTTCGGGTATGCGGACATTCCGCTGACCCCCCCCCCCCCCCCCCTCTTCCCTACTCGAATCTCCTTTCCTTGACCTTCCTTCCACCTTCCGATCCTCTGTCACCCATCTCCCCCACCTCGACAGGCTACTACAACCCCCTCCTGGCTCACAGCGAACAACGAGCGGTCCAAGACGCCAAGGCCGCCGGTGCGAACGGCTTCATCATCGTCGACCTTCCCCCCGAAGAGGCCGTCGGCTTCCGTCAGCAGTGTGCTCAGGAAGGGTCCGTATCCGATCACGTGCTCTTGTCTGACCTTTGACCCTTTTTCGATCGGGCTGATCAAGTTATTCGGTGTGATTGCGAAAACACAGGTTGTCGTACGTGCCGCTGATTGCACCTTCGACGAGCGATGCAAGGATCAAGTTCCTGGCTTCCATCGCCGACAGCTTCATCTACGTGAGTAGAGAGGCGTGGATCACTCACCTTCTTGAGAGCGCCACTGACGCGTTCAGCACCACCTACAGGTCGTTTCCAAGATGGGCACGACCGGAGCCAGCTCGACCGTCTCGACCTCGCTATCGTCCTTCCTCGAACGCATCCGTTCTTTGCTCCCTTCCAAAATCCCCCTTGCCGTCGGTTTCGGTGTCTCGACCCAGGCCCACTTCCAAGAGGTTGGCCGCGACGCCGAAGGTGTCGTCATCGGTTCCCAACTCGTCGAAGTCATCGACAAGGGTCAAAAGACCTCGGACGAACAAGCGCTCAAGGACGTCGCCGCTTACTGCGCCGAGGTCTCGGGTAACCGCGTGCGTTCCAAGGCTTTGGCCGAATTCATCGCCAAAGTCGACGCGAACGAAGTCATCTCCGAACACAAATCGACGGCCGCTCGGTTCGGCGCGTTCGGAGGGGCGTACGTCCCCGAAGCGTTGTACGGTTGCTTGGAACAGCTTTCGAATACCTACGACGAGGCGAGGAAGGACCCTGCGTTCTGGAAGGAGTGGGAGGGCGAGTTCGGTTACATGAATCGACCGAGTCAGTTGTACGAAGCCAAGAGGTTGACCGAGCTTGCTGGGGGCGCGAAGATCTGGTTCAAGAGGGAGGATTTGAACCACACCGGATCTCATAAGGTGGGTTTGTAACGATGTCCTACATCGACTTTCGGACCTTTTGGACTGATGTTGAGGCTTTCATTGCCAACCTACAGATCAACAACGCGATCGGACAAGTCTTGCTCGCGCGACGACTCGGCAAGAATCGCATCATCGCCGAGACGGGTGCGGGTCAACACGGCGTCGCAACGGCGACCGTCTGCGCCAAGTTCGGCCTCGAGTGCATCGTCTACATGGGCGAGGAGGACGTGCGTCGTCAGGCGTTGAACGTGTTCCGCATGCGCATGCTCGGTGCCAAGGTCGTTGCCGTCGCTTCGGGGAGTCGAACGCTCAAGGATGCCATCAACGAGGCGATGCGTGATTGGGTTACCAACCTCTCGTCGTCGCACTACATCATCGGTTCGGCGATCGGTCCCCATCCCTTCCCCACGATCGTGCGCGACTTCCAATCCGTCATCGGTAGTGAGATCAAGTCCCAACTTGCTGGTCTGACGGGCAAGCTCCCCGATGCCGTCGTCGCTTGCGTCGGAGGTGGCTCCAACGCGATCGGTACTTTCCACCCGTTCATCAACGACAAGTCCGTCCGCCTGATCGGTGTCGAAGCCGCCGGAGAAGGCATCGACACCGCTTTCCACTCCGCGACTCTCTCAAAGGGAACCCACGGGGTCTTACACGGTGTACGCACCTACATCCTCCAATCGAAGCAAGGCCAAATCATCAGTACCCACTCCATCTCCGCCGGTCTGGACTACCCCGGAGTCGGTCCCGAGCACAGTTGGTTGAAGGACTCGGGTCGAGCCGAGTACGTTTCCGCGACGGACGAACAAGCCCTTCGAGGATTCCGCATGTGCGCCCAGAAAGAAGGCATCATCCCCGCTCTCGAAACGGCGCATGCGGTGTGGGCCACGGTGGAGGAAGCGAAGAAGATGCCCAAGGAGGCGAACATCGTCATGTGTTTGAGTGGGAGGGGCGATAAGGACGTTCAGGAGATTTCGGAGATCTTGCCGGGGAAATGGGCGGACAAGTTGGATTGGCATGTCGATGGACAGGCGAATCAGGTCGTTGGGTAGAGCGCTCGGGATCGGGGGGTCGTTCGTTCCTTCTTCCTCTTCTTCTCTCAGGCTCGTTTGCGCCGTCTTTGCATTCCCTTTTGTTGGATTTTCTTCTCGGTTCTCTTTCAACTCGCATTATACTTTGTCTTTCATTCTGAGAAATTGAGCACCAACTTCTTTCTTACACAAACGTCGCGTTTCTCAAAAGTCATATTCAAGCCCACCGCTGCTCGGCATCGTAGCGATGGGAAGTGACTGTGTCGTGCTTTTGGAAGGACGTCTATCGTAAGAAGGGAACCACCACCTTCAGCAGATTCGCTTAATTCGGGTACCGAGGCATTCATCAGGGAATCAAAAACCACTGGTAGCAGTATCTTTACGGGATTATAATCTGCCGAAGTCCCTTCATGGAGGCATTTTTGCGTCGGGTCCGACTCATCAGCAGGCATTTTGCCCCGAGACCCCTTTCTAGAAACCGAAGGCTGCCATGAAGTATTCTCGCATCCGCTGATTCGGCAATTTGCCCCCCCCCCCCCCCCGTTCAACCCCCCCCCCTTCTGTGCGCCAGCCGCAATTTGACTCCCAGCTCTCTGATCATTGAAAGGAACAATCATCTCGGTCGACTTCAGAAACGCCCGAGCCACCGCTGAGTAGGCGTTCAAAACATCGGAACTGGTCCAACGCAGGAATAGCCGCCGGGAGTCATCAGATGAAGTCGGTTCGGATGAGCCGGCCGGGATCGATGGCGGGTCCGTCGGTCAGGACTCTTGAGAAGAGGCCGAACTGGGGGGACGGCTTCGATTGCCATCACGGTCGTAGTATAGTATCCTCGATAGCCCATCCTCGGCGACGCCCTACGAGTGAGGAAGTGGGTCCTGTCACTGCGAAAGCCACGACGTGCAGTGGTGAAACGGTGGTTTGAGAACCACGTCAGTATCATAGACCATTGCTATACTGGTTCATCTTGACCTGAATAGCGTCAACAAGCCGTCACCGACTCACGATCGAGCGCCTCGCCACAGGATCGCCGGGCTGTCGTGGATCGAGAAGGGTGAGACAGGGGGGTCGAAAAAGGTGCGAGGGCGTCAGGTCGCACGCACGAGAGCCTGTCGTAATCGTTGGAGAGAGAGGCCGAAGCAGGGAAGAGGGAGTTGATGGGCAGAGGTTTATCCTACTCCGACTAGCATCTCACTCCGGTTTCATTGTACCATACTACTGATGTGACGATTCGGCCCACGGGACCTTGTCTTCCCTCTGGGTCAGGAAGCCCAGAGCGCCTCCGCCGTGCGCCGCTTGAGTCGTGTTACTTTCGTTGCGTCGTGCCACCTCCTTGTCATCATCTAGATGGAACGGGTTCCCCAGTAGCTGAACATGCAGGTGGATGCGTTGCTGGTCCTGAGGGGACGATGTCACTGTGTGGCTGATCCGCCATCAACGCTTTCCCACGCGAGCTCTCGAATCGTGTCGCTGTTGGCCTTCTGGTACCTCCAAATTGCCGGCCATTCGACTCCTACTTGCTGGTAGAGATGCGACCACACAGTGACATCGCCCATCAGGACCAACAACGTATCCACCGCCACGTTCAGCTACTGGGGAACCAGTTCCATCTAGATGATGACAAGGAGGTGACACGACGCAACGAAAGTAATACGACCCAAGCCGCGCACGGCGGAGGCGCTCTGGGCTTCTTGACCAAGCTCCCATAGATTCTTCTTGGAGGCGTCCCCCTTTTTTTCTCTGCTATAGTACTTGGAATACTGCCTTGTATCTTGCCTCAAAGAGACTAGCGCATCCCTTTTATCGCGTTGTTGCGCTGTATCGTATTTCCTAGTTGACTTGATGGCAGATCCGAGTCCTGTGCGTGGGAGATGGGAATTCGCCGGCCTGATCGCGAGTCTCTGGTTTTTGTAAAAGCGGTCCTGATCAGCAGCTCTTCGCGTGTCCTCTACGCACCCGAGAGGACTCCCGAGAGGACTCGATGGAGCTGTTAATGCCCATGCTTCAAGATGGCACTGGCATTGCATATTCCCACTGGCCCGGCGACATGAGACGACCCGAGCGGGCAAGAGTTTTCGCCACGAACTATCTCTGCGCTTCCCGTGAAGCGATCTCCAACCAGATCTTCTCTCTTCGAGTAGACTCAATCACCCCGACTTCCACTTTCGACACTTGCTTGCCAATTCGACCGCTGCCGCCCCCCAATCCTCACCATGATTATGCCCCTCATTCCTGCCCTCACCTCCGATACCAGCCCTCAACAAAGCCTGCTCGTCCGTCAGGCAGTTCAATACGCCGTAAATGACCGGTACGCCCGAGTCGAGTTGGACGCGCATCAGTCCTTGTGTTACGGCGGAGGAGATGTATTCGTAGTGCGAGGTGTGGCCCTTGATGAGGCAGCCGATGGCGATCACGGCCGAGATGGCAGAGGACGAGGCGATGAGGCTGCGATGTTAGATACGTCGAATGATTTGATGAAGCAGGGGTGAGCTCCATCAATATTTCCGGGAGAACAATGAACACTGTCATGCAGTCACTGACCTCGCGCAGGCCATGGGCAACTCGTACGATCCGGGAACGGTCTCGATCCTGATGTTCTCCTTCTTGACGCCCTGAGAGAGCAGCTTCTGCACCGTGCCGTCGACGAGTGACGAGATGATCGTATCGTTCCACCTACGGATGATTCATAACGGCGTGAGCAGGCATGCTATGCTATCCGTGAGAAGATCGGTGTGGAAAGGAAGGAGTCGAGCAGGGGTGCTTACCTCGCATGAACGATCAAGACGGTCAGTTCTGAGCCATCGAATGTCTCGGTAGAAGGCTGAAGTCCTTTGATGGTCGTGTCCGTCATAGCGAAAAGCTGCTTGGGAAATCGGTGCGAAGCGTGAAGGGGGAAAGGAAGTCGGAAGTCGAGAAGCGCGCCGACCAAGTGGGGCGACGGCACCGGTTCCGGCCCGGGCCAAACGCCAATAAGTCGGTTTACTAATTTCGAGTGGGAGAAGGTGCGCTACATGAGTGCGTGGTCATGAGATATATCACAAAGGGTTTGAAGACCATACAATTGCAAAAATCGCCAATTTCCAAAACATTTCTGCACAGCCCTGTAAATCCATCCCTTTAAACTCGATCGTTCGATTCGTCCTGCATTATTTCGATCCGTCAAGTTGAATACCATTCAGCGCCATGGACGTGACAAACTTGTCTTTAATCTTCAAAATTCAGGGGAAAATCTTTAAAAAGAGTGAATGCCGCCAGGCAAAGCCTTAGCACGTCACGAACTGGGACCTTCTTGTACCCGACTTATCAGACTGCGATCGCGGGCGGCCAACTGCATCGTAATTGTCTCGTGAAACCTCAGGCGGAGTTTCGGTGAGGCTTGAATGGAGCCGTTGGACAATTCTTCTGACAGTAAATGGAGTGGGTCACAGCTCACACCATGGACAAGAGGAGCGCGGTCGGTTTCGTGAGCTAAAGCTTGCGCACCTCACCGCCCTTCAGTCTCGGCCCGAGCGAGGCTCCGGAAAGGTCCGCATGACTCACTCGCCCTTGTCGAAGAAGGCGCAAGAACGTGGGAACACATCCGGTGAAATCCGGTGAATTTTCTGCTTGTAACTCTTTGCACGCCATTCCGAGTTACGTTTTGTGGGCTGGAGCGGACTCGAGTCCTTCTCGGCCGACGAGGTGCGATGCGATGGGGATCCGGTCAATCCCTTTTGAGGCGGGAGTCTCCCCGCTGATGCCCGCGGAGAGAGAAAGAAGCGCCTTTCATCGATCTGCAAATAGATGGATTTGCGACTATCCATGGATCGGTATGCGCACTGCGGTTGTTTTATGGCCGAGGTCGCGGGACGGCGGTTCAAGCGAGCGTGCCAAACACGCTCGAGTTGCCGATCTCGGTCCCGTCGTCAGGCACCCCTGATCTGGCAGCGGGACCGGTACCGAGGTCATCACGACTATTTGAAGTACACAAGCGCGAGTGGGGTGAAACTTCCTTCGGTACCGGTGTAGGTAGCTACGTCGATATCTCTGTTGCCGGGGAAGGGATGAGATCGATCCGAGATGACCTCATTCGTCTCCTAACTCGATCGGTACCGAGAATCTCCGAGACTCAGGAGTACAGGCGCGGCCGCTGCCTCACCTGCTGGCACCGACGGTTTCGCGATGAGGTCATTGACATCGAGAATCCATTTCCATTCCAACTTCATGAATCCGACCCTGAGCAATTTCAATGAGGGAGGTCTTCTGTAGACCCAAAATTGAAGACATGAATGTGCGAGACAGAGACTGAAGCAGGCAAGGCCCGGTCCACAGGTAAGGAGAGGTGTTGGAACGGGTTGACGTAGCTGAAGAACCGCCTCATGTTCGACGCCGAAAGGGGTGCTGTGAGCTCGGCACGATCTCGGAACCGGGCGCCTTTCTGATTGCTTTCACTTGTCAGGCTCTGGTGGAGAGGGTTTTCCGTTCGAGGTTCAGGGACCCTTCGGCGTCCCTTTAAGCGGGGACCGTGTGTTTATTATGACTTGTATGACTTGAGAACTTCGCACCGGGCGTCGATCGAGTCCACTCCGCGAGGTCGTCACGCGCGTCAACGTAAACCACCGCGTGTTTGACTTCCAGGTTCCGAGAGGGGAGGTGCATGTAGGACCCTTTTTAGGACTTTGAGACAGCGAGATTTTTTGCGCGATGATGATCGAACACGTTGTGAGAGGTCTGGGCGACGTTTCAGCACTCGGAAGGAGGGCTGGATTGCATTTCGTCTCCCGAATGCGATAAAGAAGTCCGAGCGATTTTGAAGCGAGTGACCCTGCCGAGCCAAAGGCCGAGCCGCAACGAGCGAGCGCACGAGTGCTTTCTCCGGTGTTTGACGGTTTCACCCCCTCTCATCTTCGGAACGTCTCGCAAATCTGCAACATGGTCCAGATTCCTGGATGGCGCCCGAACACCGAGGGTGTCACTACAGTGAAACCTTTGGTTGGGCGATGAATGAGCTTAACGGACCCATCACTTGCGGTCATTGGGAATCCTTGCTTTCAAATATATCCTGCGTTCGCTTTCCATGGTTTTCCGTGATCGTGTGTGGGGTTCGGACGACCACGATAGAAGGTCATGGACTCATCATCAATCGTTCACGGTCCGTCCCACTGAGAAAGCTTGGGATGCCACAAGCGGCGGACCGGCCCGAGTGTCTCCGCCCGCCGAATCCCCCGACCTCACCGCTCGGGCCGAATCTCTTCCGAGCTGCCTTTGAGAGCCTCCTATCCCAACGGGTGGAAGGCAGCGAGGTTCGCTGCGTTGTTTACCCCACAAATAATGAGCAAGCTGTGCTAGCACAAGCATTCGGCGAGCCATCACCACACGGTGGAGAGACTTGCCCGAACGAACGAAAAAAAAAAGCGGAGGGGGTCGGTGGGTGTGTTGTACACGCATACCTAGGTCGGGGAATCTCCCCCGCTCCGCCCCTCGGGGGCTGATCGCTTGACAGCCGGTTTTCAGGCCGTGGATCCCTTGGGTTCATGCGAAGCATGGTATCCCCTACCCCACCTTCCTCTCCCTCCCTTCACTTCACGTCAACCCCTGGTCCCCCCACTGAACACCTTCTCAAACCCAAGCCCACCCCTACAGAGAACCTCAGCTATGCATAGTCCCCTCAGCTCCCTTCCTGCCTTTGTTGTCTTCGTTCTCGCACTCGCCACGGCCGTCTCTCTCGTTCCGGCCTCGCCGGTGCCGACGACCTCTCGCGACAAAAACAAGCAAGTTCACCTGAGCCCGCCCCGAAACGAACAAACTCGAAAGCGCTCCTCAGCAACGCAGAGAACTAATTCCATGTCTCATCACTTTCTCCACCTATATAGGTGCGGAACTACAGGGGCGTGTGGGATCAAGTGCCAAATCCACTTACCGAACTATGACAAGTACGTCCCCCGTCGACGGGCTGAAATTGAAACCGGTCGGCACTTGGTCACAGCACGACGATCTTTCTGAGTTTGACGATCCCCCCAGGTTCACTCATAGCTAACCCGAGTCCTTCACCTCGCCCTCCTATTGACACTCGTTGGATCATAGATTCGAAAACTGCATCAGCAACTGTTTGGCACCTTATGATATTCGCATACGTTACGAACACCCCGACATGAACAGTACCCTTTGGCCCCCTGCTTACAACAAGTCGAGCCATGAGGTACCTCTCCTCAATGTAAGTTGTCGACTTTTACAGTCGCGGTATTCACTTCCGTCGAAAATACACCAAACTTACACTCGTTTTGAATGACTTCAAAACAGCTTCCCTGCACCGAGTAAACTAGGGCAGACTCTGCAACAACGAGGTTGGGAAAATGCGTCGAGGGGTGTTCGTCGTTTCCCGAAACTTGGGAGGGGAAACGATGCGTGCTTTGGCGAGTGAGGGTGGGATGTGAATAACTCTGATGGCTTGGAAGTAGGCGTTGCCTTAATTTACGGTTCGATCTCTGCTTAGAAGGACAATGGGTCCACATCTTTTTAATTCAATAGAGTGATTTTGGTGCTTTGTCTTTGGGTAGCGTCCGGAGAGACACTTTTGCTCAACAGGGGGTGGGTCGTTTGAATTCGATTCATAACACATTTTTTTTAAAAAAAAACCCCGGAATCGAGACAGCCGGTTCTGAACCGAATCCAACCTGATTCCGATCTGGAACCCGCCCAAATCAATGAAACCATTCTGAAACGATCCTGTAAACCCAGCAGAGGGTAGTAGGTTTTGCTACTACGTAATGTAGGCCGGTCTTGTCCACGTCTCGAGTTTCGCCGCCCCTTCGTCTAGGGAGTTGGGAACCGACGGTCTCTATATCGTGGGCCATGTAATCACGTAGTAGTAGGCCCTGGGTTCGGAGGGTAAGCCGGAGAGTTTCTCGGTTTCTTCTTGTTTCAAGTGACGATTGTTAGAATCGGATTTCAAGGAGTTGGATGCCATTCGTGCGCGTGCTGGGCAACAAATTGAACATGCATTGAACTGAGAGGTTTGCATCCTGCAGACAAAGACTGAGCGGCCAGAAGGGATGAAAATTTTAAACGGCTAAGAAAAGAGAAAGTGATTCAAAGCCGACAAGCGGAACAAGCGCAAACCGTCGAACCCACAAACAAGTGACCAACCAACCTCCTTCACGGAACCTTGATGTCTTTTAAGTTCTCTCCCACCTCAACCTGCCCAAACTGCTCAAAGCCCCGGACCTCCTCGCCAATTCCAAACCGACCCCTAAGAAACTCACTACCGCGCCCGCAACAGTGCACGACAATACGCGCTGTTGCCACGCCCTCCTCTTCAACACCTCCTCATAACTGATCTCGTACCTGAACGTGGTCATGCGGTAAAGGGATTCCCAAACGGATCCTTCGTGGTAGATCGTTTCCGAACGCAAGGGGACTGAACGGAGCAGTTTGGAAAGGAAGGAGTCGATGTAGAGGCGAAGGAGGTAGATGGGGGACAGGACGGAAGCGGCCATTTCGGTGTAGTTGCGATGCGCGAGGGTTTGGATCGCCCCGATTGATGGGGTCCGGATGACGGTGTAGGCCGAAAGGGCGTTCTCGAGGGAGGTGAAGGTAGGGTTCGATGAGGGAAAGTCGGGGCGGTTCGAGGAGTAGGGGAGAGAGGAGCTCTTGGACGAGGGGAAGGGGGCGGCTTGGTAGTGGTCGATCAGGGTCGAGAGGACACGGACATCCTCAAAGGCGCAGTTCATGCCTTGGCCTGAGGGAACATCATCAGGATAAGGTCAGTCAGTGATCATAGACGGCATGATGTCTTTACCCCAGACTGACCGTAGAAGGGAACCATCGCATGCGCCGCATCACCAATGAGCAAAGCCTTGTCCTTGTAATGATAAGGCGAGCACTATGACACGATTGCTGCCAAACTCAGCTAAACACTCACGTCAACTGAACCCGACCGCAACGTACCTCGACGGTGACCAACCCATCTTTGGGGTTCTCGGTCCAAGCCTTTATCAACTCGTCTTCACCCATCAATTCCAGCGCGTCGGGGAACTCGGCCCTAAACTTTTCGACGACGGGGTTGGGTCCTATCCTCGCCGACGAAGATGACGAGTTGTATTTGTCCAATTCTTTGTCGAGCGACTCGAAGGTCGAATGGGGAGCAAAGAGAGTCAAGGTAAAGGAGCCGTCCTGTAATACCCAAGGCAGAGTCGGTGAGTTGTCGCTCCAAACAGATTTGCTCGCTTTGGACCGACCTGGTTCGGCAACGCGATCATCATGAACTCTCCCCTCGGCCAAATGTGGAGGTAGTTGTTCTCCATCGTCCACTTGTTGTGCTTACCGCCGGGCAAGATGGACAGTTCGAGGTAGGCATGACGAGCGTAGGTTTGCTTGAAATCGAACCTGTGGACCCAACTCGGAGGTGTCGTCAGGGTGGGTGCGGTGCGCTCACGTGACCACACGAGCCTGAGCTGTGTCCCAGTTCGGACGCGGAGGTGTAAAATCTCACGGGCGTACCTCGTCTTTGCACCCCTCATCATCTCCCTCCTGACCCTGGAATAAGCTCCATCACCTCCAACGACCCAATCGACCTTGAGCTCCTGTTCTCCTTTCTGTTTACTGGACAACTTGACCTTGACGCCTCGTTCGGCCCTGAGATCCAATTCCAATAGCTTGGTCTCGAAGCGCACCTCGACGGTGCCTTTGAGGTCGTTGCGATGCTGGAGGGAATCGATATGATCGAGGAGGTAGATGCCCAAGAGCGTACGAGAGATGGAACGAATGACCTCCCCCTCCGAATAAAGGCCGTAATCCTGCGCTTCTTTCTTGACGCGACTTTGATTCGCTTCGGAACGCTTGTGCAGCAGACGACCACGCATCTCGAGACCTTGTTGGATCACTCGATCGGCGAGGTCCTGGTCGACCGAACGGAGCGCTTCGATTCCTCGCGGTGAAAGGGCGAGGTTGATCGAACGGGCTCGGACGCCCGAGGTAGGAGTCTGGGTCTCGCGGGGGTCCGAACGCGATTCGACGAGTAGGACGTCGTAGCCTCTTTGGGCGAGCATCGACGCGCACAGCGAACCGACCAGTCCGGCACCGGCGATGAGCACTTTGGGACGAACCGACTCGGACGACGAACGGTGATTGTGATCGAGTCGGAGATCGGCTGCCAAGGACGACTTGGCCGAGGAAGACGACGATGACGTTGCGAGTGGCTCCATCTTGGTCGAGAGCAGCGAGGTCGAGAAGGGGGAGAGAAGGAGAGGGAGAGAGGTGAGTGAGTCGGGTGAGCGTCCGTGTCAGAGCGGGTGGGTGGTAAGTGGTCAGGGGCAGAGAGGGGCAGTGAAAGGTGTCGCACGCGCGCGTACGGGGCAACACGAGCAGGTACCTACTCCAGCTTACTCCAGCTTACCCCTACTTACTAGTACTTACTCCTTGCGCACTCGGCGCACTCCCGACCGAGATAGTATCCCCCCCTAATTCGTGGTGATCTTTTCGAGTGAGTGATCTGAAGTGATCTGACTTGAATTTTCCCTCTATCTTCTGCGAACCCTCTGAGCGGGATCAGGAGGTCCAAGCTCAACAAACGCGCGGGTGTCGTCATGTCGTCATTCGGAGTCGGGCTGGAGCTGGCTGGGAGCTGGCTGGAGCGTATTTCACGCGCGTGGCCAGCAAGCAGGCGCAACCAGAACGCTCCCTCTCTTCTCTGCCTCACCTCCTATCGCCACATCATATTGGACCGATATCCCACCAACCCACACCCTCACCCTCACCCACACCCCAGTTCATCGACGACCATGTCGATGCTCAACAAGTTCTCTGAAGCGGCCAGAAAAGTCGGTACGCAGGCGACCGCGTTCGGCAACACCGTCGCTAGGGAGGTGCAAGAGGGCGGACAAAAGACCCTGACCGGGTTCAGGTTGGAGAACGAGGTCCGTTCAGCTCGGACAGCGGGTTACGGAAGTGGATAAAGTCTGTAGCTGATCACGGCGTAGGTTTTTTGTTGACGTGGCAGTGCGCCAAGTCGGCCAAGATCCTCGCCAGCTTCCTCGCCGACCCCGAGAATCCTGAATCAGGTCAGTGCAGGTCTTGAACAGCTTCTCGTTTCCTATCCCACCGCTTAGCATTCTCCCCCCACTCCTCTTATCCAACAGCCCTCAACGCGATCCCCAAAGCCGTACTCAAGAACGCCAAGGGGTCAGTCGTCCTTATCCAATCCTCTTCCTGGCCGAGTCCCCCCTCCACCCCTTCCACCTCACACCCTACTGATCTCTTCCCTCCTTCCCAACCCCTAGTCTCGCCATCTTCACCGTCCTCAAAGCCGGCTTCGTATGGTCCGGCAAGGCAGGATCCGGTGTCGTACTCGCTCGCCTCGAAGATGGCACCTGGTCCGCTCCGAGTTGTATCGCTACAGGTGGAGTCGGTTTCGGTTTGCAGATCGGTGCGGATTTGAGTGAAGTAAGTGCGAGGTTTTTTCAAGTCGAGTTTGTGGGCATTAGCGTCCTTTATCGAACCTATTTTCGGCTTCTTTTGGCTCCGGCGCGGCTTGGGCATGGAAAGAACTTTCTCAAAGAACCCTCTCCTTCCTGAGAAACTGATCACTCCCTCCTTTGAACCCCAACCAGTTCGTCATCGTACTCAACTCTACCGAAGCCGTCAACGCGTTCGCAAAAGGTGGTAACTTGACCTTGGGAGGTGCGCTCTCCGCCGCGGCCGGACCTATCGGTGTCGGAGGCGCCGTCAACACCGCTATCCTGAACCCAGCGCCGATGTTCACTTATTCTAAATCGAAAGGTCTTTTCGCCGGTGCTTCGTTGGAAGGTACGATGTTGATCGAACGCAAGGACGCGAACAAGGATTTCTACGGACAACTCATCTCCGCCGTCGATTTGTTGGGAGGTAAGATCCCACCGCCCGAAGCGGCGAGCGCGATGTACGAAACGATCGAAGCCGCCGAAGCCGTCGACGAGACCGGTTTACCCGATCAAGCTTATGTCGTATCCGAAGGTACGCTCGCGGAGACCACTCCTTTGGCCCAGGGGGTTCGGTCAGGAATACCCATCTTTGATGCTTCCAAGCAATAGGCGTAGTTCACGATCCGTTTTGAGGCTCTTGGTTTTCTTCTTCTTTGTATCTAGTACATACGATCTCCCTGATGGATCTGTTCATTCCGTTATAATGCTGCACACCCGTTTCTCAAAGCTTTGGCTGCGTCTGCGTCGAGAGGGGGGGGAGGGGCTGAATTGGCTGGCATGCGAGAGAAAAGGCCCGAGTTGCCCCGACTAAAATGGCAGACCTCACAGCCTCAAATCAAAAAGGAAAAGAAAACGTTGGTAGAATTGACAACACGTACAAGAAAACGCCTCATAATTCCCAGAGGCCAAAAGGCCAAAAAAAAGGAAAAGACGCGACACCACGAAAGCAGCTAAGAAAAGTCTACGACTCGGAGGGACGGATCCCCCACCCCCCCCCCCACCGACGGACATCTATTCCCTCCGTTCTTCAGGAAAGATACCCAATTCCTGCTGCAAATCATTGACATGCTTCATCCTCAACGTTGAGACTTCCCGATCCTTGATCACCGTTTTCAAATCCTCACAGGCGATCTATGCGATACGGGCCAATGGGGGGACTCTTGATTCGTCAGTTCCTCCTTACGCCGAAATCGGGTGAAGAATCCTCATGTGAAGCAGACGCACCTTGAGCAATTTATCGACTTGGTACAAATGAGTCGTCATGGCTCTGATGAGCGCATAAAGAGTCGCGGCTGAATCACAAGAGAGGATCTCGGTTTCGTGCAATTTGAGGATGGCGACAGCGACGCGGAAGAGCATGACCGTGCCGAAGACGAAGATGAGGTCCCAGATCCGGAGGAGGGTCTGGCAAGAGAAAGAGAAAGGTGTGTAAGTCTCTGGAGCACAGAGAAAGGGAAGGGGGGGGGGGGGGACTCACTTGGATCGGTAACGCATCCGTGAACAAACTCAAGAACCAACCGAACGTGATCGCTGGTAATTCGACACCTAGATCTTCGAGGTGGGCGGCGAGGTCGGGCATGAGACGAACGACGAGAGTCTTGAGGACCCTCTGGTCCGCTTGGGAGACGAGGAGGTGAGAGGTGTAGTAGTCAGATGGAAGGATTTTCTGTGGACAGTCCGAGGACAGTCCGAGGATCATCGGCTCAGTTTGAAAACCCACACGATGATGCAACTCAGTCTGACGGGAAGAACGCACCTCAATGATGCACACCAAGACCCAGAACGCATCCTCTTCGGCAGGATGAGTGAGCAAAAGGGTAGCAGTGAGATTGTTCATGCCTTGACAATAACCGATAAGAGGGTTGTGTCGAGAGTAGGCAACGAGAACGTTGCGCAGTTTGGCGACGCCGGGTCCGGTGCCGGCGAAAAAGACGTTGGTAGGGAAAGTACGATGACCTACAGGAGCACGAGGAGCGAATATCAGTATCACAACCCGGTGCGGGACTCGAGACTCGCAGAGCTCACAATCCATATCAATCTGATTCAGGCACTGATTCTCCTCATTCTTGTGCGCCAACAAATCCTGATACACCCCCGGCTCACGTGCCTCGTTCGCTCCGGAACATTCAGCCCAGATCCTGTGAGACAAACGAAAATCACATTGAGTTTCACGATCACGCGGCACAGCGAATTCAGTAGGACTCACTTGGGTCGATAAGCGATCGGCACGCCTTTGCGAACAAGTTGTTTGAACTCGGCCCAATCCTCTTTCCCAGACTTGCCATCGACGCCCATCTGACTGACGCCGACTAGATCTTCGCATCGCCAAGCTTGTTCATCCGCCGTTGCTCGACTTTTCGATTTATCGCCCTCGTCGTCAGAGCTATTGGAAAATGCATTGATCTGATCCGATTGCACGACGACGCTCCTCGATGCTCGTTTCCGAGTCGCAGCGGAATGCGTCGAGTCCTTCCCATCCTCAAGACCATTATGAAGATTCGTCGACCCACTCATCCCTGACGAACCTATCTTGGCGAGTTTGGCTTGGCGTTTCGAGATGAAGGTGTCCCATTCGAGTTTACGTTTTTGGTCTTGTACGTCCGACATCTCGCGCAGTTGGGTGAGCAGGCGTTTCATGCTTTGTGGACCGGAGGTGGGGGCCGTGGGGCTGGTGATTGAAGCCGTCGTCGCGGGTCGATCCGACGAAACTGAGCTAGTGAGATGAGGTGCATGAGGGGTCGTCGAAGTGGTGGTACTTGTGGAAGGCGCAAGGCTAGGAACGGGCGAGCGAGGTCCAGTTGGCGAGCGAACGGCCGTAGGCGAAGAAGCCCTTGACGACGAAGGTGGGGGGATACCCAGAGCCTCGCGCAACATCTCCAGTTCGGCATCGAGTTCGGCTTGACTCTGCACGGCGTCGACAGCGGGTCCGGCATCCTTTGAACCCGGAACGGCAACAATCTGATCCTCCTCGTTGTCGTCGTCGTGGTCGTGGCCCATGTCCGTGAACACCCGCCTTGACCCTCCGTTCCCCATTGATCGTTCCTGCTTCTTCCTCGCTTCACGCAACAACTTCATCCCACTACGCACGTCGTACACGAACCCATAGCGATCGACCATAGGACCTTCCTCGCCTGCGCTCGCTGCCTGTCCAGAAGTCGGATTGTGCAAGGCCAATGTAGGAGGTGCAGCTTCACCAGAAATGACTCCAAGCTCCATCATCGTTGGTGGGATCGCAGCCGACGAAGAGATCGTCGGCGTCATCGGCATAAGTGGAGGACTCTTCACGCTCGGAGTCGCATGCGCCGAAAGAGAAACGACCGTTGACGGCGTGGACAGAGCCGCAGGAGCAGCGGGAGAGTATTTGGAAAGTGTGGGCAGCTTGGGGAATAGAGTCAAGTTCGGTTCACCCTGCATCGACGAAGCACCGCTCGCACGTCGCATCCCTTCCGAAAGCGATCGCGCCATCTTTGGCGAAGAAGGAGTCGAACCGAACCCTAGTGCTCGACCGAAAGCACCTTTGGCCGAAGCCACATAGCCTGGGTTCGTGGCCGCACTCGCAAGCGGGGTTTCCTTGGCGGTGGGAGTCATGATCGCTTGGACGAGGGCCGGGGACTTGCGTTCTGACAAGTTCGCCGAAACGCGTCGCCGCGCCTTGATCGTTCGATCCGCATTCCATGATGCATCTGTGAGCGACTCGGACGGTGTCGAGATGCTAGAAGCCGAATTGTCAGCGTCTGCGGTCGTATCGCCGTCTTCTTGTACGACTTTCAGGCCCTGGACTGGGGTCTCGATCGTCGTCACCGGCTCTTCGATGGTCGCCGCCGATGTCGAAAGATCATCATGCACGGTCGACGACGCTTGTCTCGAACTGCGGGAGCTCCGAGACGACGACGTCCTCGACAGACTTGCCCCACCCTCGGCCGCCGAAACCGAAGCGCTGTGAGCCTGTTGGTGCGAGAGACTCGGTGCAGAAGGGACCCGAGGTCGGGTGAGGAGCGGGGACCCTGGGCCTTCCAAGGCGCACGGTTTCCGATCGGGAGTCGCGGACGAAGCAGAGGAAGTGTCGGATTCCGTCGGTGAGACCAAACTGCTCGTCTCGTCGGCCGAAATGGCGGTGGCCGTCGTGATCGCGCTAAGTATCGAAGCAGACGGTGGCGAGGCCGAGTTTACCGGTTCTTCTGGAGGAGAGACGGACTCATTTGGACGAGGCTGCAGTGTACTACTGCCCTTCCTCGGTCGAGTCGGAGACGTTAATGCGAAAAAGTCGCTGGTCCTATTCGGCTTGGGCATTGGCGTCGCCAGCTCGTCCTCATCCAACGCCGTCGTCGCATCGACATCGATCGTCGGCGATTCGACTCGATCTGATCCCGCTTCGTCTGGCCCACCTGAAGATCGGATCGAGCTGGTCGTCTCGGTCTCGAAAACGGACGAAGCGAGCGTGCTCTTCTTCTCCTTGGCCCTCCAGTTCTTCCACCCAATCCAACCTTCGTAAGTTCCCTTGTTCGCCGGTGATGTCGTCGGATCGTCAGACTTGACGCTGTCGTTGCAGACGATCGAAGAAGTCCCCGAGGCTACGCTTGAACTGCTTTGCGCGCTGTCGGATCGCTTGCGGCGATCCTTTTTGGTATCCTTCGCTGCGGTTGAAGAATTCAGGTCGGGTACGGGGAGTGGTGGGGGCGACGAAGATGTTCCAGCGAGGAGGATGCTGCCAAAGAGGCGAGAGGACAGTGAGGCGTGACGTCCCCGGTTCCCCGTCCTGGCCTTGCTAATCGTCGACGAGGGGGTGATATCCGTCTCTGAAGTAGCCGACTCGTTCGAAGCACCTTCATTAGCGGTGTCGGTCCCCGCGTTCGGTACCTGGAAACCATTCTCTCCCATTGCTTCGGCCAAATCATCGAGGTCGAGGTCGACTTGAAAAAGGTGCGTCGCTGATGCTGGCGGTTGCTCCGAACTCGTCTCTAAATCCGACGTCGACGACGTTGGAGGCGCTTCAGTTGGCGGTAGCAATGCTATCCTCCACTCTCTGCTTCGTATCGGCGCACTTCGACTCGGCCTCCTCCCCGCCGTCGTCGTCTGGGGTGTGTGCTCGCTCGGCACGACTCGAGCCCTGACTTTTGCTCGATCGACTTCGCCCGGCCCTACGCCCGCATCCCTACAAATGGTCTCCAGCGCTTCGCATTCCCGTTGACGCGTTTCAAGTTGGGCTGTTATCGAGTCTCGATCTTCGGACAAGGCCATGACGAGCGCGACGAGTTGCTCGATCGGAAGCGCGGCGAGATTCGATGACGGCACGAGGTGGGGCGCCATGGGGAGAGCGATATGGCTCGGCAATGCATCCGGCGCTGGGCTCAATGAAGCCGCCATCGATGGAACGGGGGAACTGGTAGGATTGGAGTGAGGAACGTGACTGTCGTGGTGTACGGACGAAGCAGAACGGAGCGAGAACGAGTCGGCGGACGGGGTCGCGAGCACGATCGAGCCCGAGTCGAGCTCGCGCACCGACTTTGCACGCGATGTCCGTCTCTCTCGATCGATCGAAGGTGCTCTTGGTGGGTGCTGCTGTGATCGGGTCGGGGCTGCTGAAGTGGATGCGATCGGACTCGGGGAGGTGTGCGGTGGGGAGGCCGGGAACAGAGGCGAACTGGATCGGTTCGGCAGGTGGGCCAGAGGCGAAGGAAGCGAGGCCGCCGTCGACTCGGAAAAGAGCGGATAGCGGGCTAGAGTCGTGATCGGTACGGGTGTTGATCGTGTCATCGTACGTGGCGGGGGACGAGGTCGGCAGCCGAGATCGGACGAAGCGGAGAAGCGGACGGTGTGGGGGAGGACCGTGCAGAGTGGAGCGATAGAATCAGTATGCGCGTCGACTGCAGCAATGCATCCGGTCACGGCATATTATCCTGGCCTGTATCATCCTTGATGGCGAGCACTCGATTCGGACACACCCTCGCGTCGTGCGGTATTCGGCGGCGGACAAGTCGGCTCGTTGGACAGCGAACCGCGCTCTGGAATGCCAAAACTCACCTCGGTTTTCAGCCATACCGAATTGCACTCAACCTCGTACTCGGTACTACTTAGAGGGTGGCCCAAAAAATCCGGCGTCGCTCTGGGTCGTAGCGCCGCTCAGCGCTCGCGATTTCTCCCCCGTGGAGCCAGGGGCCGGGCCGGGCCAATGTCTGACCGGTCGAGTCGCTGGACTTGATCCCGCGACAATGAGGGTGACGTAGTAGGTGGGAGGTGCGCACGCAGTCGCACGTGCGATGCTGGCCGGTGCGATAGTCGCCGATGTCACGCGATACGATGCAGGAGCCAAGCGCCGAGGTGCTGGTGCTGATCCAATTTCGATTTCGAGACTAATAAAAGTGCCAAGAGCGCTGAAATCTGAGACCGGGTGACGCGCGAGAAAAAAAAAAAAACAAAAAAAAAACCGTCCTCGACTCGGACGTTGCCGCTCGGGAGCAGTCGGGAGCTCTGAAGCTCTGAGTCGCCGAGTGGCCGAGAGGTGACGAGTCTTCGTCTGCTTCGGTCCCCTTGAGTGCCCAACGCCCCGAGATGGCTACGTTGCCGCCTGTCCTCCCCCCCTTTCTTCCTGACCAGCTCATCGCGTTGACAGGTGCCCGCGAAGAGGCTCTCGCCGACGTGTATCACCTGACCGGGCTCGATGTGATCGATCGGGACGCGTTCATGGCCATTCCGGAGGCTATGCGGGTTGTTCATTCAGAGATGGTGATTTTGCAGGGCTACGAACCTCGGGTGGAGCGTCGTTACTTCACCGATGCTCTGCGTGAGCTAGACGAAATGAAGAAGTGGTTACAGGCAATCGCCCGTCGAGGTCCCACCGCTGTTGAAAGTACGACGCTTCCTCTCGTTCGCACCACCGCAGGTCGATTGAAGTACGACATCTCACCCCAACGGCTTGCTCAATGGGTGCAGGAAGGGTTCACCAATCACCAAATCGCACTGTTCACGGGGGTCTCGTCCATGACGATCATGCGGCGTCGCAAGGAGTACGAAACCCCGGCCAGAATCACCGACATTTCTGACGCTGATCTCGAGCAACGCATTCGGTGGCTCAAAGAAAATGGCTCGGGGTTCACCGGAGCATTGGGTATCGCCGGAATCCTCAAATCGGAAGGCATTGTGGTGCCACGGCAGCGCCTTCGTTCTCTCCTCAAAGCAGTGGATCCTCAAGGCACTGTCGATCGATGGGCTCGGCGAATCGTCCGACGCAACTATTCCGTCCCTTTCCCGATGAGCCTTTGGCACCTCGATGGTCAGACTCTTGACCTCTTCCCTCATTTCTGACGGGGTCCCTGATCTGACGCACTTCATTCCCTATGCTCTCGGCAGGAAATCATAAGCTTTCGCGATGGGGATTTGTGATCCACGGTTGTATCGACGGTTACTCACGTATGATCACATTTTTGCGCGTGTCCCGTGACAATCGTGCGTCTACCGTGCTGGAATATTTCGAGGAGGCCGTAAATCTCTTTGGATGGCCAAGTCGGGTTCGCTCGGATTATGGAGGCAAGAATGTTGGGGTCAAGCGACTGATGGAAGAAGCTCGCGGTCGCCATCGCGGTGAGTGGGACCAGTTCCATTGGCTCCGAGGGACTGATGGACTGATCTGAACGTGAATTTTTGATTTCAGGATCGCACATCATGGGGACTTCGACAAGGAATCAGCGTATCGAACGACTATGGCGAGATCTGCGAGCTTGGCAGATTGAAGCGATCCGCGACGTTTTCTACGACCTCGAGAACCAACAACTGCTGGTTCACCGCAACCCCATTCATCAATATTTGCTGCATCTGGCGTTCGGCGCATACATTCATGAGGCTGTTCAACGATTCGTCCAAGGCTGGAATCACCACACTCTGAAACGGCCAAAGGGGCAGATGCGAGATCAGGGCCAAACGCCGCGGGCAATGTTCATCTTAGGTCAGTAAACAGAGATCTCATCCAAGCCCCCAGTCCAGTGGCTCAGTCCCGCTTGGTTTCTTGTCCATGACAGGCAGAGCGAGAGCCGAGAAGGCAGGCTTTTCCTTCGCCCTGTCTGACGAGCAAGCCCTCGAAGATCTCGATGTTGATGGGGTAAATGCGGAGCTCGATTTCGCGGGTTACGGTGATGACGACGATGACGATCAGGGACGCGATCGCGAACGCGGCGATCAGCATGCTCTAGTAACGGAAGTAGACGACCATGTGCTGGACGAAGAAGCTAAGGCAGCGCTGTTCGAAGAGATCCGAGTTCAAGGTCTCGAATCTGACACTCTTGAGCTTAAGGAGGCGCGGCGGAAGTATTTGGTGCTCTTACGATGGGCGGAAGAGAACCTTGCAATGTGATACCTGCCAAGTTGTACCCCATCGCTTGCTGGCTGAAATTGATGATCGAAGCTGGACCAAGTCCGAGTGACAAAGTGACAGCCGCGCAGTGTCGTCGATGCGCCGATCGTCTCTGTCTCGCACATGAGTCAAGCTTTCGTACACGGGTTTATTATTATTATTGTCTATAATTGCAATTCAAACTCGCTAGTCTACGATATCGCATGGTCAGTCCCGTGGCCGTGGGGGTCGAGGCGTTCGTTCCGAGCGTCGACGGGAAAACACCTCCGGGGGCGCGTTTGACACGGGCGGGGTAGCCAGGCGGCTGTGATCGTTTGGCGGTTCGGTTGAAGAGCTAGCGGTAGCATGTTCCCCTGAGTCGGCAAAAGATTGCATCTGCTGCTCAATCACCCGCCTTGGCTGTCGCTTCGGACCCAAGTTTGGCGGCGGAGGTAACGTACCACCCCCCGATCCCTCTTCGGATCCGGATCCGGAACTTCGCATCATGTCCTGCATTCTTTGCTTCCCGGCGACGAAGTCCTGAACCCGACGCCTCTCCGCACCCGAGGAAAGTGTCGACGAAGCTGAATCAACCATGCTCGCTTCGTCGTCGTCGTCCCCGGCGCTGGCGCCTACGCCGATCGACGCTTGCGCTCTTTCCCCAGTCTTCGGCTTCTTCTTCTTCTTGCTCCTCACTTCCGAACATTTGGCGCGTTTCGAAAGCGGGGCTGCTGTAACGTCATCGTCCTCATCATCGCCGCTATCTTGTTCCGCCTTGCGCTGAGCAATCTTCTCGTCTCGCATGCGTTGCCATCGCTGGAGCAGATACTCCTGGTTCGCCGTGCGATTTTGCATGAAGGAGACGTTCGGGTCCTCGGGTTGCGGATCCGAGTCCGAGGCGCCGATGCCCCGGTCGTCCGCCGAGAAGGCCCGGTAGGCCTCGTCGTCGTCGGTTTCTATGATTGCGTAGATGCGGGCCAACTCGCGCCAGTCCTCCGCCGCCGAATCGACGTAATTGGTGACTGTTCGATTGAAAAACAGGCCCCGGAGTCGAGCGGGACGGTTCTCTTTGGCGAAAGAAGGAATATCATGTATGTCATCCCCCTCCGGATCGCCCCGATAGATGTCGCGAATGAAGAAGCCGTTACGCTCGACAATCGACACCCCGCTGCGTTTCTTGAACGGACGTGCCAGCAACTCGGCGCTGTGCAGAACCTTGCAGAACTCAAGCACCTTTGCGTCCGACATAAGGTCTCGGTCCCGATGGCTGGGCATGAGCACGAGACAACCTCCCGGCCTCCCAGCAAATTGAGTTGCGAGCTGTTGGGCCGTCGGACGTTTCGGATGTGTCCTTCTGGGACGGCGTCGAGAAGTTGAGGCTCCCAAATGGTCGTCGATTTTGTGTCCGGCACGTAGTAGAAACTATGGTGCGGCAAAGAGGTCAGCAAGCTTCCTACCACGAGATGAGGCGGGGTAACGATCTTACTTGTAGGACGCAACGCAAAACTCGCCATCAATGTCGCCTGAGCGTCTACCTCTGACGCGTCGCTTGAGGTAGTTCGGATGTTGGTTGCCCATAACTCGTCGAACCTTCTTGTTGATTGCGTCATCGACATCTTGCGATGATGCCGAGAGCGGGAGCGGAGGCAGGGTAAACGCGAGGTCGAACTGAAGGCAGGCGGTACGAACGACGGAAAACTCGAGCTTCAACTGGCTCTGGGACAGAACGGTCGATTTTCTCCCGATGTGGGTGAATTTGTACCCCGGATTGTCCAGCAGGATGGGAAGGACGATAAAGGAGTTCGCAGCTTTGACGTGGCCAGCAAGCGTGTTCGGGCCAAATACGAGGGTGTCGGGGTCGTGGGCCACGCCCTTGCCCTTCCTAGTAGGCATCGATTGTGTCGATTCGGGGGAGGAAGCGTGCGAAGCCGATTTTCTGAGCGATGTCTGAGCGCCACTCAGCCTGCCACGCGCCGAGCGAGCCGCTGGTGTCAAATGTCCAGCACCATTGCGATCATTCGCGTGTAGCAGAGATGAGCGCGACGTCGTTGCGTGGCTCGAGGTCGAGGGTCTGAACTCCGTCAGGTCCTGCAACGGCGCGGCGGGAGCTGGATCACGGGTGGTCGGGGCGCGACTCGACGACTGCGGAAGGGATGAGCGCGATCCCGAGGGGCGAGTTGAGGATGTCGAAAGAGTCGAGCCGAACTCCGAGGGATTTGACCAGTCGTCTACGTACGACACGTGCTTGCGGATCCAGTCTGCGAAACCGAGAGCCGAGAGATCAGCGATGGGACACGGAACAAGACACAGCAAACGTGAATCAACGGGACTGACCTAGTTCCTCCTGACTTAGGCCTTCAGTATTGAGCATTTCCAGATATGCTGCTGGCCCTCGTTTCTCGGCCGCGGCTCTGGCTTCCGTCCGGCCGAAAGCGATCGCGCGTTGTCCAATCGACCGTAGATCGGCTCGACGAGCTTCGAGTTGGGCGGCGATCGCAGCGGCTTGTTCTTCCTGCTCCTTCATTGACGGGGGGCAGGGGGGGCGGAAGCGGCGCTCAACATCGAAGGATAGAGTCGAGGCGTCGTATCGGAAGACGCCGGTTGAGATCCAAACGAGAACATCGTTTGCATCGATTGAATTGCTGGCATCATTGTCTGGAGCGTTACCATCATGTTCATCATTTCGAGCTGTTGAGCTGGAGTGAGTGGAGCTTGAGGTTGAGGTTGAGGCTGGGCGGGCGGTTGAGCACCGAGAAAAGGAGGGCGCGAGTGGGCCTGGGAAGAGTCAGGCACGAGCCCCGACACGCGGTCGATATGTTGTTGTACCGAAAGAGGTGCATCGCCAGCGGTTGCAGCGCCGAAAGAAAAAGCCGTATTGGAGTTCAAGGCCAGGCTGAACAAATCGTCGGTCGAACCAGATGGTGAGTTGTTCATTTTTATCACGAGAGGCGAGGGGAAGAGAGTGGCAGGAGGAAAAGAGGCAAATCCAGGCCGAACTCGAGGCGGTTGCCTGGGCGCTGGGTGCGGGAGGGTGCGGGCCTCAGGGTCAAGCAGCGCTGCAGCAGTAACAGCAGCAGGCTCAGCTCAGGTGGGTATAGAAGAGCTGATGGCTACAAATGAGATTCAAGAGAGCTTTCTCTGTCCCCTGGATTGGAGGGAAGTCATGCCATGCCATGGGTCATGACGGACGACCTTGCGGCATGACTGTGCTGTCATCTTTTTTTTTTTTTTTTTTTTTTTTTTTTTTTTGCTTCTCTCGTCTTTTTTCTTTTTTTTCGCGCGAAACTCATGTTCGCTCCGGCGCCTCATAAGCAAAGGCGCCTCATACTATCACATTGCAAGGTTTTCTTCCGACCATCGAACAGTCACCAGATACTTCCGCCGCGCCTCCACAATCTTGAACTCGGATCTCTTCGAACAGCGCTGTCGCTGTCTTGGCTTTTTCGTTCGTCGTCTACTTCTGTTCCTAGGGCATGCTGATTACCGTCCTGAAAGCGAATGAGAACAGGCGGCAGCGAAGCTATCTCGGGCGTTGGAAGGGGGACCGAAGCAGACGAAGACTCGTCACCTCTCAGCCACTCGGCGACTCAGAGCTTCAGAGCTCCCGACTGCTCCCGACTGCTCTTCCCGACTGCTCCCGAGGGGCAACGTCCGAGTCGAGGACTTTTTTTTTTTTTTTTTTTTTTTTTCTCGCGCGACGCGTAGTTTTTTTTCTTTTTTCTTTTTTCTGCGGCGCTCGTGTTAGCAAAGGCGCCTCATAGATTCTTATGAGTCGCCGGGAGGGACACGAGATTCGCGCGAGAAAAAAAAAAGCGCCTCATAGCTCGCCGCGCCCGCCGGGGCCCTCTTCACCTCCCGCCGTGCACTTGCAGTGGGGCCTCATCACCTCCAGCATCTCGCTCGGTATGGCTTCTTCCAACGAAGCGACGCCAATTGTTTCCACCAACTCTCGGCCACCAACGCTCACCCAACTCCTCGGTGATTGTGCTCCATCCAGCTGGTTTCTCCCGCCACCGGACCATGATGGAGCGTGTCACTCAACTGCCTCGCGCGTTCAAGCCGATGCTGGGACGACCGCCTACGATTGCGTCGCCCGGCTGGGAGGATTGAACTGGGGCTCACCCGCGTCTCCTGGCGTCAGGGTTCTCAGCTCTTTTTTCGATGTACTCGAGCAATACCCCTCATTGCTGGACCTGTTCCGCGAGGAGCTAGACGCCATCAGCAATGCTCCTCGCAGCGAGATGGGTCGGAAGAGCGAGCACGAAGTCGAAATCTCGTTCACAGACCTCTTCGCTAGCGGTCTACGATCTGCAACGGCGGCGCTGCTCGATCATCATGCCGCGATCACCGAGGCCGTCGGAGCTTCTTCCGCTTCCGCATCGACCTCCGCGACGAGACCCCGGTACTCGGTTCGGTTGGCCGTCCCTGAACGTGCTCTCCGCACGCAGGGCGATGCTGTCGTCTACATTCAACGTGGGGTTGGCAACATCGTTTCAAGTATCTCGATCGAATACAAGCGGGACGACGTGCACCATAGCCTGGCCAAGGTACGCCAGGAGGGCGCCCTCTCGCATATTCCGATCCTCGACCACGGGGCCCCAGTGCCACTTCAGAAACTAGAGGAAGAAATGTCAAAGGGTGCAGATGCTGTGGCGACCAAGGTGAGGCATGCATCTTGCAGGCTTGGACATACGCTTTCTTGATCCGGCCTCGAATATTGGGGCTCTGTGTTTACCCATTTCTCATTTTTCATGTCGTGTAGGCCATTATCCAATGCGTCTTCAGCGATAGTCGATTCTTTTTGCTGCTGTCGGTTCCGTTCTTCCAGATTGGTGAACTGGGTACGTCACATCTTTGAACTCACCAACATTTGTCGAAACTTTCCGGGTCCCACTGACGCATGCGACCATGCGGCCTTGCTTTGGCCATTCGCCGCTCGCCCACAGTCCAGCACCAGTCGACGCATGTTGCAACGGCAAGCGATCCCGTAGCGTCGACCTCGGCGGCGTCTGCCTCAAACTCGGCTGCGACCGCGTACTCACCGGCACCGCCCCTCAAGGCCAGGTACAGCTTGATTCTACAAGAACTGGCCCGATGGGTAGAGCCCTCTCCGACGACCTTGAGCCCAGGGGCGGCGGAAACACTTGGCACCGATCTTCCACGACGGTCACTCATCGTGTCCTTCATCGCCCTGGCTTTCACAGCCGTGATCGAAGTCCCCAAGCCGGACCAAGCCGTCGTCGATAAACTGCTCGATGCCCGGCGCCAACCTCCGAATCGGCCTCGAGCTCGCTCCAATCCGGACTCGGACCCCAACTATGAACCCTCCTCGCGGGTCCAAAAAGCCCAGAAGACTTCGGCCGAAGCCACCGGTGCTCGTTCTTGGGCGCGACTGGCAGGCCAACCACCGCGAGCTCAAACCAAGGACTCGAATCGACCCATCACCCCGCCGATCTCCGTAGGGTTGCAATCTGATCCCTTATCCGACCCGTTGACGCCTGTCACTCGCATCTTCTCGTCCCCTCCTGCATCGACGGATTGGAGTCCTGCGACCTCGCCGCTCTTCGGCTCGCGCCTCCCGTCGAAATCGATCACCATCGTTGAAGATCGCGAATTCGTGATCAAGGCCAGCTTGTCGAACGCGCACTGGTCTATGATGGTGCGTCACACGCTTTGCCATGCTGCTCCCGTCCTAGCTCTTGTAGCCCAGCTCACAGAAAGGATCGTTTGCTTCCTGCTCTTGCGCAGTCGTACACGGGCACGAGCCGCGTGGAACTGGTCGAGATCGACTTTGATATTGTCTCTTCGGTTCCTTCCGACTCGCCGCTTGCGTCCCGTCTGCCGTCGAAGCCTTCCCCAGCGAGCGATTTTATTCGGGGCCTCCATCTGTCCGATGTGGTTTTGCGGTGGCTGTCCGAAAACCCCCGGGAAGAGCTCGAGGACGATCGAATCCCCCTGGAACTGTTGGATCGGTTCGAGCCCGCTGCGGATCTTCGTCTGGTGAAGGAGGTCGGGACGGGAAGTACTGCCGGCGGGTGGCTTGCGCACGTCGTGCGAGTCAACCGACCTTTGTGCTCGTCGGCCAAACCCGAGGTGCCTCCAGTTGACCACCCTGCTCCGAACACGACGTACTTTCTCAAGCTCGTGCCGTGTAGTTACGTCGGCTCGGTCATCCGAGAGACGCTATTCTACCAGCACGTCTTCCCCTACCTCCCCGACCACCTTCGCAAACATCTCCCGCAATTCTACGGCACTTACCGAAGGACGAATGGCAACGGATACGCCATGGTGCTTGAGAATGTGGGCAAAACGATGAACGAGCTCGACTTCTACGGATCACCGGGCGAATTGTGGTAAGTTCCTGCAGGGCGGCGCACTGATCCAGCCATGTGCAAGCCGGTCAAGAGGCCGCGCGGATTCCTGACCCTCTGATTCTTTTTTCTTTTTTCTACGGGAGGTGCAGGGAGATCGAGGCGGCTTTTAGGGAACTCGGCATCATCCACAATGATGTCAGGGCCGGCAACGTACTGGTTCGACCCAACAATGGCCCGGTTTGCTTCGTTGATTGGGGACGATCGTATCTCAAACTCCGAGTGTGAATCTTTTCTTTCCTCCTCCTCCTTCTGAGGTCTCTGTTTTTTCTTCCTTCTATGCTTGTTTTATATTTTGTACGCACTTTCCCTCAGGTTCATCTGCAATGCGCAACGCTCGTCATCTCGTTCATCTCGTCAGCGTCGTAGTTGGACTCGAGAGCACCCCGAGCTGAATGGACCTCAGCTCCTGCCGGCTCGGCGAGAATCGTGCTTCTGGACTGAGGTTGAGGCTGGAAGGAGAGAGAGAACAAAGGAGGAAGTGAAAAGTCTATGTGGAATGAACCCCCCCCCCCCAAGAGACGAGTTCACTCAGTCTTGAGTTAGGTAGTGGCCCCAGAGCCAGAAGCACGATGTCGCCTGATCCGCGGTGAGAACTTATGTTGTTGAGTTCCGTCGGCCCTCTCAACGACCGCACCACCCAGTGCAGCTCGCCCCTAACCCGGGCTTGAACGAACATCCACGTCACCGAGCACTCGCCTCGAACCACTGCATACACGCAACATTGGGTGGAAAACTATTTCGACGACTACAATTTTGCGGCACTCGCCGAGGAAGACGGCAATTCCTATCCTCTCGAGTCGATCATACTCGTGTTCATCCGCCCCATCGTCAGGATGCTCTGCGGAGACCCTCGCCTCGTGCCTCGTTGTAGCCGCCAGAGAGCTGCGCTCAATCATGGGTCAAACTGGCGATCGTAACTGGGAGATGAGGAGTGCGTCGACCTTGCACACTACAGGTTTTGAACCGTTGACGGCACTCGCGATGGACGCCACACCAAAGCAGGCGCTGGAGTCGATCTTTGAGCAAGCTTCTCGGAGTGGGGATTCGCGCCCTCAACCTCAACCTCAAGCTCCACTCACTCCAGCTCAACAGCTCGAAATGATGAGCATGATGGTAACGCTCCAGAAAATGGTGCCAGCAATGTGAACGATGCAAACGATGTTTTCGTTCTTCGGATCCCAATCCGGGACTTCGAATACGACGCCGCGACTCGATCCTTCGACGTTGAGCCCCGCACCCACATATCTGCATCTGCAATCGCCCCTTCAGCTCAGGTCAGTCCCGTCGATTCAAGTTCGCCGTCTGTCGTCCCTTGTTCCGTGTCCCATTGCTGATTTCTCGGCTCTCGGTTTAGTAGACTGGATCCGCGACAATGTGCCTTAGCCTTACGTTAACGACTGGTCAAATCCCTTCAAACCCGGCTCGACTCTTTCCACATCCTCAACTTGTCGTCCCTCGTCTCGTCGAGTCGCGCCTCGACCACCCGTCATGCAGCTCTCGCCGCGCCAATGCCCGACCCGGCTCTCAGCCGATCGACCTCGAGCAACGCAAGGACGTCGCGATCATCTCCGGTACATGCGAATGATCGCAATGGGGGTGGGCTCTTGACACCAGAGGCACCCTCGGCGCGTGGCCGGCTGAGTGGCGCTCCGCTAGGGCTCAAGAAATCTGCTTCGCACGCCCCCTTCCCTGCGGAAGCGATGCAATTGATGCCCACTAGCAAGGAGGAGAGCAGGACGGGCAAGGGCGTGCAAAGGTTCGCAAGTGGGGAGCAAGCAGAAGAAGAGGAAGACTGGGGGAAGAGCGCCAGCGTTGATCGGCCGGGACGACGACGACGACGAAGCGAGCGAGGATGATTCACCTTCGTCGGGACTTTTGGACTCAAGTGCGGAGATGCGTCAGGTTCAGGACATCCTTGCGGGGAAGCTAAGGATTCAGGAGATGATCCTAAGTCCCGGATCTGAAGAGGGATCAGAGGAGAAAACGTTACCTCCGCCACCGAACTTTCGTCCGAAGCGACAGCCAACGCAGGTGATTGAGCAGCAGATGCAATCACTTGCTGACTCAAGGGAACATGGTACCGCTAGCTCTTCGACCGAACCTCCAGAAGATCACACTCGCCTTGCTACCCCCTTCGGAGATTTTTTCCGCTCGACGCTCGGAACGAACCTCTCGTCCCCCGCGGCCACGAGACTAACCATGCGTTGTCGTAGACTAGCGAGTTCGGTTGCAACTATAGACACTAAACTGTAACATGTTCCGAACCTTGACTCTTGTGCGAGACAGCCTAGACGATCGGCGCATCGGCGACACTGCGCGGCTGTCACTTTGTCACTCGGATGAGGTCCAGCTTGGACCATCAATTCCAGCCAGCGAGCGATAGGGTATGGTTTGAAAAGCTATCACATTGCAAGGTTTTCTTCCGACCATCGAACAGTCACCAGATACTTCCGCCGCGCCTCCACAATCTTGAACTCGGATCTCTTCGAACAGCGCTGTCGCTGTCTTGGCTTTTTCGTTCGTCGTCTACTTCTGTTCCTAGGGCATGCTGATTACCGTCCTGAAAGTGAATGAGAACAGGCGGCAGCGAAGCTATCTCGGGCGTTGGAAGGGGGACCGAAGCAGACGAAGACTCGTCACCTCTCAGCCACTCGGTGACTCACATAGCAAAAAAAAAAACCTGAAATGGGACGATCCCGGGATGATCCTGGGATCGAGCCCCCGATTTGAAATCGGTGCAGCGATTTGAAATGCGTTTGAAATCGGCGGCGCGATTTGAAACGGATTTGAAATCCGTGCGCCGAATTGAAATGCGCTTCAAATCGGCGCGGGATCGATCCCAAATGCACTCCAAATCCTCGCGGGATCGATCCCAAATGCGCTTCAAATCCTCGTGGGATCGAACCATGCCCAACGGTCAATAAGGGCATAGAACTCGTGTGAGAGGGCCGTAACCCCAGTTAGAGTAGACGAACATGTTACTATTGCTCAAAGTATGTGCAAGTATACTACTGAAACGGTACGAGGCCCCATGCGGTGGTGCGATGCCCCACCAGGCCTGCAATCTGCTCTTCAGTGTGATGTGGGCAGCGACCGGGAGCAACGAAACGAGCTTGGTCAATGCGCGCTACCCCACCCCCAGCCTGGACAACAAATGACACAACGAAGGGCCGACCGGGGTGAAGCAAGCCAAGGAGCGAAAGGCGAAAGCGCGACCGAGATCCGAGATTTGAACTTTGTCGCACCGGCGTCCAGCGCGCGATCGGCCGGACCGGCCGCGGACGGCCGACCGCGCTTTATCCGACGTCCCGATGCTCCCTTGTGCGACGTCAACGACAGTTACCCACTAGCGAGCATTGAACATTAAGACCAGTCAGTTCGAGCCGCACATATCTGCTGGCGCTGCGACATGCTCGAGCACTTACACGATGGTGTTACCCCACCTCCTGTCGTCTCCAGCGCCTGCGTTCGACGGCTCGGACAGAGGACGTACACGGGCTGTCGTCACCCCGCTTCCCCACAGAAGCCATGTCACCTCCTCCTTCCACGTCCCAAGTCCAATCGAGTGCCAAAGAACCGACCTCAGGTGGGAGTGATCAAACCTCGACCACCCTCGCACCCAGTCCAGCCAATCAGTCGACCCTGCCCCACCCCAATGTGGGGCGATCAACCTCAAAGTCCGGCGTCGGTAAATGCATGACGGTAGAGGAGGCGATCGAGGCGGCACGAAGAGACTGGCAGAACCGCATGCAAGTCATGGAGGTTGACGAGGCAAGGTTATCGAGGCGAAATCACCACGGTCCACCGTGCCCTCGCTGACGAGCACGTGACGTTTGGCACCTTCAATAGTCCGCGTCCAGCGACGATGACGGCAAGATGGACGTCGATGGCGACGGCGATGACGAGGAGCATCAAAAGGGCGACGAGGACAGCGATGATGCTGGTGATGAGGAGGACGGCGGCGGGGACGATGACGGCGGCGAGGACGACGACGGCTACGACAGCACCAGACAGAACGACAGAGGGAGCGAAGAGAACGATCACGATCAGGGCGGCACTGCGAGTGACAAGTCGAGGCTGTGTGCACCAACCTTCACTGAAGTGGCCATCTACGCGTGGAGCCTGGAATACAGCAGGAAACCTGCTGCGCCTTGATTGAGGCGTTACAGAGCGAATGATTTGACGCCACCAAACTACCGAAGTCGTTTTCAACGCTGGAAACGTGGGTCAAGGCGCATTTGCGGCGCCACGTCATCCCGCGGAAAGCGTCCAAGACGACGATTGCCAAGACCGGTTCGAAGGCGAATCGCACCACAACATCGGCGTACACCCTAAGCTTGAAGGAACAGATTGAGCTTCGAATTCTGGGAAAACCCGCCCTACTCGGGAGCGGCCTCGGCGACTTTGCAGAAGTGCGGACAAACCTATGGGAGGGCGACGTCTGGCGCGAAAGCGTGGTGGCAGGTCGCGCGGCCTACCCTATGGAGACAACAAACGGTGAGTGATCGAGGATGGCGCGACGAGGAAGAACAATATCGGGTGCCGGAAGCGTGTCATGATAGGTGACCGGGCGATAGCGAAAGCGACGGAGGCGGACAAGCGGGCAAGCGGACAAGCGCAAGAGACTGCAGAGACCGCTAGCCGAGGCCGAACGCTAGCGGCGGCAGGCGGCGGCACACTGCGGCACAGGGCGGTAGAGGGTGATGCGATGCTCCACTGCCGCATCCGCATGGGGCCTCGTACCGTTTCAGTAGTATACTTGCACATACTTTGAGCAATAGTAACATGTTCGTCTACTCTACTTTGCGCAATTGGCCCTCTCACACGAGTTCTATGCCCTTATAGACCGTTGGGCATGGTTCGATCCCACGAGGAATTGAAACGCGCTTCAAATCCTCGCGGGATCGAACCCAAATGCATTTGGGATCGAACCCGCGCCGATTTGACGCCATTTCAATTCGGCGCACGGATTTGAAATGCGTTTCAAATCGCGCCGCCGATTTCAAACGCATTTCAAATCGCGCCGCCGATTTCAAACGCATTTCAAATCGGCGCACGGATTCAAATGCATTTCAAATCGGTGCGGCGATTTCAAATGCATTTCAAATCGCTGCACCGATTTCAAATCGGGGGCTCGATCCCGGGATGATCCCGGGATCGTCCCATTTCAGGGGGAGTTTTTTGCTATGCAGAGCTTCAGAGCTCCCGACTGCTCCCGAGGGGCAACGTCCGAGTCGAGGACTTTTTTTTTTTTTTTTTTTTTTTTTTTTCTCGCGCGACGCGTTCGCGAGACACGCCCAAGCAAGCCCGCGCACTGCAAGGCACAGCACTCGGGCCCCGCGCGTGAAGCCGGTGAGGCGCTTGAATTCTCTTGAATTCGCGATGCCCAGGCTTGAGGTGGAATCCAGACTGATCCCGATCCAGTTCTGCTTATCACTTTACCTATCCCAAACAAATCAAGTGTGACCGAGGTTGTCTTTTAATTTAAACAAGTCTTTTCGGACGGACAGGTTGGGCAGAAGCGCGGCCCGTGCCACCCCGTGGGCTGGATCACACCTGCCACCTTGAACAGCGACAACCGTCGGCCCACTTGAAGTGAGCGACCCCTGTCGCACTTCTGGCTCTCGGTCTCAAAAGGGCGCTGAAGTGAAAAGAGTTGACTCAAGCGAAGCAATCGTCTTGTGCAGAGACAAAGATTGGAACGTGGGCCAGTGTGGGTGATTGAGCGATTAGTCGGATCCTGTACTAAGATTACGCGACACTCAGTGATGAGCACGTGTGGTCGTTTCCGGCGCGGTGTGTCGAGTTGCTAAGCCGCCGAGTCCACGTCTCTTTCCTCACTTCCCCGGCTTTCGCCCTCCAGACATGAAGCTTTTGATTATATCTTCCTTCTTGGCGGCCTTATTGACCCTCGTCGTCGCCGTTCCTTGCGTGGACCATATCAACTATGGCGTACCTGAGTAAGTAGTGACCCAAGTGGCACGCTTATGTTGCCGACGATTAGCATCGGGGATCACCCCCGCCGCGCCCCCCCCTCCTCCCACATGATTATTGTAAGACTGTACCTGTACATACGCTGAAATCTCTCTATTTTCCAGTTGCCCTGCGGCTCATGATTGCAAAAAGTCGAATGGATGCACCGAGCTCACCGACGCAAAACAGCGAGTACTCTACCTGACATCGCTTCGACGCCCTGTGCAAACACTCAAAAAATGCCCTCTTGTGATCACAGGAAGCAAGGATGAAATCAAGTCTGCTTCAATGATTTTTGCAAATAGGGACTGGCCGAAGGTGAGTCGATATAGATTGAATATGACGACTTGCGCTGGGGGCCGCTCGGAGCCCTTCCTGACCGTCCAGCCCTCCCTTGTCTCGTGCGTCTGACCCTTTCAGGCCCCAGCAACGTTCAAGCTCGTCGTCTAAAGCGCTCACAAGTACGGAACGTGGTGCAAGCGAACTTTTGGAGACTATGGAAAATCGCTAGGAAGCGATGCGCGGGGGGATTGCTTTTGTTTGGGGGCAGGGTCCTTGTCGTTTGGAACGTGATTCATCATGATGATCTTCGAGGGACCGCGTCCCTGCATTCGTCGTAACGAGGGCTGAATAGCTTGCTACGAGACCAGCGCAAAGTAAGACTCTCGAGGCAGCTGAAAGTGCGTGAGGTGTTGGTGCACGTGCGCCGAATACGACTTTGGATCCTTGCAGCGAAAAGACCTCCTAACTTCGACGTTGGAAACGAGGTCCGACGCGACCTACCTACCGCCCGCCCCGGCCCGAGCCCTTTGACCCAGAGCTGACAGCGGCGACGACGAGGATGATGATGAAGACGAAGGCAATGACCTTCGCCCTCTTCGGTGTCGTGCAAGTGCCGAAGTACGAGGTGCGTTCGCGACAGCTACGTCCTGCCGGAAGATGATGGGAGACACCGATCCGACTTTGGGTCCGCGAGACGGAAGATTCGAAGTAGCCCCTCTGCACCAGAAGCTTCATGTTGAGATTACCTACTACATCTCTTTTGAGTATCGTTTCTAATCCATTCATCCGAGGCGTTCGAGGTTGACATGATACACCAGCACCTCAGGCAGACTAAAAAGTAACCAGTCTTAGTAGCGCCGCCGCGCGGCCAGAAAACCCTATGCAAATAGGCGACCTGGGCCCGGTAGCAACACTGCTACCGACGGTAGCAACTCGGCGCGGGAACAAGCTCGCAATGGTTTAAAGTCATTACAATTGATCCGGAAATGATTTTCCGGCTTGACGCTATGACGTAATTCATTGGCGGGAGAAGCTTGTAGAGCTTATAGAAAAGCTTGTTGAAGTCCAAGTATATCCATTAACGCCTCAGCACTGCTGAAGCCGTGGTATGTCTGACCCAATGCAACACGTGATCTGACGCGGGTTGCGCGAGGTTGCGCGCGCAGGCGCGCGTCCGAACCGGTCCGAACCTGACGGAATCGACGCGTGTTGTGCGTTGTTGATACGTTGACAGCTCTTGTCCTTAGGCCCGCTTTCGCCCGTACATTCAACACAAGACCCATTGGTCTCGCCGCGAATATCCTCGTCCTCGATCGCTGAACCGCATACACGTCACACGTCACACGTCACGTCCCTCGTTGATGTCCATTGATCTTGTGATCCTTTCACATCGCCAACTCATACCAACTTTCCACGCTTCGGCGCTCGACAAGCCCCACGTGTATGTCCGGCGATCGTTTTCCGGGCTTTTACCAGAGCACGAGCTTCTGAGGGCCTGCTGACATCCACGTCTTGACTATAGATTCATCGCGTCGCCTCGGAACATTGCGGGCTCCTTCCCTCCTGGATAACCATTCACAAACAAGTCTCTGGGTGCGTGGTGGAAGTGCGGCTGCGCGGTCGTCGACGCGCTGTTTGACTGGTTTAATGCAGCACCGTGTCGTTCTGACAACCTGGCAACCCCAGGTATGGGCGTATGCATGGAAGACACTTGTGGCGAACTCGAGTCGCTCAAACAGCTCAGGCAGCAGATGCCTCTGAAAAGGTTGAAACACAAAGCCCATATGATCAGCAACGACATATCGGAGGGGCCCGAGCCGAGGTGGTCAATGCAAACCTTCTCAATGTGGTGCTTGAAATTACAAGCGATGTCGTACAAAATTCCAATCCTAGCATCTGGGGGAAGATGGTCCGAGATGTGCTTGACAATGGCTAAAGCGAAGTACAGCCTAGGTGATTGGAGCGCAGGCATGAGCATCAGCAGTGAAAGTAAAAATGCAAGTTGGAGTTGAAGAACATAAGCTCAATACACTCACTTTTCGCCGGTCTTCTCAAGATTCACCATTTTAGGGCGATATCATGGCGGCACACGCCGGCGACAAGTCCTGTATCGATCTTGCGCGACGAGACTCGACCAGCGCCCCCGTCAGCAGCCTTCCACGACTCTGTGCACGCCTTCCGACGGGGCCGGAGCGATATTACTCAGTATTCGAGGCGGATCGCAAATATATCACGCTCCTCACCTTCTTCGTTGGCCGCGCTGTATTCTCGACGAGTGCTTTCATGTCCAGGACGGCTTTATCAGACAGAAACAAGCTCGGCACTATTCCTTGGACGTCGTATGTCGCATTATTTTCTCGGGTTTGCTGGAAGTTGCCGTCGAGCGCGATCATATAATCCAGTTGGAGGGTGTGATGATGGGGTCGGTTGAGCCGTTTCGGCCCGAAGCACGCTGGGCATTTGTTGGCCAGCGCGTCGACGGTGCCCAAGAGAAAGTCGCCAACGTTGCGCTCAGATGCTTCGATGGCGCGAAACTCGTCGATCGCCCGCTGCCATTGCTTCCTCAGCTCTTTATCCTGAGCTCCACAATCAGGCAGCAAATGAGTCCAGGTAGAGCCCATGGCAAAAAACCGATAACAAATGCTCACATATGGGTGTCCATGATAATGCTCTGGTTTCGACCACCCGTTGTCCCCGAATTAGTCTTCGAAGTCTGCAGCGTGGCCAGTGAGGGCGTAAGGGGCGTTACGCCAACGCGAGTTTTCTAGGCGGATCATGCGGAAGGAGAACGCTGATCCTGGGTTGACAGCGGTCGATGCTATAAACCCAAGTTGAGCCAGGCGTACAGCTTCCGCAATACAGGGCGGATTGGAAGCGCAGAACGTGACTTGCTTGGAATAGACTGAAAGGCAAGGCGCAGAGGGGGTTTCACGTGTCAGTGATACCAGGACAACGGCGAGAAAAGATGCATCGCGCAAATCGGTGAACGGAGCTGGCATGACACATACCGGTCAGTCCGTCGTACAGGACCACCTCGCGAGCATACACGTGCTGACAGTGGCATGGTGAAGGAACGTTCAAGTCGTCCTTGTCGCTGTTCGAAACGAGCGGCAGAAACTGCCCATTGGTGCTTATGCGTAAATCAAGACAGAGACCCAAAAGGGCAGCGCGCTGACCCTCGCGCTGCTCGTGCTCGAGTGTGATAAACTTGAAGTAACCTTCTTGCTTAGCGGCAACCGGCGGATCGGAGACGCGGGGAGTTGGTAAAACCTCCTGTGCGAGTTCCTGGTGAGTTGGGCGTTGTAAGTCGGGGTCGGGTGGGTCCCAGCGCTCCATGGAAAGATCCATTCCCCCTAGGTCTTCGTACTCGGCCTGCTGAGCAAGAGGGAAGTCCCTGAGATAATCCTCGTTGAAATCATCGTGGGAGAAGTTCAGGTCATTGGCGAAGACTGAGGTCGAGGCGACAGGGACGCGTTGGTTCGTGCTCGTTTCGACGTTTGACGTTGCAGATGTGGTGGGAGTGGCATCCATATCTGTCTTGGCCTTCCTCGGCCTCTTACGTCCTCCTTTATCGACGATCGTACCTCCGAAAGTGACAAGGCACAGCGGCATCGTGGCGTATTGATTCGGGCAATCGGGATGGTCGAGGTAGTCCGAAGGCTTGATCCGCGGAAAGCGTGGTTTGAGTCGCGAGGGGCGGCCCATGGTGACTGAGCGGAATGAATACGAGAACACAAGTGTAGTAGCTCAGCAGCAACGAGCTCCGGGTGGGTTAAGTCTGCGACGATCCAGGTAGTACGTCCTGCAGGAAGCAACGGCGGCCGCCTGCATGCACGCGCGACAGATTCCTTGCGTGCCAATTTGACGTGTTCCTCATCTTACAACGCGTCAAGCACGTGACTGGACACCCGCCCATGAGCACGAGCCCCGGCCTCAGGCGCTCAGGCGCTTAGAGTCTTAACATTTAAAAAATTACGTGTGGTTACTGATTCAACTCGAGATCAATCTTTGCTTCTTATTATCTCTCATGTCGTCACATGATCAATGTAGTGGTCTTAACGGACTTGGAAGAGGTGTACGGGCCTGTCCCGGCGCCGAGTTGCTACCGTCGGTAGCAGTGTTGCTACCGGGCTCAGGTCGCCTATTTGCATAGGGTTTTCTGGCCGCGCGGCGGCGCTACTAAGACTGGTTACTTTTTAGTCTGCCTGAGGTGCGTGCTGGTGTATACACCAGCACGACTGGACACCCCAGACTACTGCCTATTTATAGCCGTTCCCTAGTCTACTGGCGGCGACCTCGGCCTTATCCCCGACGAATCGCCGCGCGAACGAGCCCGATCGAGAGCTCGACGGCAAAAAGGTTGATCCCTCCGCTGGTCGCAAAAGGCACCCGGAATCGACAAGTCGTACCTAAATTATGTGAGTCGGGATACAAAAGGTGACATTTTCCGGAATTTCGGCCTGTCAGGGCGAAAAGTCAGGATCCAGGAGAAAAGAACTAGCGCTTTCGACGACACTTATTAAAGGCGGGGGAGTTGGGCTTCACGGCGGGCCCCAAGTGGCCAAATGCGTGCGAGGTTCATCACAGGTTGGGCCCCGCATTTCGGTGCTCGTTGCTTCTCTGCGACGGGGGTTATCTTTTGTGATTCGTTCATACGCTCCTACTCCCACAACTCGTCCAACGCTTTTCATACCCACCTCCTACCCCTTCACCTCTCGAGCGGTCGAGCCTGAAGCAAGATGCCTACGACATCGAAGGCGCTCGTCCTATCCGAACTCAATGCCCCGTTCGAACTGCGCGAAGTCGTCGTTGATGATCCGAGACCGGGAGAAGTGCTCGTCAAGATGATCGCGTGTGGGATTTGTCACTCTGACTTATCCGTGCAATCCGGGATTCTACCGGGCCAATTCCCTTCTTGTCTTGGGCACGAAGGGGCTGGAATGTACGTGTCGTGACTTATAGTAGTCGACCTGAGTCGCCCGGTGGCTCAGCTGACACGAGGTCACGTGCCTATCTTCAATCTTTCGCTCACCTTGCGGAACAGAGTCGAAAGCGTTGGCCCAGACGTGGCCGGTCTCGAGAAAGGTGATTCGGTTCTTCTCAGTTTCAACTTTTGCTCCGATTGTCGTTCGTGCCACGCCAACAAGACCTCGCAATGCAAGGCCTGGCTTCCGCTCAACTTTGGCCTCGCGCGAAGCGGGGAGGGCAAGTCACATTTCGCCGAGGATTCGGAGACCGGGCAGCCTATCGCCGGGTTGTTCTTCGGGCAATCTTCCTTTTCCGAGTATACTCTAGCGGCAGCGAATAGTGTGAGTAGTTGGCATACTACTGCGTCGGATAATATCTTGAACTTACATGCCATTGGCTTTCGATGCTTCCCAGTGCGTGAAAATTCCTGCTTCCTCCGAGCTTGCACTCTTGGCACCCTTGGGCTGTGGCATTCAAACTGGGTCAGCGGGAATGTATGAGCATCATTTAGCCAAGAAACCTTATTGATGTTCTCATGTCCGCCTCATAGAGCGGGCTCTGTCATGAACGCTCTCAGACCCGCTCCGGACTCCTTCGTCGGTGTCTGGGGTCTCGGAGGTGTCGGAGTCGCTGCGATTTGCGCGGCCGCGTACCTTGGCGTCAAGACCATCATCGCTATCGACATCATCCCCGGTCGCTTGGAGCTAGCTCGAGAATGTGGTGCAACGTATTGCATCAATGGGAAAACGGAGGACGTCGAAGCGAGAATCAAGGAGATCACTGGCGGCGAAATGCTTGACTTTGCGATTGAGGCTTCGGGTGTTAAAGCGTGCATGTACGCCGCTTGGGGGCTGTTGGGTAACGGAGGGAAGTTGTGCCAGCTCGGAGCATTCTCTCAAGGAACTGAAGTGTCATTGGATGTGAGCATACTCTCGGTCGCCAGTCGCCATATTTCGAGCAGCGGCAAATGCTGACATGTTTTTTCGCATGCTCAGATCAACGGTGCGCAAGTTCGACATTTATCCTTTGTTGGCAACTGTCAGTTTTTTATGCTGTTCACGTCTCCGTAGAACAATCGCGCTGACGAAGTCATTTGGTACCACAGTGGAAGGAGCCTCGCACCCCCCTACATTTATCCCTCAGTTGCTCGAAATGCGCAAGGCCGGCTTCTTGCCTCTCGAGAAATTCAGCACCCAATACCCCATCACCGAGTTCGAAGCCGCTCTAAAAGCAATGAAAGAGGGTTCCGTACGTTCTTTCCTTTTCCTTTCTGGCGCACTCTTCTGTCGGCCCGTTGCTCAAAATTGTACGGTGGTTCCTTCGACAGGTGATCAAGCCAATCCTTTGCTTCTGAAGCGGGAGATTCCCCTCAACAGTAGTCGGTTTTACCTCGCGGTTGTATTTCTTCAGCTTCAGGTTGTGTGACCGTCGTGGAACAGCGAAGCTCATTTGTTATAGTATAGTGAAAATCGGAATACCCCCGACTCGGAGGCTCCTGATCCGCGAGACGTTAGGGGATGGGCCCGCTGGTATCGCGGATTGTTCAGACCGGTCTGTTCTGGAGATCGAATATAGTAGGGGGGGTTGTCTATTGTCACCAGGGGCTTTGACCCGGCCGACTTCGTGACCACACGCCGGGCCAAGTCGAACCGCTCGTGAGGGTCTGAGGGCCGGGCGAGATCGCTCCGGCGACAATCAACTCTCAGGCTTGATCATGTGAATGTGCAAAGCTAGTGGTGATACCGAAACCACACCCCATTAGGTTATTTTTGTGCTGCCCGCCAATTTATGTTGCAGACTCACGTCATAGCCCTGGACTGTTGCTTCAAGGTTTTGCCACATTTGGTCGAGCGAAGCATAAATGGATCTGCCGAACTCGAGCCTCGAGCAATCGACGGGCCAATCACCGATCGCTCGGCCCACGCAGTCGATCATCCCCCTTCCCTATGTGGAGGCGGACTCGGGCGATCGCAGTCTGCAGACGTGGGATGTGGGTAGCATGTGGGGAACCCCACGAACGAGTCAAATTCGCACTTGACTGTCGCTCTGCGTTTGCTTTGTGATCGTTACTCTGCCACTTCCTTGTGCACACTCAGCTCTCAGATCTCAGACCTCGCTCCGAGCCGATCACTGCAAAAACGGTCAATAGCCCCAAACACCATGTCATCATCGCTCGACTTGCTGAGCTCCAAGTCCCAGATCGTCCCTTGCTATGTCGACGGGAAGCTTTTCCACGGTTCGTCCCAGTATGAGGTTTTGGACCCTCACGACAACTCCAAGGTCTTGCACCAAGTCTCGTCCATCACGGTCGACGACGTGCCCAAGATCCTCGAGACCTCGGCTCGCGCTTTCAAAACGTGGAAGAAGGTGAGCAGCAGAGATGCAGCCCGCCGAATGCCGACCGGAGATGATATCCTCTTTGCAGAGGCCCGGGTGTCTGGTTACTAATCAAGCGAGTCATTATCTGTACCGCTTTCTCAAACTCACATCTCTCTACTTTATTAGACTCCTGTGACTGAGCGGCGCAACATCTTTTTAAAGGCAGCGGCTCTGTTAAAGGAACGTCAGGGTGACTATGCCGCGGTTGAAGTCGCCGAGACGACCTCCGGTCCGGGATGGGCCGGCTTCGAGGTCTTTATGGGCATCGACAGGTGGGTCCCAGATATTACGGCCGAATGGTCAGGAGTTACGTTTTTTGAAACTTGTATTGCAATATTTGTAGCATCGAAGAAGCGGCCGCCAGTGCCACTCTTGCACTCCGAGGCGAAATCGCGACGACCGAGGCCGGGAAGCGAGCCTGTAAGCTTCGGGTCGATCCAGCTTCTCAGGAGGATATGATGCTTCGATCCGCTGACGAGATTATCTTCGGCTCATTTTAGACATCTCGAGGTGTCCATACGGCGTGGTGTTCGCGATGGCTCCTTGGAACGCCCCATTCGTGCTGAGTCAGCGAGCAGCACTCAACCCGGTGAGTTTTCACGTCTGCATTTTTGTGACGAGCAGACATTGCATCACTTCCCTCGGCATCAAATTCTTACTGACCGCTTTCGTTTCATGTCTATCATCTTGCGATCAGATCATTGGCGGAAACACTTGCATCCTCAAGACGTCAGAGATGTCGCCGAAAACGCAGTTGACGCTCGCGCAGCTCATGCACGACGCCGGTCTTCCGGCCGGTGGTGAGAATTCCTCCCAGTTTTGAAGAGAAGCATACTCTTGCGTGATCTGACTGGTTGTCCATTTCACTTTCGTCCTAGTGTTGAACGTCGTTCACGTCGCTCCCAAGGATGCTCCCGCTGTCTGTGAAGCTATCATCGCGTATGACGCCGTGGGCAAAATCAAGTAAGCCGAATTGCCGACGGGCCTGCTTCGTCGGTGCGACTGACTTAACAATTTCTTACCAGCTTCACCGGTTCAACTCGCGTCGGCTCCATCATCGCCTCTATCGCTGGCAAGCACATCAAGGTAGGTCCTTGGCCGCGCTCCAACCTGCATTCTTTTGGTGCTCTTGTAAATGACGTTTGCTCGCCTTATCGAACCTCAGCCTCTGGTCCTCGAGTTGGGTGGTAAGGCTCCTGCTATCGTCTGCCACGATGCGGATCTCAGCAAGTGAGCAAACAATTTGAACGATTTCGGTTCATCGTGAGCTCAACGCTGACAGCTCGCGATTCTTGACTCCTCAGCGCTTGCCAAGCCATCGCGTTCGGCGGGTGGATGAACTCGTGAGTGCACATGTAACTAGACGGTGACCGCGCACTTAAAAGATCAATGTTGACATCGGTAATTTCATATAGCGGTCAAGTCTGCATGGCGACGCAAACCGTCATCGCACACGAATCGATCGCCGAGAAACTTGTCGGTCTCCTCAACGAACACGTCAAGAATGTCTCCGCCGCCGGCGAAGGAGCCCCTCTCCGTGGCTTGTTCACCCAAGCTTCGGCCGAACGAGCGAAGGGTATCGTTGATGATGCGTTGGGAAAGGGAGCGAAAGTCGCTGCGGGGGAGTGGAAGGTGGAGGACAATTTGGTGCAGCCGATCTTGTTGCAGGGCGTGACGCCCAAGATGCGTGAGTGGGAGGTTGGAATACGCTCGATCGAACTTCGGCTGGCCGCAACTGAACTCCTGAAAACGCAGAAATCTACAAAACCGAGATGTTCGCACCTATCTTCTCGATCGTCACAGTAAGTGACATACGTGCTTTTTCACCACCAAGCAAATTTTGTAACAGAAGTTGATCTAACAATGCTCACAGTTCAAGGACGAGGAGGAAGCGATCCGTATCGCCAATGACCACGAGTATGGATTGTCCGCTTCGGTCTTCACGACCGATGTCGCACGAGGCATGAAGTTGGCCGAAGAAATTGATTCGGGTGCTGTACACATCAATGGCGCTTCGGTGAGTACTATTGTCGTGCCGGACAGCGGTCCGAGCGAGGCGGTGAGAGGTGCGACACCGATCGCTGACGGGTTTGGTTTGGTATGGCAGGTGCATGATTCGGCAGCGCATCCCCATGGTGGGTGGAAGAAGAGTGGCTACGGACGGTGAGTTGTGACATCAGTTCAACAAAGTAGATCAATGAACTTTCGTGTTGATCCGCGCGAGTTCGATCCTCTCGTCTCCTAGATTCAACGGCATCGAAGGCATCCGCGAGTTCATGCAGTTCAAGACCATCACCGTCAACGAACCGCACCCTTATCCTGGATTCTTATTTATGTAATTCAAGCTATGTGTAGAACGAATGAAACATATCGCTGTGTATGGTAAGCTTGCAACCCGAGGTGTCCAATCAATTGGAATCGGATTCCAATCCAGATGGATTGATGCGTCAGAGATTGCTGCAGCGCCAGCCTCAAGTTCGAAAAGGAAAAGACAGGAAAAGGGAAAGAAGTTGCTCGTCTGGGAGTGCGATCTGAGGGTACAACGTTGCTGTTCAGGCACCTCGGGCAGACATAAAAAGTACGCCTCAACAGGCGCCCGCGCAGCGCGCAGCGCCCCCCCCCCCCCCCCCCCCCCCCCAAACGCCTTCCAAGCCACAATCCCGGCGGGTTGCAACCTTGCTACCGGGCCTCAGGTAGCAGATTTGGCCCAGGTTACGCCCAATTCTCTGCTTCGAGTCCATTCTGTGTACACACAACACTCTCACAGCTGCTAGATTGATAAGGGAAGTGGGTAGTAGATGCATACCTTCCTTCATCTTTTTCTCGCATCTTTCGGGTGTCGTCAAAGTCACATGTCCGAAGCCTCGGAGTCGCACGGGATTTCGGTCCCGAGATCGAAGGGTCCGAGCACACGCGTTGGCTCGCGTTGGCGGCAGTTGGCCACGCGCGCCGAGGCCTAGCGCAACACGCGAGGGACCTTCCACTTGACCAAGAAGTTGCCGCCTCAGCTCTTTGCTTTCGCAAACAGCTCAGCTCATTGTAGCGTCGCCATCGACTGTACAGGCCCCACGGCTCGCGTTCGTCCTCTCGCTCGCTCTCGCTCATACACTTGACTCGGCGTCGCCATGCCGCCGAAGAGAAGATACCGCTCCGTGTTCAACGTTCGGCTGCCAAAGTCCAAACCGTCGGACCACCCCGACCACCCCCGACTTTGACCTGCAGGATGCCTTTCTGCCTATCAACTACTCAACCCCCTACAGAACCTTCGTCGGCAAAGGTGGTCGTAAAAGGAAAAAGAAAGAGCCACCCAATGCGAGCTCGTCAACAGCACCCACGCCCACGTCCACTTCCAGCTCCGCGTTGTCCACATTGCTCCCCCCCCCCCACAACACGAACTCATCCCAGGCGCTTCGGCCTCACATCACACTCATGCAAGCGACATCACCCAACAAGATCGGGACGACCTTGGGCAGGAAGGAGTGCGGGTCGATGAGAAGGACTTGGGTGGGATCGACCTCCTTGCGTCGGAAAACGCGCTGGGATCGACTGTTTACACGCGTGTCGACAACTCCGACTCGCCCCCACACTCCACCCACCGACAACTCTACGAGTCTGCGCGCCCTGCGCAGCCCGCGCTCACTCCGCCCAACACTGCCAGACGAGAAGGCTATCTCAAGTACATCACGCTTGACGCTGAGCTTCGGAAATCGCTCCGTGCCAAGCTGTTTGGTCGCTTCCTCGAGTTTCGCCACCACAGCAAGCTCCATCTACGACCGCTCGTATCGGAGGACGATCTCGATGACCACGATGCTCCGCCGCCATGTGCGTGCAGTTGCAGACTCACTCGCGAGATCATCTTGTACGATGTGACGGCATGTACGTGACAAGGCAGCTCAGCTTCACTGTCCCGGAGTTTCAGTCACGAACCGAGCACTGATGCGCGTCTCCCTCTTTACCTGTGCCTTCAGTCTACAAATTGCAGGTCACCTTCTGTGCATCCGAGGCGCGGTGTGCTACGGACGTCGAACGCTTGGCCCAACTAGGCTTCATCTCTTCGACCGCTTTGATGCCGATGACCGCCTTCTCATTTCGACTGGTCGAGCAGGCCCACGCGAGCTGGAAGGTCAACCCACGCGCTCTCACCGGCTATGCGGACGGCCTCAAAGAGTTTTACTCCCGTTGTGGGTGGGGTCGAGGTCACTACACGGGACATCCTTGGGTGAGTTTCAGACGGCGCCATCGTTTTAGGGGCACATGCTTAAAGCCTGCCTTCCGCGCATGCAGGACAACGACCTTCGGAAGCAACTGCAAAGGGCGATCGACGAGTTCCGCGCTCTCGAAACATGCGAGAAGGCCGACAGCGGGGACCTTCTTGTAGGAACCGTCGATTCGTATTCCAACAAGTGTCCCGCGTGCTTCGGGCCAACACGGCAAAATCAACCTTGTCACGACGTCACATTGGATGGCGTGCTTGCATACGACGGCAACTTTCAGCAAACGCGTGAGAAAAACTCGAAGCACGACGTCCAAGGAATCGTTCCGGACAGTTTCTTGAGTGAGGAACAAGTTCAGGCGATGAAGGCCGAGGTTGAAGCTTCGGTACGACCGACCAAAAAGGTGGGTAGTGCCGCTCTTTGCAGTTGCCTTAATGGGATCGCTTACCTCTACACCCACCCATCGTCATAGGCGTGCACAGAGTCGTGGAAGGCTGCTGCCGACGACGGAGCTGGCTCTACCTCGTCACCAGTAGTCGACACCGGACTCGTTGCCTGCGTATGCCGTCATGATGTAAACCTGAAGATGGTCAATCTTGAGAGGTCTGGTGAAGAGTGAGCGCGGAGCTGTCTGGCGGGACTTGGTCGCTTCCGCTTTCCTCTCTTCTCAGCTCGATCGGCCGATCATTTTTTTCGGCGCGGGAGGGGATCGAGGAAGGGGGCTTGAGCCGGGATTGTATTTCTTTCTTTCAAATTGGAAGGATTCCGTTGATGCAAATCTAGACTCTTTATGGTACATGGGGTCGCTCAGCTGCGAAAGGCGCTGACTGCTCCCGCCTCTTGGACCCCTATCTGCGCGAGTCTCAGTTGTCGTGCGATAACGTCATTCATCTTCCGCCGGCGTGCTCGCAGGAGAGCGGAAACAGAAAACGTGCGCGCGTGGGCAGCGGCTGCTCTCCGGCTTCCTTCTCTCGTGCATGCGACTCGTTCGTCGTCCTCTACGTCCGTCCAGCCTCTTCCGTCGTTCCTTCTCGCCCAACATGGTCTACGCCAACTACCCCAAGTTGATGGAGAACCCGCCTTTGGTTGGTCCGTAGCCGATTCCTGGGAGACGACGGCTTGCGGAGCTCAGAACACTGATTCGGTTATAGGATTCTTGGATCCCGGCCAGGTGTTATCGGTGGATCTGGCTTGTACAAGCTCGATAACTTTACGATCCAGCATACGATCGATGTTGATACTGTGCGTTGAACCTCAATATACACCGTGGAACCCATGACCGCTGAATAAGAGCTGATGCTCACCTCTCTCCCGTAAAATAGCCGTGGGGCAAGCCATCGTCCCCCCTGACCATCGCGACCCTCTCGCGGCCCGATCGACCCGGCCAAGACGTCTCGGTCGCCTTCATCGCTCGTCACTCGCCCAACCATGCCATCACGCCTAGTCAGGTCCCTGCGAGGGCCAACATCGCCGCGTTGAAGCATTTGGGCGTGCAGGCCATCGTCGCTTTCTCCGCTGTCGGGAGCTTGAGGGAGGAGATCAGGCCGTGAGTCTGTTTGTAAGATCGGGAGGATGGTCGACCCGCGTTTCGGAATGCTGACGATCCCGCTCTGGTTGGCTCGCAATTCCCTAGTGGAGATTTGGTCGTGCCCGATCAGATCATCGACCGAACCAAGGTCCGGTTCCCGTTTTTCGTCCTTCCTTGACTACTTCATCTGACTCTTTCCTCCCTTCCATATCCCTCCAGGGCATTCGTCCTTCAACCTTCTTCGACTCGTCTCTAGTCGGCCACGCCATGTTCGGCGAACCCTTCTCCGTGACCCTGTCCCAATTCCTCCTCCCCCACATCCAAACCGCGCTCGACTCGTTCTCTTCGAACGTCCAAGACGGTGATTCGAAACCACGTCTACACTCTGAAAAGACCTTGATCGTGATGGAAGGTCCACAATTCTCTACTAGGGCAGAGAGTAACGTTTATCGCATGTGGGGTGGGGATATCATCAACATGTCGACGATCCCCGAGGCGAAATTGGCGAGGGAGGCAGAGTTGAAGTGAGTGGATTGAGAGTGTTCTTCTTCTGTGTGGAACTTGCAAAAGTGGGTGAAACGGCGGTCCCATTGATCCTTGTTATTTACTCTCATATAGTTACGCGCTCGTTTGTACGTCGACGGATTATGACGCTTGGCGCGTAGGTCACGCACCCGTCACCGTTGAAGAAGTGATGAAAACGCTTTCGAACAACGCCTCGTTGAGCAAACATATCACCGCCGAGATCTTGGGAAAAGTTCATGATGCTTTGAGTAAAGGCGAGATCGAGAGTGCCAGGGGAGGGATGAAGTGGAGCTTGATGACGAGGCATGAGTTCGTCAAGCAGGAGGATTTGGATAGGTATAGGTATATCTTGCCGGAGTATTTTGGAGGGGAGGGGGAGGCGGAGGCGAAGAATTAGTGGGAGGTTGATGGGTCTGGGATGAGGTATCTTGGTAGAGGGTAGCCATGGTCGTGAGCAGCTTTTCGATCTTGAGATTGTAAGGCTTGTGCCGAGGAGGTTGATATAGGAACCATCTTTGGGTTATTGGCCTTGGTTATGCTTGCTGTTACATATACATACATGCACTGCCCATACACCTTACGAACCTACACCGAACGTTTCTACTCCCTTCCAAGATGGGCGTGCGGCGTGCCTCGCCTCGCTCACTCCAACTTGTCCAAATAATCCAACCGATCCAAAATGACGGCCTTGCTCGTCTCCTCCACTTCTCCGGCCAGGAAGATCTCGTCCAAGATGGCGTAGACTTTGTAAAAGTGAAAGACGAGGTCGAGTTCACACACGTTGCCGAAGAAGGCGTCTGTTCGGACGTCGGGCGGGATAAGAGGAAGGGGAAAGGTTAGTTTCACGACTTGGGGGCAGGTATCAAATCAAAGGGGAGGGGCGTACCTAGTACTTCGACGAAGAGATGAATCGCCTCGAGCCATACGAGTTCGTTGTCGTTCGCGTCGACGCAAAAGGTGAAGAAGAGGCCCGCGTAGCGACGGTACACGATCTTGTGGTTCCGGAACTGCGAGTCGGATATGAAGAGGAAGAAGAGTGGAGAGGTCAGTAGGAGAAAATGAAAAGTTGTGGGGGGAGTAGAAGGTGGGTCGGGGGTCTTACTTCGGCAAAATTGGATTGGTACTTTTGGTCCCTCGGCGCGATGAGACGGTGGATCTCGCCGCGCATCGATTGTTTCTCTTGGTCGTCCAGGGGAACATCTGACAGATTAGTGGGTGTTCAGCTTTATTTCAGGATGAAAAAGATCACGCAGACTCCATCCTCGCGGGCACAGGGGCTCCGGGATCGAAGGTCGTACACCATCCCCGAGCTGAGGTGGGGGGGGGGGAAAGGGAGAGCACGGGACTCGGGATAGATAGAATGTGACCACTGCTTACACCACTTTGATAATCGTGTCTTTCCTTGCCGGTTCTAGATGAAGCGTTTGCGTCGGTCGTACCAAGTGGAGAATAGGAGGTCAGTAGGTCGTACGACCGAGTGGCCGATGATGACGATGAGATGGGCGGGGGAAGCAGCTTCAGCTGTTGACTCAGATGCCAGGGAAGGTGGGTATGCTCGACTGACCTGGACGAGAATGAAGCGAATCATAGTGAGGTAGGTCGTACGACGTCGTACCAGTGGGGAGCCCGAGGCGGGGAAAGGAGGTGAGCAAAGCGTGGCTGAGCGAGGGAGCCGAGGCGCGTCATTCGTGCGGTCACCGAACGTGGCCAAACTCTGCCAAACTTAACCAAACGTCGTACAAGAAGCGCGGCGGAAGCTGGCTGGCTCTTCGCGCTCCCTCTTGCCGTCCACCGCGCTGCACATCAACCGGCTGACGACGATGACCTCCCCGCGAGTACAACTGCAACCACCGGCACCGGCGCACACGACCTTGCAGTCGGCATGGAACCCACTCGCGCCGAACCAACTCGTGCTCGTGCCCACACCCAAGAGTGGTGCGACCCCTACCGCTAGCACTCCGCAGCAACAGCTCCTGTACTATGCTTCCCAAGGAGCCTCGACCTCGGCTGGGCAGACAGCATCGTCATCAGCTTCGTACGGTAGGAACTTCGTCGTCAGCACATGGACGCTCTTCGCTTCGTTGCAAAAGATCGCGAGGCAGGAACAACAGAACCAGCTCGCGATCAGGCGCACCCACAACGGTCGTTTGGCAGCTGATGAACACGGTCGATCGAAGGAGACGATAAAGTACTACAATCGCATCTCCAAGCTGTACAGAGGCGCCGTGGTGGACGAGTGGAACACGATACAGGTAGGGAGGCACATCGGCTTCGATCGAGCGCGCGCGTGCAGCGCCACAAGCTCATGATCATGCCACTCTCTTTCTACAGGAAGGATCCACTTCAACGTCAATCCAGCCGCACGAACTTGCGCTTTTGCATTCGACCCTGTCCCTGACCGAGATCCTCTACCTCCCTCAAGACGGCCACGGTCAAGGCGTCGTCGGTGAAGAGCTACTCGATTGGCTCAACACCCTCGACCCTAGTCCTTCCAAGGAACAGGGCGAGGCTTTGGCGGATCTCGCAAGACCTTGGGAGACGGACGACCAGTTTTGGGATTATCTCTACAAGTCAGTCCTGTCTCGGCTTTCAGCCAAGCCGATGATGAGAACGACGTTCTGAATTACCTCGGGGTTGCCACCACAGGTCCATCCTTCGTGCCCACCTCGTTTCGGCGCAAGCTCTACTCAACCTCTTGGCGTCTCACCACCCTTCCGCATGGGTCCAACGAACGGCGACCCGGGCGGTCGACCTCGTCGCTTCCTTCCCTCGATCGACCCAACACGAGTCCGAGATGGGCTTCGAAAACGCTTTCCGCAACTGGAGGGCGAACGCGATTCGTCTTGCGGCCAAGTTCCGTTCCGGCGTTGAGGATGACGCCGAATTGGGTGAGGACGACGAGGAGAGGGAACGGTGGCTACAAGGCTTCGAGGTGGTCTTTGGTCTGCTACAGGGTGATCAAGAGGTCGTTCTAGACCAGTGCGAGGACTGGAGGGAGCGTCTTTGTACCTGGGGCGTATGGGTCGATCCTCTCTTCAAACGAAGCGAGGTCGATCAAGTCCTAGGATCGGAAAAGGCGTTCGTCAAAGGCGAGGAGGAAGGTGGGGCAGGGTTCAGGGACGCCGAAGAGGAGGTGCAGTACGCTTTGTTCAAGGGGGATGTGCCGAGGGCTTTGAAGGTCGTTCATCGCGTTTCGGGGTGGTTGGCCGCTCATCTCTCGGACCTATTGGACAAAGTCGGGGTCGTGCAACCTCCGCCTTTGGAAGGTGCGAGCGATCCGGATACGGAACAGACCAGGTTGAGGGATTGGTTCGTTATGCGGTACGCGGAGGAACTTTGGGAAGCCGATGCGGGGCTGTGGAGGGTCGTGGTCGACTACTTTGGGAGTGGGTGTGGGGAGGAAGGGAGGGTCAGAATGGGAAAAGTTCTCAGAGGGGTCGATATTTTCACTGAGCCGGACGAGGGGAAGGAGATCGAGGGAGAGGGGGAGGGTGGGGACGAGGAAGGGAATGGGAAGGAGAGACTCGTCGAGGAGGTATTGGCGACGGCGGCGGAGCACGGTCTGGAAGACGACGTTGTTGAGATTTGCAAGGTGCGCTCTGGAAATACGTCTTATCGAATATAGTATTCCCAAAGCTAACCTCCATCGCCTCTCCGTTCCCTCAGACCTACTCTGAGCACCTCATCTCACTCTCCCGCTACGGCGCTGCGCTTGCATTTTGCATCCGTTCAGGCGACCTCAAGCGCGTATCTAGGATCGCCGATCGGATACTGGACGAATACCTCACGAACGGACAGGATGCGTTCGTGCGCTGCGTTGATGAAATTCCCGTGTCGTTGTTGAGACCTTCGAAGGGACGGAGGGAGGCGTCGATGCTGGGAGAGGAGATCACGTCGGATGAGGAGATGGATAACGAGTCGGACCTTGATACGATACATCAGGACGATTTCGACGAAGAAGAAGAGGAGGACCGGCCTTCTCTCGCCCCCTTTTCAACGCGCCTCGCTTTCCTCGCCCGATATCGCGACTTTTTCGCTCTTTACGCAAAGGGGGAGCGAAGACAAGCCGCGAAACTCCTCTGTCTCTTGCTGAGCTCCAACGTCGCTCCCAAACCCATCTGGGCAGTCCTTTTGGTGGATTCAATCGGTCTGTTATTGGACGAAAAAGAGGACCGACCCTTAGTCGACGTGGAAGAATGCTACGAGTTGATGCGCTGCTTGGAAGAGATCGTCCTTCCCATACTCGCGGGCGACGGGGGCTTTGATGATGTCTATGGGCATTTGGACGCTTTGGGCAAGTTGATGAATGGTGGGAAAAGGGTTGAGATGGGGGAACAGAAGAGACGGAAGGAGGTGGTGAGGATGGGCATGAAGCAGTTGGACGTGGTCAGGGGGGCTTTGGCGAGGTGTTTGGCTAGGGGTGTATGTGAGGTTTAGAGAAGGAGGGAGAAGGGTCATTGCTTTGGAACTATTGTCGATTTCCGTTGCGGAGAAGGGTACTCAGAACTCTCTTGGGAGCAAGCGAGGTTTCAAGCAGGGGGAAAAAAGTGGTGCGGTGGCAATGCGCTGTTTGCCTGAGAGACCCCTGTGATGCCCGAGGCATAGCGAAAAGGGCACACGCGCGAATGAATCTTCTTTTCGGAAACAGGGAAAGTGCGACAAAATGGGGGAAGGGGGGGATCGTGAGGTATTGAATAAGTCAACAAAGCGCTGCGGTGAGTTCCGTCGGCTGGGATGTCCGAAAGTACCGTGAAAGGTACAACGGGCGGGCTTGAGATGGGTTTGGTACTATGGGGGTGGAGATGATATACACGAGGAGAGAAATAAGCGCTCATCATACGAGAATGCCACTCTCGAAAATTGGCCTTGATCGCCAAAGTCGAAGTTCCCGAAGCGCGGACGGCCCCCGAAGGAACGAACCGTCCACTTTGAAAAAGGAGGCATTTTCCCCCCAGCTCCATTTAGGCCGCTTTTCTGGCCGTTGGGATCGCGTCTCCCGACCGCTGCTCGAGTGACGTTTCGGTAAGAAGAGCACTTTATTCGCGAGACCGGGTAGGAGAAATTTAGATGAGAACACACATTGGCTCAGGTTGGGGGGGTGTTCCCATCGAGTCACGAGCGAGGCGTCATTTCGCTCCTTCCGCTTTCTGCTTGCGTTTCCTTCGTCGCGTACTGTCCTACCTCCCGCCCGACTCAATACAGACAATTTCACAGCCGGAATTGTGTTGGGGCTTGCAGGAAGGTCTCGTGCCTCAAAAGCGGGTAGGCCCGAACATCCGGATAGACGAGCATCGTCGTAACCTCGCCTCCTGAGGGGATTGTTCCTCCCGGAGTGGAACGGTTCGGCGACGGGCGAGACTTTCGTCGACGCGGGCAGAGGCTTCAAGTAGCAACGTAGGGAATGGATCCTTCGCTTGCCCAAGTTTACGAAGTTGAAGAGGACACATGCGGAAGTCGATCGATCTCGAAGCGGGGTCATCTTTACGTGACACAGCGAAGAAAGAATTGCCAAGCGATGATGCATGCGAAGGGGCCACAACGAGAGATCAGATAATCAGGTTACAACATATTTTCCCTGAATCATTCTCAACATTCCGAAGGTTCTCTCCCCTGTGATCACCTCCTCACCAGCTCCCCCGCCCAAGTACTCAAATCGACCAATCTCACATCCCCACTTCCCCAAACCCCCTCCCCTTCTACCCCTCTCTTCCGTTCCTGTTCCCTGCTCAGATCCCCCCAAAATCGATTCGTCGATTTCTTGAACGCCCATATCTCAATGTCCCAATTGTGCGCTAGGGCGTGACGTACGCAACCGAGGAATCCGGAGGGGTTGTATTCGGATGATTTGGCGTCGCCTGAGACGAGGATCATCAGCGGACGCGGTGACGACGTGGTGGTGGTGGTGATTGGTGGTTGGTGAGGTGTTGATTGAAATTCGAGGATCGCCTCGAGGATCTTGAGATGGAGCAGTTCGTCGACTGCTTGTTCTTTTTGGAGGGTCGTGATGGGACCGTCGGGGTCGGAGGAAAGGACTGAGCGACGAGGTACGCGTTGGAGGATCGAGACTTCGTAACCCTGTGAGTGAATGAATGATTCAGTGAGGTGGTTTTGATATGCCCTTGAGCGACTTTGAAGCAACTCACCCATTTGACGGCGTCCTCGACACCTTGTTTCAAGAGCGAGCTCCCTACCAAAACCCTCTTCTTCACGCGACTTCCCATTCCTCTTTCGAGCAAGGCGAAGAGGATGTCATAGTCGAGGTAATACCTTGTCCCGTCGATGACGTCCTCTCGTACTCGACGCGCAAGACGAGAGGCGAGAGAGACGTTCTTAGAAGGAAAGGTTTGGCCTAGCCATCGATGGAAGGAATGGATGATGTTGGAGTTGTCGACGAAAATGTCAACGCGGGGGCGGAGGTTCAGACCGCCTGCTGTGGTTGAGGTCGGAATCGGGAGGGAGGCGGTCAACAGCGCAGTAGGCGTTGATGTCGGGATCGCTCCGGGCCAGAAACCGTATCCGATCGATCGATAAGGTAGAGGCTGCTTCATAGCCTCGCTCGAAAGGGCCATGCATGACGAGGGACGGAAGAAGGCCTCTTGCAATACTGGTCCGACTTCAGCGGGGAACCATTTACGCAACTTGCGATGCGCTGAAAGTCGTCGGTCGAAAGCGGTGCGATGGAGAGAGGGAGGTGGAGCCAACGTCGTCAAAGGACTCGAAGGGGCGACATCTGAGGATCGGAGCTGGCGCTTGAGGGATTTGAGACGCGAGGCTCCGACGGCGATGGGGGTGCTGGGAGCGAGGGAAGGGCGGGACCGGATGTAGACGCCTTTGCCTGTCGATGGGTTGACAAGGATGCCCGTTTCTGGGTCGATGGCCGTGGTGGGGTGTGGGGACCGGGCAGGTGGGCTAGAGGGGAAGAATTCAGGACACGCATTCAGGAAGCATTTCAAACGAGTTCAACAGATCACGAGAAGAGAATGGCGAGTGCTCACGTAGCTACTTCTCCTTCTTCCCCCTCGGACGTTGGATCCGGCACATCGACCGGAACAGCCGAAGCACTCCTCGCTCGTCGGATGACCCTCACCCGATGATGAAGAGGCACAGATGTAGGAGCAAGACCAGAAGGCGATTGTGCAGGAGAGGATAGATCAAGAAATGGCAAAGGGATGGGACGCCGCAATGGATAGAGAGCACCTACAGTAGGGCGAGTGGGGAGGGGTTGGAAGGAGTATGTGGAAGTGGAGGCCGAGACAGCAGGGGTGTCTGGCAACGTGGCAAGGGAAGGGGGATCGCGAGTGGCGCGTTTGGCGCGTTCGACTTCGGTGTCGCTCGAAGGGTCGAGAGGTCGCTTCCCTCGAGCGCGTGCGGAGAGAGATGCAGCAGTGGTCAACGGAGGGAAATGAGTTGAGGCGAAGGGGTCGTTGAGGACGGGGGCAGGGGCGATGGGAGGTGTCGGATCGGGCTGCTCGACGATGATCATCTCGTCGTCATGGTCTTCGTCGTCGGACGAGTCGTAGAGGTAGGATTCGCCATCCGAAACATCAACGAGGTCAATAACGTCTTGGAAGCGGCGTGATCGAGCGGATACAGGGTCGAGATGGGAATGCGTGCCGTCGCGCGGATCGTAAATGAAGACGTCTTGGTCCGAGTCGTCCGAGGAAGGCAGCGGTGAATGAGAATCCTCTTCATCATCTTCGTCGTCGTCGTCGCGTGACGCGGGAGAGTGTGGGTGTTGGTCGACAATGACGGTCGGCTCGGATTCCGGTGTCGGTGATCGGCTCGAGTCGTCAGAGTTCAGGATGCGGGCGTGCTCTTCGAGGTGACTGAGCTCAGCTGGGCGATCGTCAGAGCTGATGTCCATGTCCTCGGACACCGGCTGAGCCTGTGATTGTGGTTCCTGGGTAGGCGATCGACTCGATTCGGCTGTTGCTGTTGCTGGAATGGTATCTGGTATCGGGATCAAGGTCTGCCGTACGAGCTCGTCGTCCGACGAGTCGTCGAGATGAGGATCGAGCAGCGTGATCTCGGGCGGAGTTGTGCGATCCGGAGGTTCGAGCGGGGTGGGTTCAGCACGAGGCGGGGACGGGAACGTCTCTACCGGGACGGCGGCTGGTGGCGGTGGAGAGGGGCCCTTGCTCGTCTGCGCCTCCTCGTCGTTCGTGGCCACGTGCTGCTCCGCGAGCCAGGCCTGCGACGGCACGAACTTTTGCGTCATGGCGAAATGCGGCTTATCCTTTTGGAGCCATCTTTTGTGTTGGCCATGGTTGGTCGTGCTGGTCGTGCTGGTCGTCGTCGTCGGTGTAGGAGGCGCATTGAGGTCCAGCGTCGTCGAGGTCGATGTAGAAGGGTCATCTTGGGCGGTGGACTTGCGTCGCTTGTCCCGCTTCCTTTTGTTCTTCTTGAGCTTGGGAGCCGGGACAAGGTCGAGATACGGATCGGCCATGGATCGTGCGGCACTCGACCGCTCGAACGGACCGACGCAGAGCCGTGATCATCAGAACGCCCAAGTCCCGAGCGCGCCCTATCACGCACTATTAAGCTCATTATCACGCAGGTGCCGCTTCAATGTGGCGCCTAGAACCTTCTAATCCGGGCGCGCAACTCTGCATTAGCATCCTCGGGAATGCCTCTTGAGCGCCCCAGCGCCGAATTAGTAATCGAAAGCTATCAGTCGAAAGCTTGGCTCCAAGTTGACTCCATGCGGTCCCAACCCTGTTTCCCTTTCTCTCCTTCTCCTTCTCCTCCCCTCCTTCGTCGCTCCGAGGCTCTCTCTGTCACTTCTGCTACCGGAGAAGCGAATGCTCCCCACTTCGAAACGACTGCTTAACCAAGTCGCCCCATCCACTACTCGCCCCTTTGGCTCGCTCGCTGCTTCCAAGTCCACGTCCACGTCATCGTCCACGTCATCGTCCACGTCATCGTTCCTCCCCGCCGCCGTTCGGGCTCGTCGAAGAAACCCGACTTGGAGCTCTACACTCGCCGCATTCGGGTGCGCGACCGCTCTACACTTTCGAACCTTCGCAACCCACACTCACAACACCTCCCCCCCCTTGTCCTTCACCGGATCGGGAACGATGTCCACCACCTCCTATCCGACCCCGACCCCACCCGTCTCCCCCCCTCAATGGTCACTCTACACCCCTTCCTACATCAACCAAGTCCTCAATGACCAAATCAACCGAACCAAGTCCTCCCTCGATCAGATCGGTTCCTTGAAACCCGAAGACTGTACCTTCGATGCGACGGTCAGAAGGATGCAATTCGAGGATGGAGAGACCAGTCGCGTTTTGGAACCGGCGTTGTTCCTGCAGTACGTCGCGCGGGAGAAGGAAGTGAGGGAGAAGAGCGTAGAAGCGGATAAGAAGTTTCAGGTGCGTGCGCTTTCTTTCTCGGATTTTAAGGATCAGTTGGAAGAGCGAGCGCAACTGATCGATCGTGAACGCACGTCACCAGGATTTCGCACTTGAAGCCATGACCAGGATTGATGTTTATCAGGCTCTGCTTCACACTCAAGATAACATCAAGAAGCAAGGTCTCAAGCTAGAACCGGAGGAAGAACGCCTCTTGGACAAGATGATCCTCGATCGCAAGAGGGCAGGTCTGGGTCTCCCCGAGGACAAGAGGAACGAGTTGCTCAAGTTGCGCCAAAAGATCATGGCGCTCGAAGTCGATTTCCAAAAGACGTGCAATGAGGAAAACGGCGCCTTGTTCTTCACGAAGGAGGTGAGTACAGGATTGGGAGTGCCAACGTGGGAGCTCTCGTCGAGTATTGATGCGCTTTCCCCTCTGTTTTTGGCTGCCCGTAGGAATTGGATGGCGTGCCCGAAGAAGTCATCAGTGGCTATCCTAAAGGAGAGGACGGCAAGTACAAAGTTACCTTCAAGACGCCCGACGTCATTCCCGTCTTGTGAGTCCTAGTCACTTGTCGAACATGGTCTCGAAGCAACGAGCTGACACTAGGCCTGTATCGTCGGACCGGCAGTAAATACGCTCATTCTTCAGCGACGCGTAAAGCCGCGACGTTGGGCTACGAAGGCAAGACCCTTTCGAATGCCCCCTTGCTCGTCGAAATCGTCAAACTTCGTCAACAAGCGGCCCAACTGCTCGGCTACGCCAATCACGCCGCTTTCATCCTCGAAGAAAAGATGGCCAAGACCCCGGAGAACGTCTTTGAGTTTTTGGATGACTTGAAAAAGAGGTTGATGCCTATTGCGAAGAAGGAGAAGGAGAACTTGTTGAAATTGAAGAAAGAGGTGGCGGAGAGGACGGGCGAGGCCTACGAGGACGAGTTGTACCTTTGGGATTCGAAGTATTTGGATCGGCTTTTTGTGGAGAGGAATTTGAAGATTGGTGAGTTCCGATTCACGGCAATTGGTGTGCGTTTTACTGATCACCATACTGACGTGTATATTTTGGGGACTCGCAGACGAGGAAAAGATCAAAGAATATTTCCCCGTCGCTAAAGTCGTTCCGGCCGTACTGGGTTCGTGACTCGTCGTCGTACTCGAGGATATGCCCCAAGAAGCTGACCCTCATCGTATACGATCGTCGGCGGACAGATCTCTATCGCCGTCTGTTGAACGTGCAGTTCTTCCGTGTCCCGAATGCTGATGTGTGGCACGAAGAGGCTGATATGTGAGTTCCGAGTTGGGAACCGTGGGTGGCGAGGAGTCGGGATGCTGATGTCGGATTCGCTGTGATCAGGTACGCCGTCTGGGACGCCGGAAATGGCCAAGACGGCAAGCTCGGCAAGTTCTTGGGCTACATGCACCTCGACCTTTTCCCCCGCGAGAACAAGTGCGTTCGTGTCTTTCTGTGTCGAAGCCTCGTTTCCCCGAGCTGATTTGGCCGAGGGCCGAATATTCCAGGTATGGACATGCCGCCGTGTGGGGCTTGATCCCCGGATGGACGGGCGCGAAGGGGGAACGCAATTACCCCGTTGTGTGCATGGTCGCGAACCTCGCCAAACCGACACCTACTCGACCTGCATTGATGAAGCACAGCGACGTCGTCACTTTCATGCACGAACTAGGTCACGCCTTCCATGGCTTATGCTCCGAGACGCAATTCCCTCGATTCCACGGTACGGCCGTCTCGAGGGATTTCGTGGAAGCTCCTTCGCAGATGTTGGAGAATTGGACTTGGACGAAGGAACAGCTGCGCGAGTTGAGTAGTCATTTCGAGAGGGAGGGGGAGAGGTTGGGCGATGAGGTGATTGAGAGTTTGGTGAAGAGTAAGAATGTGAATCAGGGGTTGTTCAATTTGAGGCAGTTGCACTTTGGGTTGTATGATAGTGAGTCGCGAGATTTGGGGGAACAGTGGTTTGGTGTTTAGTTGGGTTGGGATACTGACGTGTGTTTTCACTTCATTGATCGCAGTGAAAGTGCATACGACCGACGTTAACTCGGACTTGACCAAGTTGTGGTGCGACCTTCGAGAACAAGTGACCCTCGTCTCCTCCAAGGGCGAATACGTGGGCGGGCAAAGCGGCTTCGGTGAGTCCCGCACGTTTCAGCATCACGCGTCCCACGATGCAGACGAAGGTGATGTTGAATAGCGTTCGGAGGTACTTTACAGCGCACATCACGGGGGGTTATTCGGCGGGGTATTATGGATATTTGTACTCGCAGGTGTTTTCGGCGGACATGTTCGCGACGGTGTTTGAGCAGGATCCGATGAACGCAAAGAGGTACGGGACATGCCCACATATATATCGATCAGTTTTCAAAAGTATCACTGACCTTTGATCGTTCCCCACTTTCTTTGTTCGGACAGTGGTCTGGCCTATCGGGAGAAGATCCTGCGTCCTGGAGGCTCGAGGGACGAGATGGACTCGTTGAAGGATTTCTTGGGCCGGGAGCCGGACAATAGGGCGTTCTTGAAAGAGTTGGCGCAGGGGGTTTGAAGAGGGTGTGGTGGAAAGGGGAGAGAGGGTCCTTAGGTTGGGATTGAGACTTGAAGGAATGTTGGTCATGATAGTTTGGGAACGAGTGTTTTGTTTTTGGAGAATTAAAGAGTGCTCGCTGCCGAGGCTCGTCAGAGGCCCCCCTCCCTGCGGCGACTTGGGATGAATGGGTGTACGAGCTGAAAGAGAGAGTCCGAGTGACGATCTTGACTCCAAGGTTTGACTCGAGGGCGATCCGGTGTAACATGTCAATCAATGAGACGAGAGAGCTCATCTTCGGACTTGATGCGAGTCGATTCTAATGAAGGAAGCCGAAGTCTAACTTAAATTGCGAATTACCGTGCCGATGACCCATTCCGGCTGACTGGGCGCCGCTTTGGAGTTTCCGCCCACAACACTAGACTACACTCTGCTTCACTGCGCGCTCGGCTCCGATCAATCGCGCCTCAACTGTCCCCACCACTGTCCGTGATTTGGTCACCGTGTCTCGCTCTTGGTTGCACCCGCTTGTACGATACTTGACCTCTCCCGAATCGGCTCATCGTGAGCGCCAGGAACCTCCACAGGCTTGGGAACTTGTTCGGCTCGACGACGAGCACGACGACGAGCACGACGACGAGCACGACGACGTACGATCACCACCTCCCTTGCAGTCGATCCGGCTCGTTGAACGACTCGAGAGGTTCGGCAGTATGAAGTTTGCGCATTCGTTGGTGTTCAACTCCGTCCCCGAGTGGACGAGTCATTATCTCAAGTAGGTCAGCCTCCGCGTCCGAGTTTCGATGATAAGGATCAGCGCTCAGCCTCCCCCAAAACCCCAAACTGATCGTTCCCATCGGTACAACAACTACAGCTACGAAGCGCTCAAAGCGGCCATCTACCGTTTCGAGAAACAGCAACTCGCTCCCCCTCCGACCGAATACACCGATCTCGAACGAGGAGCGGACTCGCCTCTGCTAGGCAATGGCAATGGCAATGGCGCAAGTGCCAACCGCGCATCGAACGACAAGCTCTTCACGCGCTTGCTCGATCAAGAGTTGAACAAGATCACTGAATTCTACGTCGCCAAGGAGAGGGAGCTGTTGGGTGATCTCGCCTTGTTGCAGGCCGACGTGGACAGGATCGAGGATGAGACCTCCCATTTGAGTGGGCAGGGCATGACGTCCGGTGCATCCGATTCGGAGGACGATCGTCAGGATGACGACGAGGAAGGGGACGAAGGCGTCGCAGCCAAGACGAGCAAGATGCTCAAAGGCGCGATCGAACAAGTCTTCTCGAATCCAAGGAATTATGATGCCGCGAATAGGGAGGCGAGGAAGGCGAGGCGGAAGAGGGCCAGCTCATTCTCTAGGTCCATCGAGGGACTTTCGGGTGGCGAAGGCTCGGGAGGGCGAAGGAGGGCGAGAGCGCTTTCGAATGCGAGTGCGACGTCCGGCGACCTGTTGGGCATCGACGACATTCAGGAAGAGGAACAGGCGCAGAATGGTGGGGCCCACTCGGCCGAGTTCGGCAGAAGGGCGGTGAGAAAGATCGGGTCCAAGTCGTTCGGCACGCCATCGAGGAAACGAGATTCGAGTCGTTTTACGACGGGCAGTATTGCCAATGAGGATGATGATGATGGGGTCTTTGGTGGGACGAGCGATTGGGCAATCGATACGAGGATCATGTACAAGAGGAGGATCGCGGCGCTCTTTACGGTGAGCTCCGGTGGTTACGGCTCTGCGGTTCGCAGGTAGAGCTCATGAGCTCATCCCTTCCTCGAGCCCCGTGCAGGCCCTCTCCGAGCTCAAGCAATACGTCGATCTCAACTACACTGGTCTGAGCAAGGTCCTGAAAAAGTGAGGACAGAGGTTTAGGCCAACTCAAAAGGAGCATCAGCTGAACCGCAGCGGTACTCCTTCACAGGTATGACAAGATCACCAACTCCAAGCTGCGATCCAAGTACATGTCCGAGGTCGTCGACTTGACCTTCCCGTTTGAAGCCGTCACGCAGGAACGTCTCTCGTCCGCGATCAAGGTGCTCGTCCCGCTTTACGCCAACCTCGCGACGGGTGGCGACATCGATCAAGCGACGAAGCAGCTCAATGCCCATTTGCGCGAGCACGTCGTCTGGGAACGCAACACCGTTTGGCGCGAGATGATTGGTCTTGAACGACGAGGGTGGGGTGCTGGGACAGGCGCACCGAAGCGAGCAGCAACGGCGATGCCGATCATCAAAGGGGACGAAACGAAGAGCGCCGAAGGAGTGGCGAGTCGGTCTTGGCTGCCTGCGTGGCTCAATACCCAGGTTGTTGGGGGTAGTTTCGCGGTGCTGCTGTTCTTGACGTTGCTCAACCTCGAGCTTTTTGATCGCGTCGAGGAGGGCAACTGTTTGGCGTTGCTGGCTTTCGTCACCATCTTTTGGGCGCTCGAGGTGAGACACAGAAATGTTCCTCTGCGTGTTAATATGCATGCTCATGAGCGACTTGTATGAGTTGCAGATTGTGCCGCTGTTCGTCACAGCCCTGATGGTCCCCTTCCTCGTCGTCGTCCTTCGCGTCATCCGTTCGACCGACGGCGAGGACCGTCGACTCACCGCCTCGGAATCGACCAAGTACATCTTTGGTCAAATGTTCAGTCCGACCATCATGCTTCTCCTCGGTGGCTTTACGCTGGCCGCCGCGCTGTCGAAGCAGAATATTGACAAGGTCTTGGCGACCAAAGTGCTCTCCCTTGCCGGGACCAAGCCAAAGTATGTCTTGTTGGCGTACATGCTCGTCGCGTGCTTTGCGTCGATGTGGATCTCGAACGTCGCTGCACCCGTGTTGTGCTATTCTTTGATTCAGGTGAGGCTGGACCCAGACACATCGCTACCATCAATAACAGTGCTGATGTTCTGGGGGCTCCTATCCTCACATAGCCGATCCTCCGAACGCTGCCCCAGAAATCGCCCTTCTCGAAAGCTCTGATTCTCGGCATCGCACTCGCATCCAACATCGGTGGCCTAGCATCCCCCATCTCGTCACCTCAGAACCTCATCGCGCTCGAGTACATGAATCCTCAAGTCTCCTGGCTCGGTTGGTTCGCCGTCTCGATCCCCGTCGCGACGACAACGATATTTTGCATCTGGCTCATCTTGCTGTGGTCGTATCGCTCGGGCAAGGGATTGGTCATTAATCCGACGAGGGTTAGTCGGGATCCGTGGACGAAGACGCAGTGGTTCGTCTCGGTCGTGACGATCATGACTATCGTTTTGTGGTGCGTCGAGACGAGGTTGGCTTGGCTGGTCGGGGACATGGGCGAGTTTTTCACCTTTCTTGATCGATCAAAAACTTTACGGTCTTGCTGATGCTTGTTCCCCTTGTTTGCGCGCAGGCATCATCGCCATCATTCCCATCGTACTCTTCTACGGATCCGGCGTGCTTCGCAAAGCCGACTTTGATCATTCGCCTTGGTCGATCGTGATCCTCGCGATGGGCGGCATCTCGTTAGGCAAATCCGTCCTTTCCTCTGGATTGTTGGACGACCTCGATCAGGTCGTCGAGGACCTCGTTTTGGGACTGGACATTTGGCCCATCCTTGCCTTGTTCTCCGTTATCGTGTTGGTCATCGCAACGCTGATCAGTCATACGTGAGTTGGGGTGGAACTCGATCCGAAGGAACAAGTAGCAGCAGCGGGGAACTGAATTCGTTTCCTCCCTTTCTCTCTTCGGACGTTGGTTGCCTCTCACCCCAGCATCGCGGCCGTCCTCGTCGTGCCTATCGCCGCTCGGATCGGAGCAGCGATGGAAACGCCCCATCCAACGCTCTTGATCCTTGCCACGGCCTTCATTTGTTCGGCGGGGATGGGTTTACCCATCTCTGGGTTCCCCAACCTGCAAGCGATCAACGTCGAGGACGATTTGGGCGATCGGTATTTGGAACCGAGGGACTTTTTTACCAGGGGTATTCCGGCGAGCGTGGTCGCGACGACGGTGATCATCACGCTTGGGTATGGGATCATGAGAGCTTTGGGGGTGTAGAGGGGGTGTTGTTGTTGGGGGAGTGGGTGTGGGAGAGGGAGAGGATGGGTCGTCGTCGAAGGGTTGGCGTCGAGTGGTCGTTGCCGAGGGGGTCAATTTTTTTCGAGAGGTCGGGGTTGGGCGGCTTCAGTACTAAATAAGTGTCTTGTGAATTCATGGTCCTGCTTTCGTCGTACTTTTTTTTGTGCTGGGTTTTGCCTTGAAATAGATCATCATCAATTGAAGGAGGATCGCTTGTGTGTCAGTTGGTGGACGCTTTTACAGGTGACGAGGGTGCGCTGAGGGATTCCGACTGCCTCTCGGTCGAAGCTGTTGAATGAAATTTGGATGCGTCATTCGTCGGCCGCGCGCGCTCTTGGGCTCTGAAGCTCTCTGCGGCGTTCGTCGCGCGCGCACGGCGGGGGGTTGGCGTCGCGTTCTCTCGTCCACGTTCGAGTCCTTTTGGTCTCTTGCTCTCTGCACCATACTCGCGGGCTTCGACAACAGTTTGCGCACACCTATTATACGCTCTCTCACGAACCAGACTCCACACTCCACCTCGAATTAGGCAAACCCACCCCTGACCCGACCAGAGGAGACGAGGCACTACACGATGCCCACCGTCGCCTCGAGCGCGTCCGCGTCCCTCTCGGCCCTAACGCAGTCCCTGTCCCCGAACACGAACCCGAGCTCGGTATCGACGAATCACTCGTCCCACGAGCTTCCGTACTCGCCCTCTTTCCCGCCCAGAGAATCCGATCTGGATTTTTGTAATGCGTTTTGGTCGTCGGGCGTGAGGAAGAGGACGACGAACGGGATCAACGACGAGGCGGAGGAGTGGGGTAGGGAAGGCGTAGAGCTCGTTTGGGGACGCATCAAGGCGGGAACGAAATCGTTGGAAGATATGAGGGCCTGGTTGAGAGAACGGTGAGGCTGCGTGTTCGGGCACTGGGGGGGGGAGAACGGGATAGGAGCGGGGGGCGCAGAGTAGCTGATGGATGCACTTTGTGGCGAGTGGCTGAACAACAGGTCCACGATCGAGGACGAATACGCCAAGAGGATCTTCAAGTTGGCTAAACATCCTTTTGGAACGGCTGAAACGGCGTACGTCGCCTACCGTTGCTCCGAGTGAAACAGTCCCCCCCTGGAGAGCTCCCTCGAACTGACTCGAGACTCTGGCGGCGCGCCGTATACCCCAGCCATCTCGAACGAGCGATCCGACAGGCCAAGTCCGAACTCGAGGTACAGTCCAAAGCACATCAGGACTTTGCCGCTTTCCTCAGACAGCAGGATGCCCAGATCGCCGATTTCGTCGCCAAGAGGGAGAGTGCGAGGAAGAATGTGAGCTCGGGATGGCGTGCATCCGATCAAAGCGAGCCGTTGAGCAGGTCGGACTGACTCTGGTGCTGTCGAGCTCAGGCGCAAGCGACGACGGAGAAGACGTGGAAAGCGCTGGCGAATCAGCGCAACCATGTGCTCAAGGTGAGTGGGTCTGGAGGCGTAAGATGTGAAAGCTGCTGATGTGCTGCCCGTGCATACGTCCCGCAGGCCAAAGCCAAGTACGAAGAGGACGCCATGAGCATCAACGCCCTCCACGCCCAAGCGTCGTTGTTGCAAGGTCGTGGACTGGACAAGGTGCGTCGACGCGCCGATTCTACGTATACATAGTCGGAGCCAAGTGTCCTAATCTGCGTCTGACTCACAGGCTCAGACCAAGCTCGACAAGGCACAGCAGACCGTGCAGGTCAACGAGCGCGATTATCGCAACTATGTCGGCGTGCTCAAGGATACGACCCGCGTGTGGAACGAGGCGTGGAAGAACTATTGTGACGTGAGTTTGTGGAACTTGGGGGGTTTTGTTCGCGCAAGCCGTGCGTGCTGATCTAGCCCTCTCGTGTCCTCATCAGATCGCGCAAGACCAAGAAGAGGAACGCGTCGATTTCGTAAAGTGCCGCGTATGGGACTGGGCCAACGGTATCTCGGTCGTAGCGATGGCTGAGGATGATGGTGCCGAGCGCCTGAGGACTGCGCTCGAGCAGTGCGATGCGACGACCGACATCAAGATCTTTGTGCAGCAGTCGGCGACGGGCAGGAGTATTCCGGGTCAGTCGTCATACGTGGACGGAAGCAGGCATGGCTCAGAACGTGCAGCTGATCCCCATCGCATTGTTTCCTCTCCTCGATCGAACAGACCCGCTCCCTTTCGTCGATTTTTCGCAAAAGCACACCGCCAGCAAACAGACCTACAAGATCGCCAACTTCAAGCGATCGTCGACGCGCATCCCCGGGGTTCAGCAAACTCCGCTTGCCGTCACCGATATTGGACGAGCGTTCCAAAACGCACCCGAGGCGATTCGTAATCCTCAGTCGGTTGCTCGGCCGGAGCTCGCACCGATCGCGACGACGACTGCTCGAGAGCAGTTCAACGCTGCACCCCTTTCGACATCGCCGATGTCGCTTTCGATGCCTGACCCAGATGCGGTCCCGTCGCGAGGAAGTGGGGATGCCGCACTGAGCAGTGAGCCAAGTCGTTTCGCTGTCTCTCCTTCGGCGAACCTCAAGAGCAATGCCGAGCGACCTATTTCGGGATCTTCGGCGAAGGCAGGCCATGCACCTGCTTCGGCGTTCCAGAGATCGCCTTCGCATACGACTGAATCCGCCATGTCTGCTGCTCGATACGAAGGACCAGGTCAAGCGATGTCGACTTCGGCGACAAAGGAGAACCTGGCGCCGAGTGGGCCGTCGGCGTATACGAGATCGACATCGCAGGCCCAAGCCCTCTCTTCCCAAACGCATCAGAGGACACCTTCCAAGCCGACAGGTCCCGGACCTTTGGACGATTACGAGACGGATCCGATTCTGAAGGCGTTGGAGAAGTTGCATACGAGCCAGAGCCACGCGCAGCAATTGACGTCTCCTCGGTCGAGTGCAGATCTTCGAGGCAGACAGCCGCAGTCGCAATCGAGTTTGGGACAGCCTTCCAATGGAGCACCTTCGGCGTCATCGAGCGCGAGACCAAGATCACCTAGTGCGATGATGATGCAGCCTCCTCCCGGGTCTCAACCTCGTCCTACGTCGAGACAGAGCTCGCATCACCCTTCGGCAACGTCAGCGAGACCTCGATCCCCGAGTGCAACGATGATGCAACCGCCCCCTTCGTCGTCGACTGGTCATCCATCGCGACCTTCATCGAGGCAGAGTATGAACGAACGGTTGGCGCAGCCTCAGTCGGTTGGACCGCCTCCTGCAGCTGCGACGGGCCAGAACAATGCCGGTGTTGGAGCGAGAGGGAGATCGCCTAGTCCGCAGCCTTTCCATCCGAATGCGTTGCGACCTCATTCACCTTCGCCGAACCCTCAACGATCGAGCTCGCCTCAACCTGGTCCGCAGAATGGATACGTTTATAATTCTCAGTCACAGCAGCCACAGCAGCAGCAGCAGCAGCAGCCTCAACATCGTGGATATGCGGCCCACCCTCCGAACCCGCCTTCGATGGTTCCCGCATCGTACTCGCACCACTTTGGCTCGCAATCGAACTTCGGTCAAGCGGGGTCGTACGCGAACACACCTTCCACGGCGTCAAGTCACCATCGCGTTCCATCAGGTGCTCCTCCCTCGTCCGTCGGCAGCTTCGGACCACCTCAAGCCCAGCCAATGTATGCCGCTCGAGCACCGAGTCCAGGTCCGCAGGCGTTCTCCCCTGTCGCTGGCGCGATCTCGCCTCCGCCTTCGTTGCAGGGTGCCTATATGCCTCAATTCCAGCCCCCTCCACCTGTCTCCGCGTCGCACTACAACTCCGTACCCCAAGGCTACCCTGCCAGTTATCGATCCTCCCCCTCAGTTGTGTCGATCGCTTCCCCCTACTCGACCGTCTCCCCCGCGCCTTCCCAACATTTCCAGCCCCCACCTTCGGTTGTAGCTTCACCTTCGAGCTACGCGCCGTCGCCGGCGTTCTCGTCCGTTTCGTCGAACAGTCCTGCGCAGGGGAGTGTGGATCGCAAGGCGAGTACGTATTCGGGCGTTTCGTCCGTTTCGCACGCGTCGATGTACGCGCCTCAACAACAGGGGTTCCAGCAGCAGGGCACGTACCAACAACATCCTCAACATCCACAACAAGCGATGTCGACCGTCTCGGCAGCCGGTGGGAGACCGCTTTCGACGGGTCAGGTCACGGCGGATGGGCAGCCGATCGAGTTTTACGTCAATGCGTTGCATGATTATACGGCGACGATGGCGGAGGAGTTTACTTTCAGGGCCGGGGACGTGATTGCTGTCACCAAGACGGAGGTGAGTTGACGAGTCGTCGAATTTGCGAGGGGGAGTGGATTGCTGATCCTCGTTTCTATCGGTGTTGAATTTAGCCTGATGGTTGGTGGCATGGCGTGCGGATGGGTGGGGAGGGGCAGGGCTTGTTCCCTTCGAATTTCGTCGAGATGAGAACTTGAGTGACCGAGAAGGACGAGACTGCGATGAGTGATTATGAGGTGGACACTTTGCTTGTTTTCTCGTATGTCGTGTGAGCATGACTTTGAGCTTTGGCTGTATATGCAATACTTTATACATGTGCACTTCCCCCAAATACTCAAATGCCAAATCCTCCCGCCAGCTCTTCTCCAGTTGCTCTTGCCCGCTGTCCCCAGGGAGGGCGGCCTTAACAGGGGCCTTCGGCCGAGAACACTCGCGATCTCCGAAACAGAAAATCATTTCGGCCTATATATATGGGCAATTCCCACATACCACATACCACAGACTCCCGAGAGACCCTTGCAAAGAAGCTCGCACGAGCACCCTGTGCTATTTGACAAGCCCGCGCCTAGCCTGCAAAGAAGCTCGCGCGAGCATCTTGTGGTATTCGACAGCCGCGCGCCCAGCGTGTCAGATACCACAGACTCCGGCGCCTGCCTTGCAAAGATGCTCGCGCGAGCATCTTGTGCTATGTGACATCCGCGCGCCCAGCCTGTCAGATACCACAGACTCCCTACCACAGACTCCCGCGCCTCGCTTGCAAAGAAATACCACATGCCACAGACTCCTGCGAGGCGCTTGAAAAGAAGCTCGCGCGAGCATCCTGTGGTATTGGAGAGAGGGGTGGGGGCAGCGGCACTCTCCGCCTTCGGCCACCGGCGCTCGCGATCTCCGAAATGGGTTTCCCATTTCGGGCTTCGGGTATCGCTGGAGCTGAGGCACCACAGACTTGAGGACTTGTAGACGTAGATAAGTTTATTGTGAATCTGTCCCGATCCCAACTGGTGTGTACATGCTTAATCTGTGCTAATATGGCATTGTGCTTTGAGTATATTCAATTACACTAGTTGTTGTGGCCTTGACGACTTTGGCGCGCGCGGTCCACTGCCCCTAGTCCTTGGGCCAGAACAAATGTTCAGACATGTCCGTCCACTTGATTTTAGGTACACATCTAGATCCGAACAATTATATGAGTAGATCTGCAAGGAGAACATGATAGCATGTGTATTTTAGTACTTATGATGATTCGAAATTGCCATGTCCGTACCGCAGATCTCGTGTCCGTACCGTAACCCCATGTCCGTCCACTTGTCGGTCGCGGTTGCGGACACGGCGGTCTGCGGTACGGACATGTCCGTCCCTTGATTTTAGGTCCATAATATCAGATAATACTGATGCTGTTGAACAATTATATGAGTAGAATAACTTTGAATCCGCAAGGAGAACATGATAGCATGGGTATTTTAGTACTCATGATGATTCGTTGTCCGTCCACTTGTCGGTCGCGGTTGCGGACACGGCGGTCTGCGGGACGGACATGGCCGAGAGATGTCCGCATACATCCAACCGACGCCGCTTCGCTCGCTCTGACGTGGTCTGTGACAGAAGACAAGTGGCTGTATAGATTAAGTCTTGTTTATACATCATTACCCCAACAGATTTCTAGGGAACATCCTCGAGTGGTGATTTTGCAAGTCAAGTGCCTTGTATAGTACTAGAAAACCATACCGTGGCGGGGGACGATCGAGTGTTTTCGCCGACAGTGCTAACGGAGCCAAGTTTCTCTGGGCACCATCACTCTATCCCTGTACTAGTTCAAACTAAGAACCTTTTCACCGACCAAGAGTCGTCAGATCAACGTCACAGAGCATTGCAATCATTGTTGAACTTGTCCGAACTTGTCCGCAGAGGACTCGAAATCTCGACCGCCGGAGCTTCTAAGTTTTCACCGACGATCTAACGGAAGGAACCTACTCTAAATCAGGATTCCCGCCGTTCGAGACCATTTGAAAGCCTAATCGCTTTCACGGCATTACGGTCTGCAAGAGATTGCCGGATGCGCTTCCAGGACACGCTCGGCCGCCGCGTGACTGAGCCCGAGTACCATCGCGCAATGATCTCGCTCGTCAATGGATCAACGATCTGCTCCCGGCTACAATGTCTTCCCTCAGATCTCCCAACGCAGCTCGTCTACATTTCGAGAGCAGCCTTTGAGTCAAGAAATGACGATTGTACAAGCGTGCGCGGTGACCTTGAAGAATCGACTCTTTCGCAGCGGACGCCGGCCTTGGCCCGTCGTTGAACGACCTACGCGCTGACGTGCCACTTCAGGGTTACATTTTGGATTAGGACACCGCACCCCCCAAATCCACACTGAGAGCAAAAGGTGGCAGTGCAAGGTGAAGCTCCCGTGCACAATGGTGAAGACCGTGACCGCGGTTACCCGACGTTGGAACTTGAAGGCGACACGGGTTAAAATCGCAGTGTGCAGCATGAAACTCCAGTGCACTGAGAATCTTCTGTTGTTCGACGCCGGAAGCCCACACGGGGTCGAAGTCGCAGTGCAGCATGAGACTCCCGTGCACCATGAATTGGCAGTGCAGCGTGAAACTGCGTGCACCGAGGAATGCTGAGCCCAGAGCGCTGAACCGAGATCGGATCCGAAATGAGATTCCCATTCGGAAATCGTCGGAGATCGTCGGCTGGCGGCGTGGCGTGGGGCGGTAGACTTGCGTGCTTTGTGTGCACTGCACAGGTCAGATGGAAGCGGTCTCTTCTTGCAGGCTCTGTAGAAGAAATGTCTCTCGTCTGTGAATACTACATCAGCCGCTCAGCAACACTTCGAAACTCGACCAAACTCGTACCCGGGCTGTAGCTCGATTTTAATGGTTTAGAAAATGCAGAAATGCTCGTCCATGACGTCTCACCGGGACGACGATACAGGCGACTTGGACAGACTCAACAGTATGCTGGTACATTCACCACAGGGCCGCAATCCAGTCAAAAACAGCGGTTTTAGGTACATCGCTTTGGGATCTCGCGCGCTCGATTAGCTGATTAATTGGCTCGACTTCGTTCGCGCGCGCCAACGCTCCTTTCCCTCTCCCCATTCACTCGCACCACTCGAGTCGGACTCGGCATTGATCGCACCATGCCACAACTCGACGTCACATGCTTTCACATCGCTCGCATGCGCCATTCAATCAGCAAGATGAAACTCGATTTCTCTCAACTACAGCTCGACGTGTCACCTCAACCCGACTGAGGTGGGCACGGTGCGACGTCGCACGACATGAATATCAACGACTCCAACATCGTCATCTTCAGCAAGATACGCTGAACAGGTTGATCTGAAAGGGCGTGGTCACTTTCAGCAGCGTGCTAGCCTTGCGTCGATGCATCGCTCGAGTGTCCTGGGTCGGACACGTACTCGGTCACCGCATCGCCTCGATCACCCCGGTCGCCCACAAGCTACTCGATCCATGAGTGTGGTGAGTGCTTCACTCAGATAGTATCCAGCGGTCACCCCATTCGCTCATCCCATGATCGTCTTTGCTGCTCATCACTCTAGTTCAGATCGCGCGCTCGACATTGGCCTACTCGCTGCCATCCGAGCCTCGCACGACACCGCTCTGACTGGTATGGTCATACTCTGCGCATCAGCACCATCGACAAGACGCTCAACTATCCCGAGGTCATGAATCGATGCAAACATCACTCGCTCCTCGTCGCCCCACCCCCAAACACCACTGTCGACCAGTGACGATCTCCTCCGCCACCCCCACATCGTTCACTCTCGTCGACAGCATTGACCGATCGCACGAATGCATTCCCTCACAGCTCTTTCTTGATCGAGTCGAAGAGTCTCATCGACGCGGCTAGCTCGGGGTTGGTTGGAACATCTGTTGCACGACTCGACTGGTTTCGTCGATGTCAAGATCCGAGATCTTCATCGGCGCAAGCACTTTCACCCCGTCTCGACCGCGCCGCGAATCACTTACCTTCCCGCGCTCGTCAGCCAGCTCATCGAGTCATCCGTCCAAAGCCACTACGTCTCAACTCGTCGCTCCAGACATCCCCCGAATTCGAGCTCGCCTTCCTCGCCATTCATCTTGATCGGACTTGCACGCTGGCTTTCAAGCTCGTCGATCGCATCATCCAATTGACTTTCGGGCAAAACTGTCGAGATTCGCCACGGAACACCTCGTCGCTTCACATCTTACTCGAACTCCATCCTACGTTGCGCAGGTTGAAGCTTCAAGACACGACTCGAACTTCTTCGGATCGCTCGAATTGGGCCTCGAACTGTGACGATTTTTCGCACTCTCAATCGACCTCGGCGCTTCGCTCGACCAGCTTGTTACGTGCGATCAGCATCCCACATCTCCGATTTGCACGTTCGTACACGCTTCCGCAACTCTGGTCATGCGGTCATGGACTGCGATCGGCGTCGCATGGCGCTCCATCTCCTCGCCCTCCGCCTTGCTTCTTGCACTCACCTCGCTTGGTAGCGACGAACTCGTTTGGCAGTCACAAAGCGAGCAAACGTCCGAAAGGTCAGTGAGTGCCATTAACCTGAAAGCTTTCCCTTCCTCCACACCGCGTGTTGCAAGTCTGTGCCTTCTTGCTTATGTTTGACTTTTCTTTCGCTCCACCAGGCCATGGATTTTGGCCGGCGCTTAACTCGACTCTTTAAACTCCGACTCGTTCGAAACCGTTTCTAGCTCTCATGGATGGACCTCGATGTCCTCTCGATCGGCCCTGACGAAGCTCAATTCGGTGCGATTCGACGATGGTGCAAGCTCGTATCTTTGCCGCTGCTGCCTCCGCCACCCAAGACTCGACATTCGCCGATCGCTCGCACCACTCGACTCGACTCGTCTTTTCCTCTCAGTGCACAAACACACGACGACGCAACATCTTGCCGTCATGTTGAAGCGTCACTTGCCTGGTACGAGCGGCTCGACCTTACTCGACTCGGCACTTGACGGGTCACCTGGAGCCGGCTGAGGCAAGCGACGACGCGCCTTCAGCAACTGCAACACCCTCATCATCGCCAATCGGCCTTCAACGACTCGATACCGAGCTCCAAGGTACCTACAGTTACGTCCGGGCTACGTCGATTGCTCACTTGAGCCATCGCGACTGGAACTGCTCGACCTCCGACGACTCGCTCAGACCGCCCACCGTAAGCTGTTTCGATCTGAGCTCTCACTTGTGACTTGCACTCCTTGCTGATGAGACCAAGCTATGCCGTGTCACCGCGTACTGCAGATCGTTGATTACCGACGACCCGGAATGGGAGCGCTCCCTCGAATGGAGCTTCGCACCGATTCGCTCACACGCTCGCACAGCCCACACCCGAGCTCGTGCATCACCATCCATCCCCCGGTTTCTCTTGGGACAAGTTCCCAGCACGCAGACTCGCGTCGGCCTTCTCAACACTGGAGATCCGCCGGAGATCCTTGCTCGCCCAGCAGCTTTCGAGCCGCTGCGAGCGAATTGCTCAATCGCCCGCCCTCGTCATCCAGTTCGTCAAGGCATCACAGACCGTCTACGTTTCAACTCATAGATTCAAACATCTTGGTTTCCGCCTGCCCCGCCCATCAATTGGACCGGAGTTGCACGCTGACTTTCAACCTCGTCGATCGCTCCGACCGATCGACTTCATGGCAAAGCTCCCGAGATGTGCCACGGAACACCTCCTCACTGCTTCACACCTTTATGGTTTAACGTGCGGAGTCCGATTAAGATGTGAAGCAATGAGGAGGTGTTCCGTGGCACATCTCGGGAGCCTTGCGACTCGGGCTTCTCCACACCACTCGGCGCTCGCTTTCGGCGGTGGACCGTGACGATCCTTCGCACTCTCAATCAATCTCGGCGATTCGACCAGCTTGTTACGTGGGATCACCATCCCACCTCTCCGACTTGCACGTTCGTACACGTTTAATCAACCCTGGACATGCGGTCATGGACTGCGCTCAACGACGCACGGTGTTCCATCCCTTCTGGCTTCGCTTGTCACCTCGCTTGGTGTCGACAAACTCGTTTGGCATTTACTAAGCGAGCACACGTCAGAAAGGTCAGTGCGCCATCAACTTAAGGGCCTTCCCTTCCTCCACACCTTGTTTGGCAAGTAGGTGCACTCTTGCTTATGTTTGACTTTTCTTTCGCTCTCAGATTCCAGCCTGCGCCTAGCTCGACTCTTCAGACTCCAAATCGCTCGAAACCGTTTCTCGCTCTCATGGATGAATGATCGTCGACTCTTTCCAATTGAGGATCCAGACTTTTTCGGCGAGACCTGCTTTGCTCGACTTCGATCTCCTCTCAATCGCCCCCGACCTCAAAACTCAACTCGGTGGGACAGATCCCTTGTCGAGGAGCATGCAAGCTCTCGTCTTTGCCGCTGCTGCTTCCGCCACCCAAGACTCGACAATCGCCGATCACTTGTGCGAGGAGGCTTCGTCAACCATGCGAACTCTTCTGGGCGACCTAGCGCCCTGCCCGCTCCCCTTGACATTGAGAACGCAGGACCACCTTGACTCTTTGGTCAACTGCTCGAGCGACGTTTGCTCCTTTCACTTCTTTCCCTGCATTTCTGGGGTACGAATAATTGAGGATGTGCTCTTTGATGCAATGCCAGGTGGTCTTTGAGCTCATATGTGCGTGTCTGAGAGTCTTTGGATCTTCTTGACGCATTCTTGCCGGGTTTTCCTGCGGCCTCCGACACGGTTCTGCCGCAAAGACCTCTATGGTATGTTCTTGTATCAAATCCGACATGAACTCTGGACTGCCATCTGCTGAACGCAAGCAAAACTGTGTCGGAGTATTTCAAAGCGACTCACTGGATCGATCGTATTTGTCGCTCATGCGTATGCGTCGCCCATGGTGACGGAGCTGCAGTGACATGCCGCGGTCCGTTTAGAGTGGGCTTCAACTTTGCAATCGGATCCGTAGCCTGTGTCCTATAGACTTTTTACGACTGTAGCAAGTAAATATGTGTGAAGAACAGCTACTTGCAGAGGTATGCCGTGATTCGACAGCGAGGGGCTTCCTCGACTTTCACGCAAAGTCAAACTTCTGCGACCCGCATCCCTCACCGACGATCATGACTGAAAGTATGCTTTGACACCGCAAAGCACCGCATGGATTCTTCCGTCAAGATTGAAAAATTCCATCAAGAAAGTCCTCCTTCGAGTGTCGAAGATCACTGTCCGATCGACCCGCGAAAACTAAAGGGGCCGAGTTTGCGCGATCGAGAGCCGACCTCCTTGCGCGACTTTTCAACTCCAAATCAGCACTCGAAATTGACTCCAACACAGTGACGACCATGTGATAGATCTCTCAAAAGTATTCATGTAGCTTGCAACATGCTTCGATGCGAGGTATATGGCTTGCAGCAATGACCTGTTCGGAAGGACCAGATCGACCCAGATCATGTGTGCTGCGGCATCACTTTCGCTTTTCGATCTCGGAGAACGGTCCCGATGAAAATACTGTATCAACATCGCAATCTAGCACGACACGCCTATCGACCAGTTTTTCGGATATTCGAGTGTTCTGAGAGTGAGGAACATACATCTGTAGGATGGGGCAGCGAGCATGGGTCGATTAGTCCTTACTTGTCTCTCGGCTCGGCGACGATCGAGTCTTTCCGCGGACAGTGCTAATTGGACAATCTTCTCCGCGTCATCACCGTAACCCTGTACTATTTCAAAAGCATGCAAAGAGGCGTCAGAACGACCTCACAGAGCCTTGCGATCATCGTCGAAGGCGACCGAACTTGTCCGCAAACGAAGCGACCGCATCAAGTTTTCACCGACGATCTGTTGGAGAAAACCTCCTCTCATGCTGTAATCACACCGCCAGAGATCACTTGAGAACTTAACTCATCTCTTCATGCATTTCACAGAATTGCGGTCTGCGAGAGTCGGACTGAGATGTGCTTCAAGGACACGCCCGTGACTCTAAGTCTCGTCAATCATTGCATGGTGATCTCGACTCGTAATCGGATCAAAGATCTGCTCCCCGAATACGATGTCTTTCCCTCAAATCTTCGGACATGGCTCGTCTACATTTCGAGAACAGCCTTTGAGTAAAGGAATGAAAATTGTACGAGCGTGCTCAGTGACCTGAACGAGTCGACCTTTTCGCCGCGGACGCCGGCCGACTCACTCGTTCAACGACCCCCCGGGCCGCCAAGCGCTAACCTCGGAATCACTCGCTCTCTCTAGCCTTGAAAATTTCTCGCATCCCTTTTCGAGT